TCCTTTTCATTTCCAGCGCAAGCATGCAGCAGAGATGGAAGAGAGGGAACACAAACACAGAGGGAAGAGAGATGGGGGGAAACACAAACAAAGAGAGCACTAAAAATAGGGCGAACGGGCGAAAAGGCCACGCTGCTCTTAATCCCCTCGTCTCTCCACTGGTGACAATAACCTTCTTTGGACCATTGGACTCACAGGTGGTCTGGTCACAATTCAAAAACGCTATTCAATCCACTGTAGTTATATCGCCCCTGTTGTTTATCTCCTTTTACAGCCACAACCGACGCGAAATGCAAGGAAGAAAAAGACTCCGCCGTCCCTTCCCTTGGCCGTTTCCTATTTATTTTTCAATGTCCTTTTTTTCTTGACGACACCACTCACCAGCCATCTCCACCATTGACTCATTGCCACCATGGAAGGATAATCCATTCCCCGATCTTGTTGTGTTGGTCATCCAAAAGCGCACATTTTTTTTACTCCTCGGAGGAAAAAAAGGCACCAATTGCAAGCATTGCATTGTCTACCACTTTTTTTTTCTTGCAGTTGAGAAATTGACGAGTTATAAAAGGACGCGATGGTCCCCTTCTACCTTTCTTGTCAAAACACATCTCTACACCTCTCGTCTCCTGGATCGACATCTCATTAACTTGTACTTATACACACTCTTAATCGGTTCAATGATGTCACTTTAGGCTTTTTTCAGGAGTGCGTTGTTTAGTCAGTCGATATCGCGATGACCACTCTTTGCAGTGCCGTCCCAGCAGGCAAGGGATTATACAAAGGAATGCTTGTGAGCAAATTCAGGAAGAAAACAACAAGAACCCTTGGCCGATGAAACATGGAACGAACGTTAACAACAAGGATGGAGAGCTGTTTATTTCCTTGTTTGAGGAGCAGACGAAGTAGCAGGACAATTATGGTTTGCTACCTTGTGAGAATACTACATACTCCTGATGACGAGTTTGAACGGCATTTTCAGGATGCAAGGGAAGGCAGGAGGAAAATAAGAAATCGCAGAGTCGGGCGGCCTGTCCTGGTTGATATGTGCGATTGGAATGTCTAAATCGAGAGCCGTCCAGGAGACATAATGACAGAAAGAAAGACAGGACCAGGACCAAGCCCAGGACATGCACTTGTACATGGGCCAACAACAACACCCCCTTGCATTCTTGCGCTCGTACTCTCTTTCTTGTGACATCCTGTTCTTGCTCTTTTTTTAACTTTTCGTCATAGGAGTAAGAAAAATACCTCCGTGTAATTTTTTACTCAATTGGAGAGAAAGTACGACTTGTCTTCAGGGACGAAGAATGTGAGTGAGTAAATGAGTGAGTGAGTGAGTGAGTGAACGAAACCTTGCAGCGTCTAAAAACAGAGCCGGGCTAGTTTTCGAACCCTTCAATCAGGTAAACGAATTCCAAAAACAAACGGAAACAGGAAAGAAGGAAGGCAGGATACTTGATTGGATTAAGGTTGCCAGTATGTTTCACGCACAGGGCACACACACAGATGTCACACTCAGTGACACGCCACACAACAGCACACACACTCGCCACTCACACTAGAGGAGGAGAGCTCCTATATTACACACAGATCGAAGTAAGTGAGGCACTGCCCACCTGCTCATTCTCAAATCCAATTCAAGTAAGAGTGGTAACTCCTTTTCTTCTCCGCAATGAGGGCTTGGGCAGTTAATGAGCGAGCAATTATATTCGATCAGTATTCTTGAGATAACGGACTAAAGGGAAACACAAGGATACAAGGGGATCGTACACAATACTTCCAAGTGATCGATTGGATTGGGTTGGACTCACCTTTCTCTTCCCCCCTTCTCTCCCCTTTCCCCTCTCTCGTACTGTATTCAATGTCGACATCGTCATCACCGTCATCATCTTCCTACCTACTCCACCCTCGCCTCCAGCGAAAACGTATATAAAGCCTCTTGGCACCCCAAGTTCTAATTTCTTCTCCCTTCTTACTCTCTCCACTTTTCGCCTCCTCCACCTCCTCCTCATCCTACAATCCTTGCTCGTTTTGCTATTATAACCTCATGCCACAGCGACAAGAAGCCAAAAGAAGCGGATCCTCCAGTTTGACCTTTCCCCCTCTTCGCTTCTGACGATCATTTCACACACTCGTCTCTCACCTTTCCTCATCTTTCCTCACCTCCTACCATACCATTAATTTCACTGATCATTTCTTTTCCTCTCTCAAACCGTTCTTGCTACTTCCACATCCCTTATGACGGCATCGACGATCCTCTGTTTCCCTCTCTCAGCCTCCGTCCTTCCTCGAGCATACTTCTCATATCAGGTCTACTGGTCATTTTTTTGCGCTCTTACATATAACGACTAACAATAGCGACCACCTTGAAAATATGATCACATTCGCATATATATCTGTCCTATACAGAACGCTTGAACTCGAATGTGGATAACAAGTATAGTAGTTCTGTTTCCTATACTCTCTAGTTCAAGCACCTTGACAAAAGAGGCATCGTTTTCTTGTCTTCATCGAATGGGTCGCTTGTCTCTCAATGTTCCTTTTCGCCCTTTTTTTTCAAATCCCCCCACCCCCCTTGATTTATCTGAGGTCCAAGAGTCCAAGCATCCTTCTACCTCCGCTCCTCCCTCTTAAGTATGCCCAGTATGCCCTTTTGATGGTCGCACAAGAGAGAGGGCGAAAAAGCATAAAATGAAAAATACGGCCAAATGGCCAAAATAGCCTGCGGGAAGAAAATGAAGGTGGAGATTAAGGAGAGAATTCAATAGAGTAACAATTAGGGATTGTATTGAATAGGGGTTGGATAAAGCGAAAAATTTTCTTTGAGAGAGCTCGTTCTCTGACGGGAAGGAAATAGCAATACCTCATTGTGCATGTTTTTTTTTGGTTTTTTTTGAGTCCCGACAACGCAACAAAACAAACAGAGAGAGGTTCCCCTATTGGTAAAGAGCACTTGCATGGATCAATTGAGGGACGAAAACAAAAAAAACACTTGGGCCAGTCCACGTTTTTCTCTTCAGAAGGGACTCGCATGCGCAGGAAGAATAATTGAGCGAGGAGCAAGATGAGAGTCAGAAATGAAAGATGGAAACGACTCGCGTGATGGCTCAACCATATCTCCATTTCTCCGAGGGGAAATTGTTGTTCGTTCTTTTTTCACTCTCGTTTCCTCACCATGCATCGGTTAAACGCCCTTCCATTACTTCCATCTCTCCTCAAACAAAAAAAAAAAAAAAACGTGCGCACCCATTTCCTTCCCTTACTTGGTACTACCGAAAAATAACAAAAAAGCTCAAAAATAGTGCCACAGCGTGTCGTACCGGTACCTCCTTGCCTGTTCAACCGTATTTTTGGAAATCAGGTTACTCCTTCCTCTTTGCTGTGGTTGTTCTTGGATGTCCATTTTTCCATTATTCTAAAGAAGAAGCCATAAAACCCATTACGTACTTAGTCTCCTCCTGTTGTGTGCCGCTTTGTGTGTAATTGACAGAGAAGGTCCGTGGACGAAATCTAGAAGTGTGCCGATAACTCATTCCTTTTGGGTGGCCTTATTATTGCTGCGTCATAACAGTTTCAGAGTCATTGCCCGGTGCGCTCTCCTTTCGCTCTAACTCTGTTCGTCTGATCCTTCATGTTCATGCGAACTAGTACGCTTTCACAAGTATATTTCTCAGGAACACCACCATTAGATCAGGGGCGAGATAAAGGAGTTGCTGTTATGACGAGAGGACCGATGACAGAGATGACGCTATGCTTGTTGTTAGAGGGGCAATTGAAGATAAATGAGAGAGGATGAAGAGGACGAATGTCAGCCATTGGAGGGAGTCCAAAAGTCCAGAGGTGGTAGCCAACCAGGACTCGAGGAGGGAGGCTTCAAACTAATTAGTTTTGTTTGGAACTCCCTTTAAAATGAGGGCCAATGATGATGATGATGATGGTGGTGATGGTCTTTGAAGGAGAGAAAGAAGCACCGTTTTCTCGTTGTATAGACTAATGCCAGACCGAGAGCCATTGACCCTATTCGCTGCACAACGAGCCAATAACAAATCATAGAAAAAAGAACTGCTTTCATAAATGACTGTCTCGCAACTGAATAGGGGGCGCCAATTGATTTTTAACAAACAAAAATAAACAAACAAACAAGCAATAAGTCGCCGACACATTTTGACCGATTGAATACCATGAGGAGATGAATTGGAGGTGACACGACAGGCGGAGGTCCAGAACATGAAAAGAAGGTTCAAGCAGCGAAATAGAAGGAGGAGGAGCTGTAAATAAAATCACAACATGCAAAAAGGTATTCTCCCATTCCTTCCATCGTTCATGCATGTCCGCTTCATTTGTGCTTCCGACGGGGGATGTGACATGGGATGATGATGATGCTCCAAAGAAAAACGTGCACATCCTCATCTTGCATGCACCTAAAAAAAAACAAAATGAAAGTCGGAGTAGAAACTCTTCACCTTTGCTTTCCATCAATTCCAAGAGAACGGTACTGTATCCAATTCCCTCCACCCAGCACGTTGGGACTCAGCTCTCTGCTTTTTTTTTTTTTTTTTTGTTCATTGCCTTTCTGGGCGTCCGCGGAGGAAAAAGATATTTCTCCATCCTCTTCTCTTTTACGCATCATCCTCTATCCTTATCCATTTGTACATTTTCCTAGATGCTCTTATATTATCTCCCGTGTACTTTTACCCATCTCTCTTACGCGACACTACCCTCATCACACATACACAGACAAACCCACATTGCGGAAAAACACCACCAACACACACGGGGCACGCAGATGGAGGAATCTACAGGCACGCAGATGGAGGAATCTACAAGCCCGGTTTCAAGGTACTCCAATTTTTTGCGCTGTGTCTTGACGTCAGGACAGTCCGAAACGACAAGGGGCACAACCATCAACGTCGTTGTCTCACTGAGAAGAGAGACACCTTTATTTCTATACAGATCCCTTTGGGCAAACATAGATCATATCAGAGACATGGACCCAGCGCTTAGAGTTCATCATCAACAACAGCAGCAAGGAGGGATGATTGTGACGGAGGCTCTGAAGTCTGAGGTGTCCTCAGAAATCCAACACCCAGTGTTGTGTTACGCCAGTGCCTGATAAGGGGCTTACTCTGACGCAGGAGGTAGGTGGGCAAGACATGACGGACCGGGACAGTGATATTTGTCTTGTCTACGCGCAGGTATAGTTTCTGTTCCTCACCTGTTAGGCCTTCCTTCCTTCCTTCCGCCAAAGCTCTAATATTCCAAGTGAATGTTCCTGACTCTGATATGGAGACCTTTGTGCTGATATCGATCCGCGACGCCACAGAGAATTATTTTCGTCGCCGACAGAAAAAAAAAGACATCATGATCTCAGTGGCAAGGGACTTGGATGCTATATGGACAAAACACACACACCATCACCATCATCATCATCATCACCGTCATCATCACCATCGTCATCATCGCCACTTTCCTTCAAAACACTCATGTCTCTCGATCAGTGGCACAAGACAGAAAAAGGGCAATCTTACTTTATTTCTATTATGGGCCTATGATGCGCGTTTTCGTATAGTGAGGGATATGAATTGATGGGATGGCCGTGCTACTAGTTATTTTTCATGTAAAACAGGACTAGATCACTAACACCAAATCAAAACAACCCTTTTTCTTTTTCTTTCTCGATCAATCTCGCTCGATGGTGTTCAGGACTCGACTCGACTACGACGCGGCTTTCGATCAATCTCCTTACGGTCCAAGATGCCGTGGACATCAAGACACCGTAACCGGATAGCAAGGAGGAACCCAAAGAGCCCGCAGCAGGAGAAGAACACCTCCACGTAGGTGTATACACCTGGGTCTAGCGTCATTAGTCGGGCGACTATCAGTGGGAATATTGTGAAGGCTAGGTTCATGGCGGAAGAAGATATGCCACTATATTTGGTGGGAATGGTGGCACAGAAAAAAGGTACGATTGTTAGTTGACCGTTGCGCCTTATTTACTCACTCTTCACCCTTCTCCTCATGTTCATCCTCTAGGTCCTGATTCGCTTGGGCCTTTTCAAGTTCAATTGACCCGACCTAAAACCAATGGGTTCCTACAAGACGTAAGAAACGAGGATCGGGGGTTCACTTACTACGCGGTGGCAATTTGATGCGGTTTGACCAAGACAGGGATGGCGCTAGTGAAGATGGCGCCGATAGCGCTGGCGATCCCCAGGGCGACCAGGGCAGGGACGGGGCTTGGGACGGGGATGATCCCCAAGACAAAATGAGACGATCCAATGATAAGTCCACATAACATGAAGAGCCATGTCTTTTGGCCGTAGTGATCCACAAAGTATCCGACGGGGAGGACGAGGATCGCTGAAAAGAGGTCGGGAACTGTCATGATTTGTGCGGCTATTTTGCAGGAAGGAAACGAAAAATAATAATAAATGAATGTGCGCCCACGCCAGACAAACAAAACACACCCAGATACCAGAGTTATCGATGATGACGGGTGCTTATAGTGAGGATAAAAAAACAAGATACAAATATCGAGCTCGGGAAGTTTCAATTGTCCAAATGCGGAAGGTGCGGAGCAAATTCAAAGCGCAGAAAAAAAAGATAATTGCAAAAGAGGCATCGCGGAAAGAAGGTATACCTTTCTGAGGATCGTTGTGATACCATCTCATCTGAAGGAATCCCGCATGGATACTGTTGAACGGCACTTGGACACCGACCATCAACAGCGTCATCAGGAAAAAGACCCAGGCCGATTGAGAGTAATCGCACACGGGTTTCAAAATGCGTAGACAGTTCGCCCTGGCTGATGATGACGATCCGTTGCCGTTTCCATCTGTCCTGTTCCTGCTACGAATAGAGGTCCTCGACGACACTCTGTCGCGTACTATTAGATCCTGGCTATTCCTGTGGTCCACGCTCTCACGAGAGCTATCCTCGCTGTCATCTGACGAAGTAATCCCCCCCTCCTCCAGACCGTCAACACCCATGGGTCGTTTGCTCCCCAGTGACTCCATTCCAATGACTTCTGCCGAGGTAGTAGCTCTTCGTGACTTATTTGCAGCCGCCGTTGGGGGATCATATCGGTGGACGTTTGTTGATGCTGCTCCTGTGTCTAATACTTCAAGGGAAAAGCGACCATCGGTCGGGTGAGTTGGCACTCGAGAGAATCCTGACGCAACCTCAGACTCGTATCGTCGGTCCAGCCACGCTAAGAGACATGCGGTCATGAAGGAGAGGATACATGACACAAAGCCTCCCCAGAAGGCGGATGGGACATTCGATCGAGACCAGATATAGGGGGTCAGGATGTCGTTCAACACACTTCCGAGACGTGCGATACTATAAATACACGGCGTTTTAGGGATAAGGAAAGTAGACATGGGATGAGAAATTGGGAATGTCGGTAAGAGAGCAGAAAAAGTCCCAGTATCTTACTGGCACATACTTTCTAAAGGACGGGATCAAGGGGAGGGAAAAAAATCAAAAACGCCAGAGCAACTTGATTGAGCCTTCATCACGAGAAGAGGTGTGTGATTCTTGATCGCAGTTACAAGGGACCATGATACGAAACGCAATGGGAAGAGGGAATAAGGAAATAAAATGGTCGTGTTGCTTTACCATAGGTTGATGCCCAGGGCCATGGCCAATTCCTTGCCTTGAAAGTACTTGACCGTGATCGCCGATTGGGCGACCGCCAGACTCTCACCAGCGCCAAAGAGAACTCGCCCAAGCACCATCATGGGGACACTCTTCCGCTCAACTCCCAGACAGACGACAAAGTGTCCAAACGCAACAATCGATGAGAGGAAGATGAGTAGCCGGCGGTGACCAAAGATATCCGATGCGTACCCTCCCAACCAAGGCAAGACAATGTTGGGTAGCGAGTACGATGTATAAAGAATGTTGAGGAAATAGGCGTAGGTATCATTGGACATGCCCATGTATTCCTGGAGTGGCTGGTTTAGTGCTGCTGGGTTGTCGAATGCGTAGTAGTTGCCAAAGAGGACTAGACAGGCGGCCCCCAGTATCGCCCACCGGATACGGCTCTCCTTTGGTTGTGGCTCGTCTGAGGAAAAACCTTCTGCATCGGTATCGAGACCAAAAGAGACGCGGTCTCTTGAGGTATGACGAACAATTGTCACAGTTTCCTGGTCGGGTGAGGCGTGTTTGTCGTTGTGAGTGGGTGTGCTGAGCGAGCTGGACGAGAAGGAGTATGGTGATGATGAAGAGGATGATGAGTGGGCTTGACCATGCGGACTTCCGTCCTGGTCCAGGTCTCCAGTCATGTACGGCTGCTTTGAGCTAATGGTGGTGTGAAGACAAGGAGAGGTGTTCTGGGTTCAGGAATGTAGTTTGTGAATGCGAGAAAAGGAATGGTAGTTTTGGAAAGTTTTGAGTTGGCATGCAGACTTTAAAATAGAAGTGAAAGTGACTGTCCATGAAAGCAACAAGTTGGCGCCACCAAACCACAAAATTCAGTCGAAAGTTAACTTTGCACACACTTCCCCCCAGGTCATCCTCGTATTCCAATGTTTCCTATTTTTTTTTCTTGTGTTTCTCTTTCCTTTCACCCTGCCTTTCAAATCTATGTAACGTTCTTTCTATGCTTTCGCTCCCATCCTTCTGTGAGTGAGTGTCTCATTGATAATAAAGAATAGTGAGAAAGGTTGTGGGGACCGGCCGTTTTTTGGCGTTGTCGTTGTCGTTGTCGCTGTCGTTGTCGTTGTCGCTGTCATTGTTGTTGCCTTAATGAGAAGAAAAAATGAACCTTACGTATGGTCTTGTGAATGGTAGAGGGAACACCACGATTGTTGCGGTTCGCGCAATGGTCAAGAGAACATCTACCTCCATAAAGGCACGGGTCCGAGATGAAGAAGAGAATGAGAGTTAGCCTCCTGGCGTCAAGAGTTCATACGACAGATAGACAAACAAGACGTTTGCTGAATGAGACAAGCAGGACTGCGTTTGATCTCTTTGACGCTGAGACAAACGCGTTTATACCAATGAATGACGGTGTTTCCTTTCTTTCATCTTTCTTCTTTCGTCTTTCTTTTTGCGTTTTGTTCTTTCCTTCATTTCTTCCTACATTCCTACCCTCGTTCATCCTTTCCACCTTTCTTTCTTTCTTTCTTTCTTTCCCGCCCTTCACTCCTTACTATGCCACACACATACTTTTCTTCTATCTTAGAACCCCGGTTCTCCTATCCTCTCACACCTCGGTCTCCGTGCGACATGAGGCCCTCCACATCCACACATCCAGCACTCGAGTCGTCATGGAAGAAGCCAATCGCCACCAACCCCCCGCCCTCAAATATGACCCAACCCCCAACTCACCATTTGCAACGAATTCGGAACGAAGGAAGAGAGATAATAAACGGACGAGTAGACAAGCACCAACAAAGAGCATGAGGAGCGGGTACTAGACAACATGTCTTTTAATAAAAAGAAGTAATAATGAAGGTGGAAATTGACATCTGGTGTGATAAGAAGAAAGAACTAATCATTACGAACAGAAAAAAATGCGATGTCCAAAACGTGTGTTATTCCTTTTCCTTCATATTCCTCCCTAATGTTGACCTCAAGGTTCTTTTGCTATTACTTTATTCTACCTCATCAAAAAAAGGGCAATAATGCAAAGAGGAGGGGCCTATGGAAAAATGGGAACAAACTTGCCGGTAGGTCCGTGAACCTGATAATCAAACTCGATATTCTTCGCCGTCCACTCACACTTGGCCACATCTGCATTCCGAACAACCGTACTATTAGGTAAATTGAACAAAAACACAGGATTCGACTTGTCGTACTTGGGCCACTGGACATTCGTCACATCTGGGTTTTGGAATGCTGCGCCAAGATTACTACTGGTATTTCCAGCTTTCTTGTTCGGGTTGGGGCTTCCAGTCTTGGCAAAAGTAGTGAAGCGGTCTATGACCTGGCGCGAGAACCGAGCATCGCCGCCTGTCTGCTCAACTCCGGGGAGAGCATCGCCAGATCCGAAAGTTGGGATGTTGTCGTCGCCGTGACAGACTCGCCCTGTACAGTACCCGACCTGTCCCTTCACCAGAGCTCCATCAATTCCTCGTCCGTGATCCATGATGTAGGTGTAGACATTCGATTTTTGGACAGCAGTGCCTCGACTCATGACTTGGATGGGGCACGTCCAGTAGTAGTCCGTACTGGCAGCGCCAAACGTATCGCGGACAGTGTCGGGGTCAGACGCATTGGTCTTGTAGTAAGGCGAGCGGATGAGTCCTCGTGTCCTGTTGTTATGTATCAGTTTCGCTAGCTCCGCATCCTCGTCCACTAAAGGGATCACATTAGGAAGAATAAGTGGCACAAAGGCGCCTGCCTCGTCCCGGGTCGATCCCCACATGATGTTAGCCTTTCTGTTGTATTTTCCTGTTCGGACCAGCTCGGCGAAATCGGCATGTATGAGGGACTTGTCAACACAGGGGCGAAAGACGGCGGCGGTTTGGACCCAGCTGTTCTCGGGCTGTCGCAGGAACACGTCCAGAGCCTTGGTTTGTGCCGCAGTGATCTCATCCGTCGATTTGTTCTGTGCACAGGCCAGATCTGACGACTTGCATCCGAGGTTCTGCATTGTCAGGTCGGTAATCTTTCCTGCAAACTTGGGGTTCGAAAGCGGGCTATGATTTCATCGTCAGGACAATGTTGTATTAGTTGCTAACAAAAAATAGCATCTTTGTCAATATGGTACCGGCAGTCTTTCAAATGAAGAACGTACATGTCGATCGGGTCTGACTGAGAAATAACGTTCCTGTAGAGACCAAAAGTAGAGGGGGCTGAAAGCAGCGCACGCATCGACCAACCGCCAGCACTCTCTCCAAAGACCGTGACCTGGCTAGGGTCGCCTCCAAATGCCGCGATGTTGTCACGTACCCATTGCAATGCGGCGATCTGATCTCTGGTAGCCAAGTTTCCTGGGGCCTTGGATCTTGGGATGGCAGGGGTGTTCTCGAAGAGACCAAAGACGCTCATTCGATAGTCTACACATGGAAAGAGGACACAACTCAGTCAATATCGCATGCGAAAAAAAATTACATGGTAACAATGTCAGGTTGAAAGCAACTTACTGAGAGTAACTATAACAACCCCTCCTCGAGAGACCAAGTTTCCCGGCTCATAGATAGGCGCCGAAGATGCCAAGGCAGCATACCCGCCGCCATGAACATAGACCATCACTGACAACCCCTTGGATCGACTGTCCTTCAACGACGGCGTAAACACATTCAAGTGCAGACAATCCTCCGATTGTTTGGCGCCAAGAAAAAAATCCCATTGCTCACTAGTCAAGTTGATCCCGAGTGGCAGCTGTGTGCAGACGAATCCGTATTCGGTCGCATCATTGACTTTATTGTTACCACCGTACTTGCGTGGGTTGAGTCGCATAGGTTTCTGGAATCGAAGGTTTCCGATTGGTGGTTCCGCGTAGGGGATCCCTAGGAAGCGGAATTGGTTCTGGTCGCGGTATCCTTGCCACGTTCCTGCCTTGGGTGTCCTGACCTTGATCTGCTTGGATTTGTCGTTGTTGGTCCCGACTTGAGTGCGAGCAATGGAGTTGGTGCAGAGGGCTGGTAACTTGATTGAGCAGGAAAGTTGGAGTGTGTGGCCGGTCTTGCGGTCGAATGCGGTGCATTTAGCACTTCCTCCAGTGCCGTTATTGACCCAGTACTGGTTGCCGCCCTTAACCTCACTCGCAGCCACTGGAGTTGTGTTGAGCAATCGTTGTAGACCGGGGGTACTGCCCGAGGCGAGTTCTACAATAGTTTAGAGAGCGACCAATACTTGTGTGAGTGATCTGCTAATATATGAAAAAAAATGTTCAATTTGTAACCAAGCTGTGTTGCCATGCATACTTTCGCCCAATAAGGTGCAAGTTGACTGGCTGTCCTTGTATACTCTTGGTTTCGAAAGTAATATGACAGGGTTCTTTGGGGTCTGGGAGTCAACGTCGTTATCGAGTAAAAGATGAATCCCCGAGATGTCCTTGGCTGCGGGGGCATTTTTCACTAGTCCTGTCAAATTTGAGCTACTGCTGCTGAGGTTGAGTGAATAGATTGATGAAGGTGAAGGAGATGCGATTGTTGAACTGTAAGGTAAAGCAGCAGCTGCAAAGCAAATCGCCAGAAAGAGCGTCGTTCCTGTTGGCATGATGAATACTTTATTTGTTGTGTGAAGAGGATCCTGACAGATGAGGTATGGGAGAAAACAAAAGAGTTGGAGTGCGGGGTAAAGACAGTGGAAGGTGAAAAATGAGGACGTGGACGGTAAACGAGAAACCTTTTTTTCCTCGTTGTTTCAGATTGGCCGTTCTGATCCGGAAAACGCAGCATAATGCACCGCCAAAAAATGCGACAATCTCAGAGCTATTATTTCTCTTCCAGTTTGGAAGATAGGCTATCCGATGGAAAAAGAACGAGAGATGACGAGCGTACTACGCGCACAACACCTATCGCATAACAATTTGGTCCGCAAGCACAGAGATTATTCACGCGCATATCAATGCAATATGCATTGACTTATTGCCACTGCATCGCCCATTCGCTTTTTTGTATCGTTCTTACAAACACCAACACCCCACAAATCACAAACACACACATCGTCGACGCGAAAGACGACATCGATTTCATCAAAGATATATATAGTATTGTATATATAGTTTTGTATAAGTAAGCTGAACGACCAGTATCTCCTTGGTAAACATCTAGGTTCAGATCGGTTGGTCATCCTATGTCTAACCATCCCCCCATCTTTCGTCCGCCCCTGTTATGATTCATACTCATCCTCATCCTCAACTTCACTGTCATCGTCGTGTTCATGGAGAAAAAAATAAGAAACTTTATACAAACATAGATAACTAAATGACAAACATATCTAGGGGAAAATAGGCACAAACTTGCCATTAGGCGCATGGACCTGATAATCATAATGTACATTCTTCTCAATCCAATCCAATGACACCGCTCCGTATCCTTCCCAACCTCAACCCGCCCCGCCGTCTCCTCAAACACAAACACCCGATCCTCTCCACTCACATACTCGGGCCACTTTACACTCGTCACATCCGCATTCCTCGCCGCAAGCCCCAACACCCCACTATCCTTCTTCGGGTTCGGGCTCCCGGTCTTGGCAAATGTAACGAACCGATCGATCACCTGCCTTGAGAAGCGAGCATCAGAGCCCGTCTGGACTGTGCCATATTTCACATCCCCAGATCCGAATGAAGGGATCACATCGTCAGCGTGGCAAATGCGTCCGCGACAGAATGGGGGAGAAATGTCGCTAAATGTCGAGTAGATGTTGCGGCCGTAGTCCATCCTGTAGGTGTAGACTTTCGAATGCTGACTTGCCGTGCCTCGACTCATCCTCTGAACCGCACACGCCCAGAGCAAGTCTGTGACCGCAATCGAGAGCTCGTTCCGGATCGTGTCGGTATCGGATTTGTTGAGCGCGTAGGCGGGAGAGGTGAAGAGCTTCTTGGTCCGGTCCTCCAGTAAGTACCCCGCCAAAGCCTTATCCTCCTCGTCGAGTGGGATAGGTTTCGGGAAGGCATAGGGCAAGAACGCCGCCGCCTCATCCCGAGTCGAGCCCCATAGGATATTCGCCTTGCGGTTATAGCGACCGGTCCTGACAAGATCTGCAAAGTCACCTGGGAAAAAGTCGCCGTCGATGGTGGGTCGGTACACGCTTCCGGCGTTCATTAACCATTCGTTTCCGTCGGCCAGGATGACATCCATGGTGGCGTTGTGTTCTGCGATCTGGACTTGGACAGCGGTCTTGCTCTGTGCGCAGGCAAAGTCGGAGGGCGAGCAGCCAAGGTACTTTAGCAATCCTGCGCCAATCTCTCCTGCAATCTTTGGGCTCGAGAACGGACTAACAAAGGCGAAAAAGAAAAAGACATGTGCGTGTCAGCAACTCTTATTGTTTTACCCAGAATGGACATCTCCTTTCTTTTCTATGCACCACAGGCCAGGTCAAACTTACATGCCAAGCAGGTCTGATTGAGAAATAACGTTCTTGTACAACCCAAATGCAGCAGGAACCGAGAGAAGAGCGCGCATCGAGAATCCACCCGCACTTTCACCAAAGATGGTGACCTGGTCTGGATCACCTCCAAACGCGACAATGTTGTCCTGGACCCACTGGAGTGCCGCTATCTGGTCTCGGATTGCAAGGTTTCCCGTGGCCTTGGAACGAGAGATCAAAGGTGGGCTCTCAAAGAAGCCGAAAATGCCCAGTCTGTAATCTACAGAGTGTAGGGAAGAAAGTGCACAAGGAGGTAAGTATTCGTCATAGGGTGTCAACAAAACACTCAAATCTGATGCAAAACATAGAACACGAGCTTACTTAATGTAACAACGACGACACCGCCTCGCGAGACAAGGTTACCAGGCTCAAACACAGGGGATGACCCCGAGAACGACGTGAACCCTCCACCATGAACATACACCATCACCGCCAACCCCTTCTTCTTCCCACTACCGCCTTGCTCGCTTGATAAACTCGGCGTAAAGACATTGAGGTGCAGACAATCCTCACTTTCGGGAGCACCCAACGAAAACATCTCCTCCGTCGCGTTAGGTTTCGCATCCCCCTCATACGCGTCCTGCGTACACACGAACCCATACTTGGTCGCATCCTTCGCCTTGTCCGCATCACCTGCCTTCATCCGCTGGGGAGGCAAGAACCGAAGTCGATCAACAGGGGGCTGCGCATACTTGATCCCCAAGAACCGGAACTGGTTCTGGTCACGGTATCCCTGATAGGTGCCGGCATGGGGGGTGCGGACCTTGATTTGTTTCGTCTTGTCGGTATGGACGTCAGGACCAATCTGGTAACGGGGGAGGGTGTTGGCGCAGAGGGCGGGTAAGTGTGTTATGCAGGGGAGTTGGACTGTATGGCCAGACTTGCGATCGAATGCTGTGCAGGAAGAGGAGGAAGTGTCGGCGTTCTTGACCCAGAGCCGCGACACCTTCTTGAGATCGTTGGCAGCAATACGCGTGATGTCCAGTAAGTCTTTTGCAAACCCGAGGTTCCCAGAGTCGACCAAATCTAAAGGACAAACAAAAAGACATCGATCCCACGTTAATTGGTTAACATCTCTTTTACAAGGATTAAAATGGGTACCTCCTTTGAAAATGTTCAAGAAAAGTAAATACCTTCGCCGAGTCTGTCACAGACATGCCGACTATCCTTATAACTCCTAGCCTCTGCGAGAAAGATAACAGGATGCTTGGGCGTATTGGAGTCAAGGTCGTTGTTGAGCAAGAGATGGACCCCCGCCAGATCACCGGCCAAAGGCGCATCCTGGACCAAACTGGACTCTTGAGACGACTGGCGACGGTAGAGAGGAGAGGCGGATGCGGCAGTGGCCAGGCAGGAAGCGACCAGGAGGACCTTTGTGATGATGGGTGTCATCATCTTTTGGTTCATGTTATACGGTCGCCTCAATTGCAGTTTCATGGGATTGTGTGGGCGAGAAGGGGAACACAAGCTTAAGTGGTTAAGTGAGGGCTTTCGCTGTTGTTGTTTTGTTTGTCTTATTGAGAAGTGAAGCTGGATTGCGTGAAAAATAACGACGGGGATATCCCAGCTTTTTTATGTGAAAAAAACACCGCTGCGGCGAGTATCGCATGTAGAGGAAACGCGCTATGTTTTAGACATCGAGCCAATTATGCGTCCATTCCGACGAGGCAGGCTGCGGGGACACTGTTGGCTGTGGGGATACGGTTGGCTGGTTGGTTGGCTGGGTGCATAGGCTTTTGCCCAGCATCATGCTTTATTCCCCCCTCCTTCCTTCAAGTTCAGCCACGCCGCAAGATTAGCGCACGGGTAAACATAACATGACATGCCAAGCTGGCAAGCAGTGGCAGGATCAAAAGCAAGTGAAGATGAAGGCCGTACAAACATAGCCCGCCCGCCAATCATCCCTTTTTTATGTTTTCTGCGAATATCGAATCTTTCTATGTTACAAGAAGGGCGGCAGTTCGGCAATTGTAGTAGTTTTTGGAATATCAAAAAGGATGTCGCGGATATTAAAAATAAATAGTCGAACAACGCAGTGGCAGTGCGCCTGCGCAGAGTCTCTAAACAGTCTCCCAGTTGTGGTCCCTAGGTTTGACCTCCTCGCCGTTGTTGATCCTACGGCTGTCCTCACGCGCGACCTTGTCAATGCCGACAAAGCCATTGGCAAGCGTCTTTTCCCGCTGCGTGAGCATGTTGACTCGAGCGCCTGCCAAACAACTCTCGCCAAAGTCCCAGTCCGCGTCCTTGGGCTCCTTGGGTATCTGATCCTTGGACGACAATCCCAACTCCTTCAGAATCTTCTGTAAAACCACGGGATCGTCTGTGTCCCTCTCGCGATGCTTCTGGTCTCCTCCTCCAGTCATCCAGTAGTCGAACTGAAGGTACCGGTTCACGCCAGCGTTCTTGTTGCGGTAAAGTCCACCGTTCCACCACAGGGGGCGACCGCGGTAATCCTGATGCAACTGTGCTCCGCAAACGGAGTTTTCGTTGTCGGGACGGAGCTCTCCAATGACGCCTCCGTAGTTGCGCATAAAGACGTAGGGCTCCTGGATCATCTCAAATCCAATCCAGAACGTCTCCTTGTCGCCGTGGAAGATCTTGTAGCTGACAAGGTCGCGCTCCCACTTGCCGTTCATCTTGCACGTGCCCATCAAACCCAAAAATCGTGTCTTCTTGTTGATGAGGACCACTCCTGACTCTTGTTCGTGGGCCGACTTCATTCTGAACATGCGCGAGATGCGGGGGAACGAGGAGAGGATAGGCGTGATCGATTTCAGCCAGTCGGGTCCAACAGTCCAGCCTGGGAACAGTGTCCTGTCGTAAAAGAACAACGCTCCTGTCGCCAAATATCCTGGATCCTGGAAGAGCACTGCTGGGTCCTATTTTATGTTCATCGTCAATGAATTAGTGCTTGCTCAGTCAATGATGAAACCAAATGCATCTTGAAGTAGACTGTAAATAAATCCACATGCTCCGGGATCTCTCTTACCTGTAAAAAGTAGGCATCGGCATCGACAAACATGACCTCCTCAAAAGAAGAAGCCAGCATGGCAAAAGGTTTGATAGACCATCCACCAAGGCGCATATAATCGTTGTCCAGAATTTTTGTCACATCAATGATTTCAACATCGGTCGCCATCTGACGCAGATAGTCCTGACGAGCAGGGGACATGTCGCCATCGCCCATATGGAAGACCTGGATCGGAAGGGTGGACTTCAAGCGATTGCGAACAGCCTGGATGGAGGTCACCACGAACTCGAACTGGTTGTTGCCTGCACAAAAGACCAACCCACGGCCCTTGAAGGTGCTGTGGAGCGAGAACGACGATTGACGGACATACTGAACCCAAGGGAACAGACGTCTCTCCAGTCGCAAGAGGAAATCAATCTCGGGATGAGTCTTGGCCAGCTGGATTAGCGCCTTTTCTTTATCCCTGTCGTTGCGTCCTGCAAGCTTTTGGTAGGTGGGGTGGACGTGGTTCCAGAGAGACTTGTACAACTTTTCGGCGCGCGCCAGCTCTGCAAAGTTGAGCTTGTCGGCGTTGTCGATCGTCTCCTCTTTTCCGTACTCTTCCTTGATAAACTTTGTCTTCATATCGAATCCAATGGTGGTGTCGAGCATGTCTGTGTCCTCCTGTGTCCATGGTGGGATATTCTGGGGGATTGCCACGTCATGAGTGAGATGGAGGTTGTCTGGGACCTAAGAAATAGTCAACACAATAGGTTATAGATCTTTCTCTCACTGGAGATGCTAGCATGATTGTGTCACTATCAACTGACCCATCAGAACAACAGCCCTGTTTCTTTGTTTAGGTTCATGGTTGGGTTGGTGAAGGAAGGCGAACAAAAAGGCTCGCTCAATACCTTGAAGAGTGGAGTTGAAGGACGGTCCGTGGCCCTCTCCAGTGGGAAACGTTCACGACTATACTGGTCATCCTGTGTACTCAACCTGTCGCGAGAGAGGGAGGGCTGAAGCTGGAAAGTGAAGGCAAAGATGCAGAAGATGATGACGAAGCCGAAGGCCAGCTTGGCGGACCGCGGTAGTGAGATCATCCTCGAGAGTGGGTGACGATACGAGGGAGAATGACCTCTTATTGAGTGAGTGGCGATGAAGGAGGTCGAAAGATGATGAAAGGGAGGAACAGAAGAAGGATGATGGGTGAAAGGGTGGACAGGTAGACTAGTGTGATGGGTATGAGGGAAGGAGGAGTAAGAAGGGAAGAAGAATTAAGAGCAATACAGGGATGAGTAAATAAATGTGGAAGAGGGCTGAGGGAACTGAGAGAGCACAACCGCACATACCGTGGTCGACATCAACGGTCAACAATTTTCATCCGTTGATAGTCGATTTCTACACAGCTCCCGTTCTTTGTTTGCCTTACATTAATGCTAAACAAACAAAAAAGATGGTTGAAGCGAAACAGAATAAATTATGTTTCTACGGCATGATATCATATGAATGGTTATTCATATCTGTTGTTTTTGGTATGTATTTTTCATGAGTGGGGAAACATAGGGCACACGCTAGACTTGGTCAATGGAGTAAGGTATCGAGTGAACGTATTTGTTGTAGGAGGTTTATGCAATGGGTCCGATAGTATCTTTTTTCACTCGGTGCGCTGCTTCTTGGTCGAGGGGCCTCCTTCTGCCTCGTCCATCTTTTGGCGCAGCTCCTCGTATTCCCTCTTCAGCTGCTCGTGCTGGACATTGAGCGAGTGGATGGTCGCCTCGGCCACGCTCTTCTCCATCAAATACTTTTCAATCTCGTACTTTGCCGTCGTCGCGACCGCAATCTCGCCCGTCAGACGCTCGTTCTCTACAAGGACGGACTTGATGTACTTGACGGCCTCCTTGAGGATTGAGCCCTTGTTCTTGTCGCAGTTAGGGACCATCTTGGCGAGGCCGTTGATGCCGTCGTTGATGGTCTCCCGACGCCGACGTTCGACCTCCTTGTGGTTGTCTCGACGGATCTTGTGCCATTCCGCTGAACCTACAGCGGCCTTGGCCGGAGGTTGAGGGCTGCTATGTTGTATGTGTAGTGTGGATGATAAAGAGAAAGAGAGGGCCAATAAAACGACACGTGCAAAGAAGTCAATATCAAATTTGCTTATCGTCAGAGCCCCTTCCTTCCCTTGTGCAGCTATCAAAGAAAGTGAACACGCATGATAATAGTAAAAGGAGGATGTTTACCTTGCTGTGATGGGGACAGTGGCAAGTGTGCTCCCTGCCTCCGCGGCGGCAGTGGCAATGTGCTGCAACACCTGCTGATGCTGCTCATCCTGCAGTGCTGCTGCCTGCAGGACAGCAGTCGTCGGGTCTTGCTCTTGGGGCGGAAGCACCTGAGGCTGTGGCTGCTGCTGTTGTTGCTGGTGCTGGTCCTGTTGGTCCTGTTGTTGTTGCTGTTGATGTTGCTGTTCTTCCTTCAGTTGTTGCACCTGTTGTTGTTGTTCTTGCTGGACCTCCTGCTGGTGCTGTGCGGCAATACGCTGGAGCTGCTCGTGGTCCTTCTGCTGTTGCTCGGCGTAGTGCGTGGATTCCATGGCCGCCACGGCCGAGGCTGCCTTGGCAATCGATGCCGCAAAGGACTCGTTTGATGATGCAAAGGACTCGCTTGCTGAGATGGAGTTTGACTATCATCATTGATGGTACACATAAGAGCGTTGTTGTTAGTGTTATTGTTGGCTGTCAGTTGCGAGTATGTACACTCAATGTTATTACGGCCGTTGAGTTCATACGACGCAGCATCGAGAAGTGAGGGTGTTGGGACCAATTGGACCGTGTCCCCTTCATTTGAAAGCAGTCCTTCCGTCCTTCCTCCTTCGTTTCCTGAGTGTTTTCAGACAGGCACTCTTCTTCTACTCATTCTTTTTTTTTGCTGCTCTGCCTACTCCAGCGGACTCCTCCAGGAACTTACCAGCGTGTTCAAAACTTCTTGGACGTCTTGGTTGTTCTCCATGGTTGTCGACTGGATGATGTTGGTCAAATGGCACGAGAAGGAGAGTTGTTCTGTTCAGAGTGGTGGCAATTGCTTTTTTTTGGTTAGTTCAAACAGCCTGTTTCCGAGTGACCAACGAGTCAGTCCTTGCAAAACACACGCGTTGGAGGGAGAAAGATTGCCACTACTGGAGCATGAGTTGGTGCTGTTGAAGTAGTAGGTGTAGGAGGTTGTCCATGGAGGTGTAGTGTGGGTATAGTGCTGGGCTGTCTTGAGAATAGACTGACCTTGAGTTTTTTGGGGTAGGTTGTTGCTGGACAGAAGAAAGAGAGGAGAAAGAAAAAACGTGATCGCTCGAAAAAATAACGTGAGTCAACGTGATCGTGTTGGAACTAATCGCATGCACTGCGCTCTCTTTCTGATTGGCTCAGGGCTATATCCACTGTCTAGTGCCTCACTGCCCTTTGCCTCCTCCTCCTCGTCTCGTTGACGGGACAAAATGCAACATGTATACGACATACTGGGCACCTGGATCTCTGCAACTCATTCTTGGCTAGGATGTGAACATGTTTAGTGGCATAGAATGTACAAGACTCCCACAGCCCTGAGCAGAGTTGTTCTAGTGAAAGAACCTTCGATTCATGCACAAAACAGCAACACGCACAGGCTATTCTGCATGGTCATCAACTCTGTGTACCTGTGTCGAATGTATCTGTCTCTTGGGGTGTGTTTGATGGCCACTGCAAGCATTCAAGCCAAGCTGCATAAAGCGCACCGTATCCATAAATGTCATGACTAGCACCGCCAGAAGCCTGTTGAGGATATCACCATAGACCCAATTGAAGCTTTGTTTCTCTTGTCTATTCGACCCTGTGAGCAGTCGTCGATTATGGTTAGTGTCCCACGGCCCAAAACAAGATTCTGTCTTGTGTCCATGAGCCGGTCAGTCCAGGACAAATATCATAAAAAGAAAAAGGCTGCCTTCCACTTCCCCCCCTTCTCTCTTGTCTCCTCTATTCTCACTCACAGCTAACAACCACATCCTCTCCCTTATTTCACTTCTTCTCACTCTCTCTCTCACTCTCTCCCACACACACACACCTCAGATACACACACACACACACAGACACATACACACAAACATAACAAAAGAGCGACAACAACAAAAATGAACACGCAACACAACACCACAGACGACTATGTCAGACCCCCGGTCCACGAGAAGAAAGTGTTGTGCGACTCGGACTACTCTCAGGACCCTTCTCGGATCCTTTCCAACTACCTCGTCCACGCGCCCAAGCCATTCAACGCAGAGCCCCATCTCCCTCTCCTCGTCAACGCCGGCCTCATCACTCCCACAGACGTCTTCTTCAAGCGTAACCATGGACCCATCCCCGACATTCGTCTGGAGGACCATCAGGTCTATATCGGTGTTCAAAGCCTGAACGACTCACAGCCTGCTGAGTGGAAGGCTTTAAACATGCACGACATTATGACCCGATGGCCCAAGGCAACCATTACCGCATCCCTTCAGGTAATACATAACATCCGCTTCTTTTTTTTTTTCTGTTTGGATACACACAGCGAAAGTGAGAGAGAGAGGAAAACACTCAGCATGCAATGCATCGCAACGCTGCTACCATTACAGGAAATTCAACTCACATCGTTCTCTTGTCAACTGTGCTGTTGAATAGTGCGCCGGAAATAGACGCGAGGGACTGGCTCAGCTCAAAGAAGTCAAGGGCGTCATCTGGAAGGCGGGCACCATCTCCAACGTAAGTTTTCTTTTGTTTGTTTCCTGGAAGCGAGAAGGAAAGGAAGGAGAAAGCAGAAGAACAAAGAATGAAAGGAGGCCCTGTTCTTTCCTTTCCCTTCGTCTCCTTTTCCTTCTTTCGTAATGGGTGAGAGTGTTTCGTTTGTTTGTTGTCGCCATCTGACGACATAACCTTATTCCTGTGGTCACGGCCGACTTTTCTTTTGCCCTCATCTCCCTTATGCATTTCCCCCTTTCTCATCCCACTCCTTGTCTCTCATTATTATTTGTTTGTGTGTTCTTCCTTCCCTTTTTCTCTTCCCTCTCGGCTCTCATTCTGGACCGATTGTTGTTGTTAGTTTCTCATTTCCCGTTTGTGCCTCTTGTACTCACTCATCTCAATCCAAAAGGCAAGAAAGGAGCTAACACATACATCAATGCATGCTGTTATCGAATAGGCTGTTTGGTCTGGCCCACGTCTCTGTGATATCCTCAAAGACATTGCCGGCGTACCGGTGGATTTGCATAACGAAATGATCCGCAACTACCACGTCTCCTTCGAGGCTGATGACCATGTCAAGGAAGACGCCTGCTACGGCAGCTCCATCCCCCTCCGGAAGGCAATGTACGTCTCCCACGTCGATGCTGTCGTCTTGCATGCAATTCGCATTTTATCCTTGGTTGCCACCTTTGTAACTAACCACATTCTACTTTCGACTATGATGTGCCTTGCTTACGATCTATGAAATAGGGATCCATTGGGAGATGTCATTATTGCTTACGAGGTAAGGGAGAAAGTTACCCCCTCGCATATCCTTGTCTTTATTTCTGCCGAAGACAACTGGAAAAGGAAGCAAAAGTGTAGCTGCATCATTGTACTTACACGTTTTTTTCCTTTTCTGCCAAACCACACGTTGGCTTTTATCCCTCTTCCTCTCCCTCCTCTTCTCTATGTCTTTTTTCCCCCTTATCTATGCAGATGAATGGCCAGCCATTGACCCGAGACCACGGTTTCCCACTCCGAATGATTGTGCCAGGATATATTGGTGCTCGGTCTGTAAAGTTCCTGCAAAAGATCCTTGTCCAGCCCCAAGAGTCCACTTCCTTCTTCCAGCGCAGAGATTACAAGATCCTTCCTCCATGGGTAACCATTTTTTTTTTTGCCACAACCGAACACAAAATGACCCGAATGATGTTTTTACTGTTTACGCGCACAATACTAACCGCTATTTTCCATCTTCCTTCTCTTATTCTGGATGGCAACAGATCGACGCATCAAATGTGGACACGGCGTGGGACACAACCGTCTCCTTGGGAGAGATGAACGTCCAATGCGTGATCTGTACCCCCATGGACAAAGAAGTCATCCTCTGCCCGAAACCAGTGACCGTTAAGGGCTATGCCATATCGGGCGGCGGACGCGCCATCTACCGCGTCGAGCTGTCCGTTGACGGTGGCAAGACCTGGGAGCCTGTCGATAAAATTGAACAAACTCCCGATAAGGTCAGTGGGATGTATTGGGCCTGGGCGCTATGGGAGAAGAAAGTCCCAAAGATCTTGACGACCTCAGAACTTGTCGTCCGTGCCTGTAAGTTTCTCTCACTCTCTCACTCTCTCTTTCTCGTTAGTCGTTTTGTTCATGTGTTTTTGGTTAGAACCAAAATTTGCTGACCATTGTTTTCACTCCCTCTGCCTTTTCTATTGTGTTTCTTAACAGATGACTCGAGTGGAAACATGCAACCAGAGTTCCCAATCTGGAACTACAGAGGCGTGATGAACAACGCTTGGTTCCGCGTAAACAATGTCATCCAGATGCCTCAGCATAACATGTAGACCAACCCCTTTCTTCTGTTGCTTTATCTTACTTTTGTGCTTTTATCACTTTTGGGTTCTTTTTTTTCTCACAATAATACCCCCTACATTCGTTCAGAGATATACTTTTGCTTGGTTGTGTCAAGGAAGGATGCAGAATTGGGTGGTGAAACTGGTACGCGTACTTTATTTATGAAAGTTCTCGTATTGACGGAGTATGGGGGAGGGAGGGTATCCTCCAGCATCGATATAATGGATGCTCGATCACAGGAAATGAAAATGATAAACAAAATAGAGGGTATATACATCACTACATACAAAAGAAGAGATCCAGCTCAGGGCAAGTTGCCAGGAATCTCGGTCCAGAAGGAGTACTTGAACACAGTCTCGATCCAGTTGCACTCTGCGTTCTCAAGGTTGGACGACATGGAGCTCTGGACGTTTAATTCAAACACCGGGTTCGAATCATCATACGCCGTCCAGTTGACACCGGTGACGTCGGGGTTCTTGTTCTCGACACCCTGGAGACCGGGTTGTGGGTTGGGGTTGCCCGTCTTGGCGAATGTGGTGAAGCGGTCGACAACCTGCCGGGCGAAACGAGCATCGTCGCCTGTTTGTTTGATCGTAGGGACAGCAGCTCCTGAAGCAAAAACAGGTTGGATATCGGCCGAGTGACAGACACGACCGGTGCTGGAGGAGCAGTAACCTTCACCGACCAAGGGGGTATCACGTCCACGGTTGAAGCGGAAGTTGTAAACGGGTTTACGCTTGGTCATCTGGCGGGAGAGGTATCGGAGTGGGCAGAAGAAGTAGAATTCTGTACCGGCACGGGTGAAAAGGTTGCGGACGGCGTCCGAGTCGGAGGGATCAGGCTGGAACATGGGGTTGCTCAACATCAGTTCCGACTGAGCCTGGCTGAAGACCAGGCTGAGGGCTGTAGTCACGTTCGCGATGGGGACGACGTTGGGGAAGTACTGGGGGACAAAGAGACCAGCTTCGTCGTGGACAGTTCCCCACATGATGTTGGCTTTGGTGTTGTAGGTACCCGCCTTAGCCATGGCCGAGAACTCGGTAGAGATCAACAGTTTGTCAATTACAGGACGCTCGACCAGCGCCCAGGTGGTCCACTTGTCATCCGCCAGGGCTTTGGCGTTAGCAGTCGTCTGGGCCGTCAAGACCTGATCTACAGGCCGGGTACGCGCACAAGCAACATCCGCACAATTCAATGCCTGCAAGAAGTATGTCGTGATCGTGGCCGCATCATCAGGAGTCTTGAAGGGTATATTAATCGGGTCACTCTCACCAATGACGCCCTGGTAAAGTGGGAAGGCGACGGGGGCAGCAAGAAGAGCACGGATACTGGTGGCACCTGCAGATTCACCAAAGACAGTGACACGGGTTGGGTCGCCTCCGAAGGAAGCAATGTTCTTTTGGACCCATTTGAGGGCAAGGATCTGGTCGCGAAGGGCCTGGTTTCCTTGGATCTCGGAGCGACCCCAGGCGGCTTCGTTCTCGAACCAGCCAAGCATGCCGAGACGGTAGTTGATTGTCACGACGACGACTCCGCCGCGGGAGACCATGTTGCCGGGTTCAAAGATGATGACCGAGCCAGAGTAGCTATGGGAGGCATTTTACCAAGAAGTCGATAAAGGTTAGTAAATACACCAAAAGAAAAGTTATACCGTAGCAGCATGTCCAGGAAGAGAAAAAATACTTACGTTGTGAATCCTCCTCCGTGGATGTAGAACATGACGGGAAGAAGCTCCTGTCCAGTGCCCTTCAAACTGGGGGTATAAACGTTCAAGTTCAAACAATCCTCCTGCTCCGTGGCACCGTTCTCAAGATAACTCAACAACATCGGCACAAACCCTGCTTCCTGACTCGTCTGAGGACAAACACCCTTATAACTCAACGCATCGAAAGTCCCCGTAAACGCTGCCTTTGCAACCGGGCTCGCAAACCTCAGATTCCCAACGGGAGGCTCAGCATAGGGGATACCCAAGAAGCGGAAAGCGTTCTGGTCACGCCAGCCTTGGATAGTGCCTGTGGGAGTGGTGACTTTGACTTGACGGGATGTGTCCTGGAAGAGGAGGACGCGACGGAGGACAGAGTTGAAGCAGATGGTGGGAAGTTGGGTGGAACAGGGGATCCAGTCTGTCTTGCCGGTGTTCTTGTTCACTGCCAAGCAGTTAGAGAGTACGCCGGGGACACCTGAATGAGATGGGAAAGCAAATAATAATAAAAATCAAGCACAGTCATGAAAGTTAGTAGTTGCGTGAGGACTGAGAAAATATATCACCAAAAATAGTCGTGGAATGTTAGGTGATGAGATGCTGAGAAAGAGAAGAGGGGTAATGGATGGTTACCGTTGTAAACCCAGAACTGACTGAAGGCAGAGATCTCCTTCTGGGCGACTGCGTTGTTGTTCAAGAGGGTGACTAGGTTGGATGCACCAGCTGTTCCTGAGATATATATGTATCCACCTAGTAGTTCGCAACAAGCGCGCCACCAAAAAAATGAAATAATGACACAGCGAATGTAATCAGATTAACCGGAAGAATCAAAACCAAAAACCACCACACGAACAGAAAAAGCGAACGTACCATCGCCCATGGCGCTACAGGCATTCATGCCATCATAATACCCTCTAGGGGCAGAGAGGAGCAAGAATGCATTCTTAGCAGTCTCAGAGTCGACATCGTTCAGCAGCAACAGGTGGGCTCCGTTGATGTCGCTTGCTAGGGGGGCCGAGTTGTTCAGGCCACGTTTCTCGACTTTCGGTGCGGGGGCTGCGATGGAGACTTGGAGGGTGGCCAACAAGGCCACTGCGCTCGACAAGATCTGTTTCAGTACAACCATTGCTTGTTGTTGTTGGTGTTGGTAAAGGGAGAGAGAAGAAGGGAGAGAAGGGTGGAGATGAAGGGAAGAGGAGGAGAAGGGGAGGTCTTCAGGTGGGACTGGAAGGAAGGCGCTAAAGAACTGAAGAAGATAAAAGTGTAAACGCGCGTATTTATACAGGGGAGGAATAGCCGCAGCGCAGTCTGGTAGTTTAGGTCACCATGGAGGTCTCGGGGTGAAGTAGAGCCGATCGAAGGTGGGGATACAGTCATTCGATGGTCAATGGGACATGATTTAATCCTGTTTATTGTAAAGGGAAATATGTGCGAGTGAATGAATTGGAGGAGAGGAGGACCCTTTAGATTTAATTCTTATTGTTGACCAGCTCCTTGTTCAACACGAATAACAACATAGGACGCAGGGGCATGTAAGGTTGAAGGCTGCATGCATATGTGGGAGAATTCGTTAAAGTTTTCGATCGGCATTATTAACCCTCTCCTTTCTTGCAGCGTGCCATGACCCCTCATTTCCTCCTTGTTCCTGCCTTTGTTGCCCCTGGCCGACACCCCTCCTTTTCTCCCATCCGTCTTGGTCGTTGATTTTTCACACTCTCTTCGCTACCCTTACCCCTTTTCATTTGTCCTGGTGTGGAGAAGAGGCTCGACCGGAGAAACAGGATCTCTTATGCTAATTCACCCACGGAGGGCGAAGAAATAAAACGATGGGAATGGCGGAGAGAAAGGGGGAACGAGCCGAGCCTGGGGGTTACTCCGCGCGCGAGCATGTGTCAATTCCCACCACACGCAACAACGGGGATGGTTTGTGCAAAAAACAGTGGCATGTTGACATTGAGCAATGGGTTGGGTAGGGCGCGGAGAAGAGGACAAGGCGAGGGAGAGAGGCGTCAGAGGTGACGGGACGGGTTAATTCTTACAAGGATGGTAGGGGAAAAGCTACCTTTAATCGAAGACAAGTCCTTGTATCTACCATTGACTATCGCGATAAAACAAAATGCGCTGAATAACAAACAAACAAAATGTTTAACAAGGCTTGTCGTTTTGTCTATAGATGCTATGTATGTGTAGAGCGAGAGGAAGAAGATGTAAGCCTGTCCGCTACAATTGCTCTCAATTATTCTTTCTTTCGCGACCAAGCCAGCTCTTTATTTCTTGTGCTGCAGTGTGCACATGTGGATGTCACACCTGTTCTGTTGGTCTGGGCTTTTATTTCCTGCAAGAAAGACATTCCACGCCTGCAGACAGAATGACGAGAGCGGGATAAGAACGAAGACAAAGAACCCCAAGCGATCGAGCTACACACTTTTCTCTTCTTGACGGGACAAAGCTCTGTTGACCAGACGAACATATCGTCTTTGTCATCGCGGATTACCCTTGGGCGTGTTTGTGTCCATTCTCGATTGCCGTTATTTTGCGGGTGAATTCTCATTCATCTCTCTCTCCCTCCCCCTCCTTGCCTCCGCGCCGTAACGGATGAAAATGTTCAGGGTTTTTGTTGATTGTTTGTTGTTGTCTCTCTAAAGGCCCTAATCCGCTCCATCTCAATCCACCTTCACAAAAAACAAGAGGTCAGACCGCTGCCTTTGTTATTTGCTCATCGCTGTTTGTTGTCCCCTTTGTTGTTTGTTTATTTGTTTACAGGATGTGGGGTGTGAAATTCCACAGGTCTGATGACCAAACCTTGCGAACGCCCGCGTCAAGGTCGACCGTACCTCCTACTTTCTCTCCCTCTCCTTTTCTTGCTCCCTTCCGTTGAATTATGAGAAAAACAAAAACAAAACAACAAACAATCGAAGCACTAATACAATCCACATCCTATCTCGCGATAACAAAAAAATTCCAGTCAACAAGCCAACTCCGTTCTATTATTCTTTCACATTTTAGCGCCCAAACACCCTATCGCTTTGCTATTTTGTTTTCTTTTCGTTGCAAAAAAAAACATAAGACGAAAACGAAAAACGGGCCAGGGACATGAGTAAAAGGTGAGTGACGCGTCTGTTTACTTCTATAACCCTTTCTTCTGCTAATGCATCCGGTCCAACTGACCCTTCGCATACACATCCATCTGTGTCTACCCATGTCAGACAGCCAAAACTTCGCCCCTCTACACATATTGATATGTCTCGGCTATTTTTTCAGTCATTGAGAATGACAAACGCAGAAAAAACACAAGCGAGTAGCGTTATCGAATAACCAGCTTCTTCGGATAATAGCTTAGATAGTTACTCTTCGATGGTATACAAAAAATAATAGTCATCGCGTTTCTGTTGCCTCGTAGCGTACGACTCAACTCTTTGGCGCGTCTCTTTATGAGCGTTTCTTTGTACATTTTTTTTTGTCTTCACAACAAAAACGTGGCTCCAGATATGAATGGAGTAGCATCGAGTCAGAAAAAAGTGGGGAGGGATGGACAGGAATAACAGGATGGATGAATGGAAAAAAAAACTATCATGATCGAGCGGGTCTAGAGAGAGAAAGTGAAGCGTACGCGTTCAAATTGATGTATGGCAAGTAGCATTTTTTTTTTTACCTCGCGTCATTCTCGTCCGAGATGGAGTTGGCACACATTATCTCTTCAGATGAGACACAAATCAGAATGGTGTTCCTTTATAACGCATGCTGTACCCAAGTCAACTCATGAAAAGGCGAAAGGAAAGAAAAAAAAACATGAACATAACACCGAAAACCATAATACAAAATATAATCGATGAATGTGCACCATTCACCACAAAAAAAAACGCAAACTGAAAAAAGTGAATGGTGTCAAATCGTCTTTTTATTAGTGGAAAACAAAAGAATACCGTTTTACATATGGATAAGGCGGGACCCATGGGCAAACGAACCGAATTGGGGATGGATGGATCCCGTCTTCAGACTTATGAAAAGATATGTGAACTATGTGGTATATATATAATTAAGATGATATTGAAAAGAATCGCTTAGGGCAAATTGCCAGGAACCTCGGTCCAGAAGGAGTACTTGAACACAGTCTCGATCCAGTTGCACTCTGCGTTCTCAAGGTTGGACGACATGGAGCTCTGGACGTTCAACTCATAGACGGGGTTCGAATCGTCATACGCCTTCCAGTTGATACCAGTGACATCGGGGTTCTTGTTCTCGACACCGGGCATGGAAGCCGTGGGGTTGGGGTTACCGATCTTGGCGAATGTGGTGAAGCGGTCGATGACCTGCCGGGCGAAACGAGCATCGTCGCCTGTTTGAGCGAATCCGGGGACTGCAGCTCCCGAACCAAAGACGGGTTGGATATCGGCCGAGTGGCAGACACGACCAGTGCTGGAGGAGCAGTAACCTTCACCGACCAAGGGGGTATCACGTCCACGGTTGAAGCGGAAGTTGTAAACGGGTTTACGCTTGGTCATTTGGCGGGAGAGGTATCGGAGTGGGCAGAAGAAGTAGAATTCTGTACCGGCACGGGTGAAAAGGTTGCGGACGGCGTCCGAGTCGGAGGGATCAGGCTGGAACATGGGGTTGCTCAACATCAGTTCCGACTGAGCCTGGCTGAAGACCAGGCTGAGGGCTGTAGTCACGTTCGCGATGGGGACGACGTTGGGGAAGTACTGGGGGACAAAGAGACCAGCTTCGTCGTGGACAGTTCCCCACATGATGTTGGCTTTGGTGTTGTAGGTACCCGCCTTGACCATGGCCGAGAACTCGGTCTTGATCAACAATCCGTCAATGGAAGGACGCTCAACCAGCGCCCAGGTGGTCCATTTATCGTCAGCAAGAGCCTTCGTGTTGGCGACACCTTGAGCAGTAAGGACGTCGTCAATGGGGCGGGTGCGGGCACAGGCAACATCGGCGCAGTTTAGGGCCTGGAGGAAGTAGTTGGTGATCGAGGCGGCATCGTCGGGGGTCTTGAAGGGGATATTAATCGGGTCGCTCTCACCAATGACGCCCTGGTAAAGTGGGAAGGCGACGGGGGCAGCAAGAAGAGCACGGATACTGGTGGCACCTGCAGATTCACCAAAGACAGTGACACGGGTTGGGTCGCCTCCGAAGGAAGCAATGTTCTTTTGGACCCATTGGAGAGCGAGGATTTGGTCGCGAAGGGCTTGGTTACCCTGAATCTCGGAGCGACCCCAGGCGGCTTCGTTCTCGAACCAGCCAAGCATGCCGAGACGGTAGTTGATCGTGACAACAACGACACCACCACGCGAGACCATGTTGCCGGGTTCAAAGATGATGACTGAACCAGAGTAACTATGAAAGACATTGTAACAAGAAGTCAATGGAGGTCAGTAAATACACCAAAAGAAAAGTTATACCGTAGCAGCATGTCCAGCAAGAGAAAAAATACTTACGTTGTGAATCCTCCTCCGTGGATGTATAACATGACAGGAAGGAGTTCTTGGCCCTTGCCCTTCAAACTGGGGGTATAAACGTTCAAGTTCAAACAATCTTCCTTCTCCGTGGCACCATTCTCGAGGTAACTCAGCAACATAGGAATGAATCCCGCAGCCTGAGTGGTCTGGGGGCAGACACCCTTGTAACGGATGGCATCAAAGGTTCCTGTGAAGGGGGCCTTTGCAACAGGCGAAGCAAATCGCAAGTTGCCAACGGGAGGCTCAGCGTAGGGGATACCCAAGAAACGGAAAGCATTCTGGTCGCGCCAGCCCTGGATTGTTCCGACGGGGGTATCAACCTTGATCTGACGGGAGGCATCCTCGAAGAGAAGGACACGACGCATGACAGAGTTGAAGCATACGGTGGGCAGTTGGGTGCTGCAGGGGATCCAGTCGGTCTTGCCGGTGTTCTTGTTGACCGCCAAGCAGTTAGAAAAGATTCCAGGGACACCTATTGGACATGACAATAACGGGGTAAGGAAGGAAAGCGAAGGAAGCGGAGAAAAAGAAATGAGAAGGAAGCGACGAAAAGGGAGAGAGAAGGAAGGATAATTAAACATTGGTTAGCAAGGGGGTGATAAATTACATTGTCAAAAAGGGGATGACTATCGAGACAACATATCGATCGGGGTTTTAAGATTTTAAGATGGGCGCATAGGCTTGTTCTCGGGGAATAATATAGTACCATTATAGACCCAGAACTGAGAGTAGGCGGTGACTTCCTTCTGCGCGGCAGGGTTGTTGTTCAACAGAGAGACGAGCTCATTGGCACCAGATGTTCCAGGAATGTAGATGTATCCACCTATGTGCGCATCGTTGCATGTCAAAGATCAATGGGATGACAAGAAAAAGATTGTTGTGAGTAAAGTAGAACACTGTAGCACATAAAATTTCCATACAAGATCATGGCCATTGCGTTGGACAACAGACAAAATGTATGCAGGGGAACGAGTGAGAAGAAGGAGAGACATACCATCCCCCATGGACAAGCAAGCGTTCATTCCATCGTAGTAGCCTCGGGCGCGAGAGAGGAGGACGTATGCGTTCTTGATGATCTTGGAGGAATCGACATCGTTCTGGAGGAGCAAATGGGCGCCATCAATGTCGGTGGCTGAGGGCGCTGTTGGCAGGAGCAAACGCTTGTCGAGCTTGGCGGGCGCGGCTTGGACTTGGACTTGGGATGTCACAAAGAGGACGGCAACGGCCGAGAGAATCGTCTTGAGGAGAACCATTATGTTGTGGTTGTATATGTACACACTCGACACTAAAAGAGCGGAGGTAAGGGGAGACGAGCAGGACAGGAGTTGTGAATGAAGGGAACTAACAACGGCGGAGAGGGGTAGCCGGAAGCCGTGGGACTGATGGGTGAATGAGGGAGGGAGACTGGAAGCGGTGGTGAGATGCTGGAGGAAATTGCACTACAGAACAGAAAAAAAAAGAGGAGAAAGTGTTTGTTCCTGGCGGGGGTTTTATACAAAGAGAGAGAAGGGTCCTCGTGGTTACAGGCAAGGGACAAGGGATAATGCAAATGCAGGTCTGCCCTGGCTGGCCATTCTGTTTGTATGTCTGTACCTGGCAAGCAAAGAGTTAAGAGTTAAGGCAAAGAAACGGTCATGGCGCAGAGCAGAGGAGGGGGCAATCGGTTTGAGCTGCATGACGAGAAAGCAAAAGTCCAAAAAAAAAAGGCAAAGGTGAATTGAGCGAATGGAAAGTGCGGAATACAGGTGGGGGTCAGCATGGATGGAAGGATGGGGACGGGGTCAACAAATAAACATAGCTTAGTGCACACTGAATAAACAGAAGCGATTCACTGACTTGCAGACGAGGTTTGTCAATTCTCTTTACTCTCACACTTCCTTTCCGAGTGCCGACTCTCTTCTTTTCGTCGTTTCCCGAGAGCAAACAGCGGGCAGAGTACGCACGCGAGAGAGAAAGAAAGAGGGATACTCTCATAGCCTGGAATGTGGAGAGGAAATGTCAGGGTCAACCAGCAACTCAAAATCTTCTTTTTGCCTTTCTCGTCGCCAAGGCTGAACCTTGTCAACTAGCCTTGAAAGATAACATACCAGCATTTGCCATTTAGTTCATGACGACCAACCGAACAATAGTGAACCAAGGTTAATGGAACGGGCTCCAAGGAAAGAAAACAAACGTTGTAAGATATTACCCAGGAGATGTCCGGTATGCCAACAACAAAAAGGGAGGCAGTCAAGAGTAAACATATCTATTTTATCTCATGCGGATGTAGTTGGTGAATGAATGAACGATCAACCTCTCCTTTCTTTCCTCCTTCCATTTTGTTCTCCAAGCAGCCGATCCAGTTGACGCGTTCGTGGAATAAAAATAAGCAATTCGATTGTTGAAAGCCAGCAGTCTAGATTATTCGATTTTTGTCGTCTTTGGTTGTTCATGACTAATGGCTTCCACCCTTCGGAAAAGGATGAAGCAATTTGCAAGAAAAAAAACAATGAAGGTGGAAGAGGTTGAAGCACTGGGTGATTGTCGTTTTCGTTTGCTGTTTTGGTTATTGACTTGAACTGTAAAAGGCGTTGACATGCGCAAGCCAGGGGTGAGGAAAAGGAGTGAAATGGATAGAGAGGTTTTGCTCCACACTTCCATCCATCATGAGAAGAGGCGAGGTATGATGACTGTGGGAAAGTTGTCGACAACAACATTGGAATAGAAAAAAAACAATAACAAACAACTAACGATAAGAGAGGAGAGAATGTAAGAGATCAAGCAAAGCAAAACAGGTCAAGTGGCGCGTGAGTGTGAGTGTGAGAGTCTTCAATTGCCTTTTGTTTTTTATTTGGATACGATCGAGAGGTATGGAGAAGCCCAATGCTCAAGTAGCCCCTTTTCTCGGTTGTATTTTTTGTAATTCGAAATACCCTTATTAACCGGCACCATCCCCTTTCTTTCTTTTCTTTCTTCTCGTCTTTCCCTTACAAACCACAACAGCACGTCTACAATTGGAGTCTGGATACCCAAGGTGAAGTACCAACTAATAAACTACTACGATCCCATCAACGCGACTTTCCGCAGAACACGAAACTCCTATCCGGTATTCAGTACCACACCTTGAGCAAAGGATACAGACAGGAGACGAGTCCCACCCAGTCCCACTTACATCTGTCGTACTCCATGCATGGATTGCCTGTTGTGTGCTGTTTCGGCATTTGCTCTCTTTTTTCAGTGCTTACCTTTTTTGCTGCTCCATGTTCTTTGTCACCATACCTTTGAGGACACCCACCTGTCCAAATTTTGGGTTCATCGTCATATTTTTCTCCTCTGTTGAGAGCATTTTCCCTCTCCCTCCCCCCACACCAAAATGTCACCTCCATTTCTGCGCCATCGAGTCCAAGTTCTTGGCTCCATTTGAACATTGCTACCTTTGTCATTTGCCTTTTGTGCATGGCGTGCAACTCCAAGGACGAGACGATGCTCAAGTGAGATGGGCAATCCCAGCTCACAGTTTCGCTTTTCCCTTTACTTTTCATATACTACCTGTTATTCGCACTTTCATTATCAGCCTAACTCTCCCCCCCCCCCTTTCTCGTTCACGTCAACCTCGAAACCGATCATGTGCGCCACCTCCCTTTCCCTCCTCCTCCCCTTCCCCTTCTCCATCTCGTCTCTCTCCCCATCTCCTATCATATCCATGTCGTCGTCAGCAGGGACAGGGGCAAAACAAATAACAAAGAAATCCGATCGCCAACAACAAGCATAACGGCGTTACGTTTGCAGGTACATGCCTCAAATGCATGTATCCCTCTATCTTTTCACAGGAAAAAACAAAAGTTGAACAGGTGGTGTGTGGCCCGTGGGTCACATTCCAGACTACTGAACCGATCGCTTTTTTCACTTGGTTGTTTACTTGTTTACTTTCTCCCTCCACATCTCCCTCCTTTCCGATTCCCTCGATTGAGAAAAACAACAACAAAGGGTCGGGTCGAGGTGGTTGAGCGGATGGGAGGGAAAGTAAACAAATAAACACAGGTATTGGATAAGACTATGCCATACTGAGGAAGGATGAACAAAAAGAGTTTGGTCGTACCCTGACTAGGTCATTGTTTACTTGTCCCTGGTTTTTTTCTTTCTCTCTTTCTTTTGTCTCGTCTCGTCTACGCGAATGCTTAACCTGCACAAGCACCATCTTTCTTTCTCTCTCGCTTTGCCTTTGTCTTTAAGAAAAGCCTATTCCCCTGCACCTTTGATTTTCATTGCTGGATATCCCATTTCTAATGATTACTCCGGACGCCTGAGGGACCATACCGCAACGTTGAAAGTTGGAGTTGGTTACTCCTTTTTGCATGCTCTTGCGTCGTTGTGTTTCTGTTGTTGCTGTTGTCATCGTAAGTGTTTATCGTTTTTTTCATCCGTTTCCGATATCGAGATATGGATTACTCCTTTTGCTCAATAATGGTGCACGACCATGATGGGGGCTGCACAAAACAGACGGACAAACCTTGCCGAGCGTTGACAAATGCAAAATGCCTCGTTTGATGTCCTCTGTCACCTGACCATAACGCGCTTGTGCACCTCTTGCGCGTTGCATTTTATATGATTACCACCGCTTGGTAACAAGTATCAAAGATACACACCTTGGCGTCGTCAAACTCTTCTCTTTTGACGATTCAAACACAGTCCGCCAGGGCGTAGCAATAGGGATTTGACACCACCCGCCCTCTTGTGTTCAAAGTTCCTGCAGTGATGACAAAGACGCGCCCTGGAACCTGACGCCGATGCATCAGGGTCCATCAGCGCACACGCACACAGCACAAATAATTGTCGGGAAGAGGGCTCCCAAAGGGAATCCGAGGAGACATGTGCATCGTACGATGTCCACTTCGCGGTCCTCATTGGATAGTGACAGAAGTGGGGTGGAGGATGCGGGCGATAATTTTTTTCCCCCTTACCAGTTTGTGCGCCATGAGCACACACATTTGATGAATTCCCTTTTTTCTTTTTTGTCTGTTCTCAACAATGTATGCATGTGGGTATACATGATAAGGAGAACGCGCATAAAGGGATTCACTTAATCATTATGAGAAGAGGGGAGGCAGGTGTGGTCATGTTTTACACACTCCAGAAAGGAATAGCAAAGAGAGGAGTCCATAGAAAATTCGCCATAAGAAGGGGGAAAGGACGAGGCTCACTTGAGCCGACGACACACAGAAGTATTGTGCACCATTATCACATATCTCAGATCAACTTCTTCTTGCCTTTGCTTGCTCAAACACAACGACGTGCACCCACTCTCTTTCTCTCTCATATACACAAAACATGATCAACGAGTCTTGCACCGTCTTCCTTACCAACAAACACTAGCATCATCTCTCAACAGCAAAGATACCCCTCTAAAGGATGGATCCTCTGAGTCTCAACCCTTCCATTCAACTACTGGGTCTGTCGTGTTATATGAGGGTGGTGAGGAGGAAGGAGCCAGGGAAGGCAAGATGTTATGGTATGTGTGGAGCCGGAGGGTGAGGTCGCGCTGCTGGCTGAGGTGTAGATGAGCCGATATGGGACCCATGTCCTAGACATAGGGAAGAAGGATCACTTGTTTCAAAGGCTTAAAATAGTTCAGATACTGAACAAGTCGCCGCCAAAATTGCTAGGTGGTCAAGTAATTGATCGGGTTCAGATGCTTTTGCAGGCTCCATCGAAGAAAAAAAATTGCGGGCTGACCAAAGGTTGTCCGACTCCGATAGAAAGAAACGCGTCAGAAAACGGGTGTCCAGTCCACGATAGGAGTGTGTCTCCAATCGAATCCAAAGAGTACGTGTCTTTAATGAAGCCTTTTCCAATCCGCAGCTAGGGCTCACGTACAAAATGGAGTATGTCATTCCATAAAAGAAAGACATTCGCGAATGCTCTTCATTCATTAACACCACACATTCACCTACCCTCCTTTCTCTCATTCACACGCGCAAACATCACCACTACAACAACATGGCACTAGAAACAAGCATAATCTTCCCAACAAACAAGCACAACCGCCCCACACCGCCCTCAAAAGTCTACCTCCACGGACTCGACGGTCTCAGTGCCGCTATTCAAATCCACAATCACCGCTTCTTCCGTCGTCCGTCTACCCCACTTCCTGATGTGGTTGAGCAATTGAAAGCCTCTCTGGCGGAGGCTCTAGAGCTGTATCCACCTGTCGCTGGTACGGTGCAGTCCAACGACATGGGTGAGATCTTTATTGCCATGGACAAAGGTGACATCGTCGGAACGCCCTTCTTGGTGGATTTGAAGGATACGCCATTCGTCAAGGATGAGGAGAATTTGTCGCCAAGGACAGATGTGATCTTGCCTCCCATGGCCAGCACCTTGGCTGTCAAACTCACACAGGCAAGTGTCATACATGTAACATTATTTAATCATCTATTACATATTTGATCCGCATCATTGCTAACGCATGCATTCACTCTTCCTCTCATATCGAACAATAGTTCTCGTGTGGAACGATCTGTGTGGCGTCATCGTTCAACCACCAGGTCGCAGACTTGCGTGGATTCTTAGATTTCCTGGAACTCTGGGCACAACTCTCCAGAGGCGAACCCGCTGATTTCACCAGGATCCCAGATGATTGGGAGCGCACGCCCGGTCGCTTCTTTACCGATCTCGTCAAACAATTTGAAGGAGTATCTCTTGCAGCACCACCACCGTTCGTCCTCCTCGATACCCCGGCGACGGGTCCATCGGCTTACTTGTTGGCACCCTCGGTCGCGACGAACTGGAAAATTTCAAAGAGCTCGATGGCGCAGTTGAAACACGATCTTTCACCACCTGCTGGTTCGGGACTCTGGATCTCTTCAGGAGATGCCCTGGCTGCATTGGTTTCTGGAGCCGTCACGCGTGCCCGTCAAGACAACAAGGTAGCAAGACTAGAGGGCCGATCAAGCGAGGAATCAGAGGTCGAGAGTATCGCCATGGCGGCCGATGGTCGCGAGCGGGCACCCAAGGGCGACATGTCTGGAGGTCGCTACCTAGGCAACTTCAACAATCTCTGGAGCCTCACCGTCCCACGCTCAGACCTCTCCACCCCAACCACCGAGGCCACAGGCCGAGTCGCCCTCGCAATTCGTTCCAACCTCGAAATCCACCTCTCCGCCGAGTCTGTCGCCAAGCGGGTAGCATTCTTTGATAACCCCGCAGTCTGTAACCCTCCAGGCCGTGTGGGGTGGGTGGCCGATATTGTGTTGACCAACTGGTGTCGGTTTGATCTGAAGGGTCCTAAATTGCGGTTTGGATGGGGAGAAAAGCCGTTCATGGCGACGTCGGGAGGTGGAACGGTTTTCCCTCCTGCGTACAGTTTGATGACGGAAGATAAGGAGACGGGGGATGTGTTTGTTCTGTTGACGGTTGAGAATGACGGCGAGAGTGCGCTGGCTGGTGATGTGTTGTTGAACAAGTATGCCACCCTCGTCAGTTCGTAGACCCTCAATACTTTGCATCACAGGAAACACATATATAATAGGCAACAGGCTGTGTAAATTGTTTTTATTCCTATCTCTTGCTTCTCAGATGCTTTTTAAATGCCATTGCTATCCATTGCAAAGCTGGTAAATGTCCCTGGGCACCTGAAGAGAGAAGTGCAGTTGACATCCTCCACAGGCAACCTCTTCATGTTCCTGATCCTGTTCCTATTTCCTGTTCCTGAGTGACTCCGTCGTAGCTCTTTGTCAGCATCAACACATGATATGCTGTCCACATATATCTTGGGTGCGCCTATCCTTGGTTACTTCTGGAGCAAAGAAGGTCTGAAAACACGAAGGGGTCATAGAGCCATTAACGCCACCGCTGGATTTAACTTTGCGTTCTGAGAGGTGTATAGTGGCGTGCCTGAAAGAGGGGTTGTCAAGGCCATACTATCAAGGCCACCGCGAGACGGCAATCCCTACATTCCTGTTGGTGTGTTTATGTCCAGGTCGACATTGGCGCTACTGGGTGATTCACAGCAAGATCGGGTCAAGAATGGTGTCCAGGTGATGTCAGTGATGCCGGAAGATGGCTGTTACAGTGATGGCTGCAAGTCCTGTCTTGTGTCCCGATTCGTCATCTCATTCTTTGCTGTTCCTTTTGCTTGAGTGTGGGAGTGTTGCCTGAAGAGCGGGTGATGGTTTGAAAGAAGACGAAAAGTATGATTCAGTCACTGGTGTGTGGGGAAGAGTCATTTTTCAATCTCGGAAAAAATGACTGTTCATCCCAGTCACTTTTTTCCAGCCAGTAGGCAAAATGCCACAAAAAAAAAGGGTTGTCATCATCATTACTGCCACGGCCAGTGCGCATTATGACGGAAAAGTTAACCATAAACAAGAGTAACAACAATCAATAATAACAAAAAGCAACCTCCCAAGAATGGCGATCCCGATTGTCGACCTTGGAGATAGCTTCAATTACCAAGCGTGTATGTGTATAAGTTAGAAGGAGTGAAAGAGTCGCATCCTGAACCAGACTCAAGTCCACTCACCAAACCAATGCCCTAGTATGAAACCATCTTACTTCACCATCACCTATAATCAACATCGGAGACCGAGAATAAATATGGCGAGGTATTGATCACTAATGGAGATAGCAAAGGCATGAAGGAGATAGCTTCTTGGGGGTAGGGGTACAGCACTATCTAGCATGAAATACAACCTGTCAATCGCACCATTCCGCACCATTATGTGCTCTCTTACTAAAGTACACATGTCTCGCTCGCTCTATCTTCCTCTCAGTCGATGTCTTCGCCTCTCTTTATCGCTTTCTTGTTTCTTCCTTCTTGAGAAAAGCTTCCCATTACCTCTTGCTTACAAAGGAGTCCAATTGGACTCTCTACAGACTATCCATGGTAAGGTATGTAGTAGGCTCGAAGCTGACACCATTTTCTGGCAGCCTTGTCTGATCAAACCAAGCTAGCGAACGAGCCCTAATACAGTAAAGGTGCGCTCTTTTTTCTTCATAATTCCTCCAATCGGCCCATTTTGCCTCGGTCGGGGATTCACTCATGAGCTCAGTCCAACCAGGAGAAACGATCGGGTGTTTTTGAATGTCCCTAATCCCTTCGAGTTACACCATTGGAACAGCGTGGTTAGAAGGTCCGCTCTGGAGAGGGGTAGAGGAGTAGAGGGGACTGAACCGTTATCTACACCTTTACACTGCCAGTGACCAGAGTTCTAATTTTGGATGCTGTTCAGTCATAAGCCCAACCAGTCAGTCACTCAGCGTGCGTACTCGTTGTTGTTGTCTTTTTCTGGGCGATGTGTCATAGCGGAAAGGTATAAAAGGCTTGGTGATTCCCCTCTTTTTTTCCTTCGATACAAACAAACAATCCTCAACAACCACAACAACAACATTCTCTCTTTCTTACAGAAGAACCCCAAATCAAAGCCTCTTCACTCCCACTACACACAAACAAACAACCACACCCAACACCCAACCCTACACAACACGCACACAACAATAATGATGTCCATGATTCGTGCCTCCACCTCGACCACCACCGTCGCCAAGCGCTTGATCTCAAGCTCAACCAGGGCCAATGCCGCTGCTGTCGCCATCAACCACACCGTTGCCGCTGCTCCCTCAAATGGAGCCAAGACTGCCAAGACTGTCGCCTATGCCGTCCTCGGAAGCACTGCTGTCGTCGCCAGCGTCTCGCACCTCTTGAAGGACGAGGTCGTCTACTGGACCCCAAACAAGTAAACACCTTCTCCCTCTCAAGGATTCCAGGGACCCTCCTTACCTCCAGATCCTGATATATTTTTTTCACTTCCTGGGGCCGATCCGTGGAGAGATAGCACCACTTCCAGTTCGGAGTCTCTTTCTTCCCCACCTTTTCAACACACACCTCATATACCCCATTCAAGTTCAACACTTGATGCTCATTCCTTTCCCCACACATAGAACAACTCCACTTTCATTTTTCATCTTTCTCCAGTTTTTTTTTTCATTCCTTAATACGGCACTACTCCTACAGTGCTTAGACATACATCGATAGATAATGATACATTATTTTTTTTCTTTATAAAGCATTAGAGCTCTTTGCAATTCGCAATACATCTCTTTTTTTGGTACTTTTCATATTCATGGCCGATTGCTCATTCTGTTTCTTTAATTCAACTTTGCATCCATTTGTATGTTCTGGTATGTTTGTGTTGGATGAAGTGACTCATGTATTAGAATAATGTTGAATATGCAATAGAAGCAGCAACAACAACGCCAGAATGCTTTTCTAAGGCTGTTGTTCATTGCTTTTTCTATTAGCGGCGCCTTATTTTTTTTGCTACGTTCCTTACAAACAACAAAGCAAAAAGCAAAGGCAACCTACGAAGCCCATTCCTTTGTTTTTTTTTTGTTTCAAGAGAATCTTACTAAAAGAATCTTACTAAAAGGGGGAAGAAATCGTGGGCAAGTTGATTGGATCACATTCAACGTCCTCTCCCTCCCTTCTCCTTCCTTTTCGCCATTTTTTTAAGTGCATTGCGTTTTTTTTTTTTTTTTAGCGAGCATCAATGAGAGACGACCCCATTCTTTCTCTCTCTCTCTCTCTCTCTCTTTCCTTCTGCCATCCTTTCTCGCTTTCTTGATCTAATTGCTGCTTTGCATATTGCTGTATTGCTGGGCCCATTATTTTTGTTGATGCACTCCTTTGCGAGGAAAAGAATGTTGAAAGGGTCGGATAAAGTAGTGGCCAGATCATAAGCAGCTTTTGCATATTTGGTAAAGAAAAACAAGAATAACAAGAAAAACGTGCACGGCGTGCATGGTCAGCCGGGCATTTTTTGTAACAGAGAGAGAAAGAGAGGGAGGGAAGGAGCGAGCTTTGAAGAGCTACCCCCGGTCATCTCAATTGATCATGCGGACGGATGGGTGGAAAGGGTAGAAAGGGTGGAAAGAAGGAATGAAAGGACAAAAGGCGAAGCGACGCATCCAAGAACTAAGACTGAAAGAGATGTCTGTGGAAGACCAAAAAAAAGAGGGAGAGAAAAAATGATGAATATACCACATCTGCGACGAATGCGGGATCGGATAGATGGGTGGGTTGGATGGGTTGGAAGGAAACGGTGAGTAAAATGGTGCTGTCGACGGGCATCATCACACTTACTCGGCAAAGAAAACCTTGTAAGATGCCAATATGTTTCTGTCAACCGCGCAGACTGAAGAAGAAAAAGAAAAAGAGGCGGATGGACACCATCAAAACGAGTATGGTGCAACGAGTCTTGATTTTTTAGTGCGCACATGTGTGTGCCACCCATGTGTAAACCTAATTAGCATAAGGAAGCGGCCCAGCGAAAGAAAGTCGTGTGGATTTGCGAAGCATGTGTCCAACCGTTCTTTCTCTTCATTTCGATAAGGAGAAAGAGTTGGAGTGAAGGGATCACCATTCAACGCATGTTTAGATAGACACTTTCGAAGGAAAAAAGGGAGCAGGAGCAGGAGCCAAGTGAGACCCTCTTGGCGCGCTGCTGTTTGTTCGTGGGAGAGTTGCTTGTCTCTCTCTCTCTCTCTCTCTCTCATTTTTCTCCGGTCCGTCGGTGTGATCGAGAGAGAGTTTTTCGAACGGACCGACAACCCAAATGGCCATGGCATGACAAGGCTAGTCAGGCGCAATTATGCTTCCTTTTTTTTCTAAAATGGTTGCTGACTGAGCAGAAGCGACTGAATAATCAACCCTGGCTGTGTGGGCTGCGCTTTGTCACTCGCTTACGCTTCGCCCATGTTACGCTACTGTTTTTATTCTGTATTTATATTTTTAAAACGTCCCTTTGTCACCCTTTGGCAGAAGCGTCATTGTTGACAAACCTTTGTCATCGCCTCATGAGGCTTTTCTCTTCCTCACATAATCCATCACATCGAATCTATCAAAGCCGCCACGAAGCATGGCAAAGGTCAAGGCAACATGAAAATGGCTGATTGCGTTCTTTTGTGAAGGGGGATGCATAGTTTTGGCGAATGATCGTTCAAGCGGTTTGCTGATTGGAGCAATGTAGCCTGGGTGAAGAAAGAAGGCAGGAATCTCGACGATAAAAAAGAAATATTCCATGACCCACGTCTCAAGCACCCAGTATACATGGAAACTCATGCTGTTCTTCCTCCCCTTCTTCCTACTTGCCCTCACTCGGTCGGTTCGGATGCACACAATTGTTTGTCAGGTTCCAACGAAAGCCACACTCTCACAACATACATGCGTGGGTGGGATGATGACAATATGAGACATCTTCACGTCTGGTCGGAACAGGTTATTGGGCAAGACGGGGGGAATCGGGCCAAAAGTTGAACTTCACTTCCCTCGTACTATACGGAGTCATTCTGAGGACATAGCAAAGGGATGGTGACATGACAAGTAACTGGAGAGTGAATTCGTAAAAGTCGTTAAAGGGTGGCCATAGGGCAATGATTATGCCATGATGAAGTGTAGGCAGGCATGCATCCTGACAGGCTGGCAGCACTGACTGCAGAAATGAATGAGAAAAGACTGACCGAGGGAGACGACCAACCTCATTGAGGGCTTGTGATTGGTTCGTATTCCAGCGACAGAGTAACAACACGAGCGAAGCTAACCTTTTTGCGTGTTTGACAAACAGAATGTTAAGTGGGTGTCGAGACCATTTACGTTTTGTGAACAACAAGAAATAGAAATAGAGAGAGTCATCCATCCAAAAAGAAGGGGCCAGACGGATACCCAATTTTATTTGTTGAGCACAGAAGCGAACAAAGGGAGAGTTCAGTGGCAGTGGCTTGCACCTCGAACAAAAAAAGGTTTAGTGCGAGTGTGTGTGCCCAAGGTGCAAAGACGTTCCCCACATTTCGCCATTTTTGAGTGTGTGTGAAAGTGAAAATGAAGGAGTCATTCCCATTGATGAAGTATAAAAGAATGTTGGTTTGCCACCTCTTTTCTCTTTTCTTTTTTTTTCTTCTTTCATTACTCCATCCTTCCTTCCAACTTTCTCTCCATATCCTTCACTCCATTCCAGCCCAAATCCGAATTCCTTCCTTTACCTCTTAGCTTCCATCTACACACAAAAACACAAAAATGACTGTCATCATTACATCCGCGATCATCGCCACCGGCCTCTTCTACAGCAGCAGACCCAAGACCCAGCCCTCCGTCTTCTCTGCCGCCTCCTCGAAGATCGCCGCCTACGCCTACGCACCCCTGTCCATCCAGATCCCCACCGCCGACCGCCGCCGTCTCGAGCGCAACTCTCCCCCCTCGACCCCTCCCATGCTCTCCCCCTCGGCCTCCTCGACCTCCTCCTTTGACGACGGCAACCCCCTTGCCGAGATCCTCTCTTCCATGGCCAACGCCAACTCTGCCCGCCGCAAGTCCCAAGAGTACTTCTTCCCCAACCAGACCACCTTTGAGTCTGCCGTGCCCCATGTCATTCGTGCCAAGGATGTTGTCCTGAAGGACCACCCCCATGTCGAGGGCGCCTATGCCGAGTACGATGAGTTGTACAATGCCGATTCCTTGGTCACCAAGGACGGTCGCCACATGGTCCGTCTCCTCTAAATCCGGGGTTTCTTTTTCTTTGCACACACAATCATTACTACTGTTACCCCCAAAAGAATAACAAGTGGGAGGAGAGAAGATGGACTCTGCAGCCCAACTTGTACATAGCTTCGCATTCACACACCTCACAAACCAACCGACACACTCATTTTTGCTTCTCTCAAAACTCTCCAACAAAACAACTCGATTATTCGCTACTCCCTACTCTTTCAACCAAACAAACCCAAACAACACACATAACTCAAATACTAGTTAGTTACATAGCATACTCTGCACAACACAAAAAAAAACAATTCATAGCATCCAGGATACTTTTAACAAAAAGAAAACAGAACTGGCACTCATTCATTAAAACACAAACCAACATCTTAAAAATACTTGAAAATTTGTACACTTGAAAAGAAGATGGATGGATCATGAACTGTGCAGTTGGGGGGTTTTTTTCTTGATTGAACTGGGGACCATCTCCATCAGAAACATGCAAAGCAACGTGCATGTCGAGTATGGTTGGAAAGAGCGAGAGCCATAACGAGAAAGGAACACACATACAGAGGGACAGAAGCAGGCAAGTAGGCAGCGCAGGGCGATGCCCATTGTCTCATTTCTGCATATATGTGTCTGACTGGCTAAGTCTGTCTGTCTGCAGCTTATTCTATTCGGCCTGCGAGCAAAACAAAACAATGTTCGATCGGAGAGAAAAGAGGGGAAAAAAAGGAGGGAGACACCATAAACAAGCAAGGTTGCGAAAAACAAAGTTATTTTTATTTTGGCTGCCCACGGAACACGCTTCTCTTTTGGATGAGAGCACCCCCCGCCAACATGAATGAGAAACCCTTTTTGTGGTGTTCCCAACCACCCCGGACTTTTAGACCCAAACTCAACATCCAAAAGAATTGGCCCTATTCTCATATGCTTTCTAGGTTTTGCATTTGATGAGTACCTTTTGTCTTCTCTTTTGTTGAGGAGGTACAAGCAAGATGAAGAAAATATCAAGTTGAAGGAGAGGATAAAAAGGTGTGAGAAAATAAAAGGGAGGCTGGGGACATGGCACCGACATGACCTCTCTTCTCTTGCTCTTATTTTTGACACTGACACAAGGCAAAGAATAATAATCGGTGCCTGGATTTTGTGTTCACCCGTGGGAAGAATTTAAGGTGTTTCTTCAGCAGGAATAACAGCAGAAAAGGAAAACAGAGCGATCACAACATCTGAGTTCCGATTGTCCATCTCGAACAGACATCGAAGAAAAAAAAAAGTGCGCAATGAAACAAAAGTGTCGGGGTGAGGGCGGAGGTGAAGTCATCTTTTTCAAGACTAATTGGACTCTGCACCAACCAAGGTGAGAGGCAAAGCACCAACCAAGGCGAAAGGTAACGCGCCCATAGACGACACAACAAGGTCCGGCCTTGGGCTGCATTCTTGCCTTCCTGTCCGCTCCGGGGTACACCCTTGTTTCATTCGTGCATGCTCATGTCCATGTACTTTTGAGTTCCGATTGTAGTTTTATGCACGCAGAGAGGGCGGGCCAAGAAAAAACAAAAACAATTAGAAACAACGAGGTAAGATGGTTCAAGGAAGGACAAAGAAGGGTGAGGAACGATGAGGAAGGGCTGAAGGAGCAGAAGCAGGATTGACAGGCAGGATGCAACAAAGTGAAGGCAGGGCGAAAGGACGAAAATGTGCGATAAACGCCCATGCACTCTGCGGACCCCGCATCTCTCTTCTATCCCTCCTGTCTGTCTCTCGTCTGCATCTCGTTTTCCTCCTTTTACTTTTGTAAGAACCATTACTTAACGATGATACTTTGCAAAAACAACACGCAATAAAAACAATTGGGCACGAGTGAACAAGGACCTTTCGTAAATTTTTTGCCCTGGGTCCCTCTACTTGCTTCATGTCGTTTGTTTGGTTGCATCCTTCCTCCTCCGTACTTCTTCCGCCCCACATTTTTTTTATTCGCTTGCACAACTCGCCCAACTCGTTTGTGTTATTCTTGGCTGACCTGTTTGTCCGTCTCGCCTAGATTCTTTGCTGTCTCAATGTATCACCAATTGGTAAAGCTTTCTTTGTTTTGCCACTTGTTGGGCTGTTCTTGTCAAAGTTTCAGAATTGGGTCGCGTTCTTTTTTATATTTGTCAATGTGCTAGACCATGCGGGCGAGGAGACCCTTTTTTTTTCTTCCGTTCCCCCTTGTCCACCACCTGTCCTTGTTTTCGGAGCTAGTCCATCCGTTCGTCCGTTCGTCCATCCACTTGCCTGTGGGGGCATCTTTTGTAAGCATGCAAGTCCTGCCTGCCGGAAGAAAAAAAAGTAAGACCTATCAGACGAGGAATGACTCCCTCACTTTTTTTCCCCCTTTCCTTTTCTTCATTCCATGCGTGTCCTCTCCTCCTTCACCATCCGAGTCAGCCGAAAGGGTTTGTCCGTTTTGTGTTCATGCGTGTTCATTCTTTGCACGCGTGTTTTGTTTGTGCTTTGTGTTCAAAACTTTCAATTGTGAGGTTTTTTTCCGAGCTAGTGCCCTCCCTTCGTCCCCATTTTGCCCTCTTTAGGAAGAACCTGGGGTAAAGAAGTACATATACACAAAACAAGTTAAACAATGCGGAAGGTTTTCGGCTCTGTGAGCGTACAAAATGAAATTGGTTTCAACATTCACATGTCAACTGGTGGAGAAAAGAAAAGAGGAGATCGGAAGGATGCGGGGGAGAAGTTGGTCATGGAGGATTTAGGAACTAGGATCTCACTTCTCATTGAACACTCGCAGACAGGAAAGAAGACCAGTAGGACCTAGGAATGAAATGAAGTGGTAGTGTGGATAGAGGAGGGGGAACGCGTAAAACAATAAGGTAGAAGAGCTACTAACTGAAACCAGAGATGGACACTAAAATCAGGGTCTCCGCGTAGAAAGAGAGCAAAAAAAAAATAGTGAGTCGCGTACAGAGCCAGTTCCAGAGGCGCATTCCTCCTCGTCGCGGTTTTTATTTGTCTCGATCACTTTGTGTATGTGCATCCCCCTTTCTGGCCCTGCGCCCATCACTGACCAGGGCTTGGCGGATGCCACTCCTGGAGATGGATATCCTAGATACCATTTGGATACGAAGAAGGGCAGACGGTTGGCTGCTGTGTAGATAAAGCCATCAATCACGAACACTGAGACTACCCTATTTGCTTAGCCCAACGCTGATATGGACATAATGTGAGCTCGCCCATCCATCACCGCAAATGTTTTTTTTTTACTCACTCGTCTCTTCTACAGAAACCCGCTACTTCTAATCCATCACTACAAGAACACACCTCTTGGATAGCCATCACCCCTTCGTCTCCTTTCAGCCACTATAAAACCTAACCGTCCTCAGCACCCTTTCCATCTTACCTCACCTCTCAACACCTTTGCAAAGCAGATAAACACAAAGACATATACCCTCCTTTTTCTCCTACACACCCTTCTTATAAACACAAACATTGAAAACAACCCGATCCTCGACAATGACCCGTGGCCTGTTAACAATCTCCTTCTCGCTCTTTCTGGTCTCGGCCATGATGGGCACCTTCCCCATTCCCGGGACAAACTCCGTCTCCATCCCTTCTGGAACCCTCCTCGACTCTCCTTCCTTGCCGCCATCGTCATCGGCAATCTCCGTCGCCACCGACGACGGGGTTATCGCCGGTACTAAGATCACCACCCCTTCCTCCTCGGCCGACAACGCCACCCCTCAGCTCACCAACATTACCAATTCGGTCAACGCAGCACCACCTGGCGCCGGATCTCCTGAGCTGATCAAAGCCCTCAGGAACGAGGCTCTTACCTCGATGGTGCCACCCACCATTGCGTCATCGGGTTTCTCTAGAACGAGCGCTTCTCCTTTGACTGCCAAGCAAGCCAACGGTGCGCCTCAGAAGCGTGCCGCCGATTCACCGCAACAGAAGTGGACTCCTTCTCAAGGCCAGCAAGGTCAGCAATGGTACCCTTCTCAGGGTCAGCAGGGACAGCAATGGTACCCTTCTCAGGGCCAGCAGGGACAGCAGTGGTACCCTTCTCAGGGCCAGCAGGGACAGCAGTGGTACCAGCAGCAAGGCCAGGGCCGAGACCAGCAACTGGGAAAACCCTACACCATCCAAAAGCGTGCCGCCTCAACTTTCGCCGCCGCAACCGCTCCTCAAGGCGGTTCTCCTACCTACCGCATGTCAGCCCTTGTCTGTAACCTCGACACCACAACCCGCGGACTGATCCATTGCTCCGACAACAAGGATTATTATACCCTTGATCAGCCTCCCAACCCTGCCAACTCGGCCGACCCCCGTAATCGTTCCTGGTCAGCTGGTACTGGTACTGGTACTGGTACGACTCCTGCTGAACAAGGCAGTGCTGGAGCTGGTGGCGGCAAGAACTGGAAGCGCTCGGACCTTGATGAAGGTAACTTGAGTAAGTGGTCTCAAGCTGGTGCTGGATCTGGATATGGCAGTGGCGGTCGTGACGCTTGGTCTCACTATGGCAAGGGTGGGAAGAAGTGGAGCAAACGTGAGGAGTTTGATGAAGGCAACTTGAGCAAGTGGTCTGGTTCTGGATCTGGACACGGTTATGACGGTGGGGATGACTGGTCGCGTTACGGAAAGGGTGGTCATTCCGGTTACGGCATGGACGGTAAGGGCGACAAGAAGACGTGGCACAAACGCCAAGTTCCTGGTGCCGCTGGCAATTATGGTCATCCCAACACTGGTGCGATCCCGGTCCCAATTAACGTCGGACTGGTCTGGGACGGAAACTCTGTCAACTTGGTCCCCCCTCCCTCCTCCCGCAGAGGCCCCGGTTATCCTGGTGGTCCCATCCCCGGTGTTGGAGGTATCCCGGCCGGCGCGATAGTTGTGGGCGCCGACTCGCCTGCGATCCCCGTCCCCATTAACGTCGATGCTCTCGTCTACCCTAACGGACAGATGCAGATCTTCCCCTCTGCCACTCCCAACTAAAGATCACTTCTTTGTACTTGTTCTATACCTCTTTCTTCTCCTTCTTCTCAGTCTATCGTTTCCGTACATGCCATATTCGCCAGGTTATTCATAACTTCTCTTTCTTGAAACCTTGGAACGAAAAATAAATTGAATGCATTAAAACAATCGAATAGTGGCACTTTCTTTGTTCTTCTTACTTTTTATGCTTTCTCCGCGCACGCGCCATGCTCCCAATACTTTATCGAAACCAGGATCATAAATGAATGACTAATTAAAGGATCACAGATAAGCAAGTTGTGCGAGAACAAAGGGGTGGTGTCGAATTAAATGGGGAGTCATAAATTATGCCGAAAAATGAAAAAAATAATATTATGCATGGTGTTTCATAGAGTTGTGGGTTTTTTTAGTCGTTTACAATAATAGCATCCCATCTGCCCAACTACTGCTCCTTGAAGCTCTTAATTCCAGGCCGTCCAGACCGGAGCATGCCATCGACATGATTAGAGCACATAAGTGCTGCAATCATGACAAACAGCTGGACAGGGGCAATGCTGAAACTAATAGTCCACGCCATTGTAAGGACATTATCCTCGTAGAGGTTGTACTTGTGCAGGCAACCTGGGAGGTTGATCATGGGGAAGCAGCGCAAGTCGTATTCTCCATAAGTCAGCGAGTCCTGGAATCCACAGCACTTTAGCTATTAGGTTGGTGAAAGTGGGAAGGAGGAGAGAGGACATGAGGGAATGTGTGAACAAAAATTGGTTTATGTTGGAGGTACATGGTAATTTGGAACAGCTTCGTTTCATTAGCGGATTCCATCAGCCCCCTTGCTTCTCCTCTTCCTCTTCCTGCGCCCGCTCTTTCTGTCACCGTTGATCGCCACAAATATCCGTTATCAAGTCCACGTGGGAACATATTCTTACCTGGCGCTGGACAAGAAGACGCTGCTCTCTCGAATAAGAATGAATCCACTCATCCTTCAAGTGTACACGGAGATGGTTCTTGGCCCGACGGAAGGCAATGTACCCGACCGAGATGTAGATTGCAAAGACTGGCCAGAGTACTATCGTGTACCATGACAGCCATATCCTGTTCTCCTTGAAGATCCCGATCAGCCCCACGATTGCGGTGAGAATTCCTATTATCGAGCCTCCCAATGCCACTATTTTTAAAGGATGAAGGTGAAGGTAAGGAGAGGATTCACGAATTAATTTTTTGTTTGGTTTGTGCGACGTTTATTTGTGTCTTTGTTCGGTGCATGGCACAGCCCGAGACAAATGGTGTGGTGGACTTACAGTAGATGAGATTGCTGTGAAATTCCATGACCACCGTCGAGTATTCAAAGTCTACAAGGGTTCATTGTGGAGAGGAAGTCGTCGTTAGTTTATGCGGTGTTTGCTGCTCCATGATTGATGTCCATCGTATCCAAGCCCAAAAAAAAAAAAAAAAAAAAAAAAAACTTACGGCCAAGCATGTAGCCAAGACAGACGGCAAAGAGAGCTGCAGAGTATCCAAGCAACAAAACAGCCGAAAACAACAGGATCCATTTTGACCGTGTCCAGATGCGATAAAATGGTTGCTCCTTGTACTGTTTAGCCCACCAGTTTTGGTAAGCATTCCACCGCTCCGCCAACCCCTCAAGCGTCATATCCGTCTGTGTCAGGTTGTAGCTACGATCCGTGCCAATGGCCAGGTTATGAGCCGAGGACCTCGAACTTGAGTTGTCACGGGCGTCAAAGGATCTACCAGAGCTTGGTGTCATGGCTCCCCCTGCTCCCGGTCCGTGGTGTGCTCTCATTGCGGGGTCTGCGGGTATGCGAAGTTCAGATGTGAGGGGATCGTTATTGAGTGAGATGTCGGAATAGCCTTGGTGTCCTTGGTTGTATGGTTGTTGCTGGTTCCTGAGGGTGGACCGAGAGAAGGATGGGGAACCGGCTGGTGAGGATTCGTAGAGGGAAGACTGGAAAGGATCTCTGGAGGGGATCTGTTGGATGAGTTGTTGATGCCTTGTCAATGGAGAGGCGTGGTCTGACGAGCTGTTTCAGACGATGTGGAAAGTGAGGCAGGAGAGGGTCGTTAGTGAGGATGTGGGGAGAGAGAGGTCGAAAAGAATGTGAGTGGAGAAAGAGAGGCAGGGACCAATTGACAAGCGAGGAAGAGGCACGTAAAGAGGAAAGAGGAGAAAAAAGTAACAAGAAGTGGAGGTGGAGTAAAGAGAAGCAAGTTATTGTAAAAAAAACGAAAAGAGAGGGGGATGATTTCGAAACGACTCCAAGGGTTAAGGAAGTGAAGTCGTTATGTTCAAAGTTGTGGAGGAAAGGGGTGGACCCAATGCTTGTTTGTTTGTTTTGTTCAGTACAGTACAGAACAGAGTAAACAACAAAGAGAAGAAGAGAGAAAGAAGAGGCGTTGGGATCTAGAAACACTCAATTGCGCACAGGCAATAAACACAAATGAGGGGGGCGAACGGGCATGCTCCTAGAACCAGGCTGGTATTAGACCGCAACGATGCTCATCTCCCATCCATCCATGACCATGCGTTGACAACAACAGCAACAAGAATAGCTGCAATTAATAACACTAATGGGTTATATCTCTCTCATTCCCATTGTCTAAACCATCAAAAGAATAATAGCATATTCGCCCTCCTTTTTCCTTCCTCTCCCATTGTTCCAGAGTTCAAAACCAGTACTCCGGGCAGAACCAAAGTGACTCTCACTCTCTCTTAGTCAAAAAAAAGTCGTTGAGAGATGCTAAAAATACAAAGTAAGTGTCACACCTTGTCCCTCTCTACTACTCTCATAACCCGAGCTGGGACCATCCCATCCAGTAGTCTCCTGAATACCAACTGCATGTCATATATCCGACGGATGAAAAAATGCAATAACTATAATAATAACAATAGCCCATACACGACCTATCCCTTTTTTTCCTTTCATTTCCATCTCCTATCATCGGGTCATTATGCTCTCACTTTTGAGTACATGGTCTATGACCATAATAATATATCTACTGCACGCATGCACCGCACACAGCACGCACAAAAGAGAGACACACAAAAGGTGATCCGTCCCCATCCCATCCTCGAATCCCAGGTTACTTTTTTCGTGCCTTTTTCCTTTTCGTTCCTACCCGTCTGACTGAGATAGCGTCGGATCTGATGTAGACCCATTGCCTTTTTTTTTTTTTTTTTTTTTGCCTCGAGCAAAGAGGGAAAGGGTCCTGCTTTCTACCTCCTTCTTTCTTTCCTCCTGTCTCATCCCCTTATACTGTTCCTTGTTTCCTCGCCATTAACGCCCCTGTATCCTCAACTGCGAACCTCAAATCGCAAGTTGAAAAGAGTGCGAGAGTGAATTTGTCGAAAGTTGCGTACCTGCGTTGTTGTGGTTGTTGTCCATAGGGTACATGGTGTCGGTCAAAGGGCACCGGACTATTGCTTCTGCTATCGGTGTTGACTGGATTGTATGACATTTTCTAGGTCTTGTTGTTTACTACTCCTTGAGTTGAGAGACGTTGTTGCTGTTGTTGGACTCTACCAAGAAAGGAATGTGGTTTGTCTATTTCCTGAAACCGCTGGAACGAGAGAGAGACTTGAGAATTGCGAGAAGGGGAGCGAGCAAACGAGACAGGGAGAGAGGAGGGCACGAGGCGAAGAATCTTTGTAGGAGAGGTCGGTGAGAACCAACAACGATGATAATGATGCACTGCACGACTGGTTGTTGTGTTGTAGCTTTTGGTTTTCAGGGGGGAGATAATTAAGGAAAAAGACGGAGCAAAGGAAGGAGCGAAGGGAGAAGGAAGGAAGGAGAGAGAAGAGAGAAGTTGAGCAAGAGAGAGAGAGGTCTGAAAGGGAGGGAAGGAGGGTCGACAGGGTTGAGGTATTAAGGATTGTTTGTAGACCCCGAGTTCTGACACGGAGGTATGTTGGATGGTTTGCTTTGTTGGCTGTTGATCTGCAAGGGTAAGAGTGAAGAAGGAAGGAAGGATGAGGGGGGTTTATTGTATGGAATAATGGTGGTGGCTATTGTTGTTGTTATTGAAGGAGTTAGTGTGAGCAAAGGAAAAACAAAAAGGAAGTTGAAAAAGGTGCGGATAAAAGTGAAGTGATGAGAAGAGAAAAGGAAAAAAGAAAACAAACAAAAACGAAAACGATTCACCCAAAAAAAGAAAGAGGCACAGGAACAAAGTTGGGTGGATGAGGATGACCCGCATCCTTACCTTCCCCTGTCAACCCCTGTCTGGTCGGACACGCGGGGAGTAGACATACTTCAGAAGAAAAGCAAATGACACCTCTCATTTTGAGAAAACAGTATCGCAGTTTGTTTTGTTCCCTCCTTCTCGTCAGTTGATGAGCGGGGTTCGTTATTCTTAGATGCTTCAAAAGGGATCAATGAAAATGATGAATCAGGGACAGGCAAATCAAGGCGAAGAGATGCTTATCTTCTTCGATGCCCATATACTCATCATACCAGACATCGTTCAATTGCTACAACAACCTTCGTACATGTTTTGTAAAATAAGAGAAGGCATACAGTGGGCATAGAACACCGTGCGGATTGGATGGATGGATGAGCAAAAAGAAATGAGCACTTTTTTCATTTCAGATGAAGTGGTTCCCGATGATATATGATTATCACATTTGAAATGGTCCCTGATCCATTTTGGATGGACATATTCAACATCCGACACTCAGGTACTCTCCCTTTTTTTTGCTGTGGTAATTAGCAGCCCCTGTTCTCTTCTTTGCGCGTGGAGGGTAGGGATGATAGCAAGAGATGAATTAGAGTCGGCTTCGGTGGCCACAGTCAGGCAAAAAAAAGTACAAGTCCTGGGCGGAACCCGCACATGAGGGGTGATCACGCCTTCACATGGAATTCCTATCCCTTGGTCGATCTCTTCTGTTCAAAGTAAACCGACGATAGCATGCACCCTGTCTTCTTCATGGGGTTTCAAATGGTCAAGCCTCTTACTACTGCCAACAGGGCAACAGACTACATTCAAGGTCAATTGGTCGGAGACAAGGAAAATGGAGTCGCAAAAGAAAAGAAAAAGAAGTACCAAACTAAGTAAAAAAAGAGCATGCCAAATGCGTCCAAAAAAAGCACATGTGGACACCACTCACTCCCCTCGTTGAGCAAACCATCACGCCCTTCCTCTGTTCCACGTCCTAGTCCTTTCTTCATTCTTAGCATTTTTGCAAAAACAGATCAAGAATAAAAAAATGCAAACTGGAGAACAATGGCCACAACAGCTCCACTCGACAGAGGAAAAAAACCCAATAAGACGCACTCAGCGACAGCGCCAGAAAAAAAAGACAAACAGCCTCACCTGAACGCCCAAAAGGACAAACTGCCGGGACGAAGGAAGCGTGCACAATTGGCATCATGAGTCTTTTTTGTCTCCCTGTTCTCTTTGGCACTAGTGTTGTGGAAAATGCGTTTTGAGTTAGTTGTACAGCACACGAAAATTGAAGTGTGTGTGGCTCACAAGTTACCAAAACGAAAGGGAGTCTTCTAAACTGGGAAGGAGCCTGGACATATCGCTCGCGCACGTTGTTGTCCTTTGGTGTCTTTTGTACTTGAAAAAAAAGAAAGGGGTGCAAAAGGGCTTTTCGTTACATACCGAGAGAAAAACAGACACAAACGAGCGAAATGACAAGGCAGAATGGCACACGATGCCATTTTGATAAGGCGATAATTAGTGACATCCTAGAAATAGACAAGTACCAACATAAGGACGCTGGATAATGAGACCCTATTTGCCCCACTCGTCGTCATTTCCCCCTACTCCACTCCACTCGACCATTTTAATAAACATTGGGACCCTCAATGTATGTGCAATGTGTACGTCCGAAGGTGGTTTATCTGAAAAATGGGAAAGAAAAATCTGACACAAGCGTCAAAGGAAGTAACAATGGATTGTGGTTTGTTCTGTCCATGCTTCGCATGACATTGACATTGCCGATTATGTCCATGCGAAGGAAGGACATAATGCGGATAAAATCAGGAATAGAAAAACGAGAGACGAAACATCGGTCATGCCTGCCTGATATTTTTGGCTCCTTACTTCTGTCGTTCTTTCCGTTGCCGTTTGTTTTGTGATTTTCCTAAAAAAGATTGGTTGTTATCCTTTTGGGGAGTGAGTAAGAGAATGGGGGAATGCAGGTTAAAGTGGATGTGGAGCTATGTCTACGGTGGTGGTGATGGTTAGCAAGAGGGGCCACATCACATCAGGCACTAAAAGACCCTTCTTGAAATATGCTTCATTGCAGCAGTGGGATATTGAAACAAAATAACTATAAAGCTCTATGGTCAGCGATGAACGAAACTACTTATACTTTCTAGGACCGTGTTGAGAGGAATTGTATAGGAGTACCTGGAGCAAGCGGCAGTTGGATGGGTGTGTCTGAGAATGCCTGGTTGGTTTGGTGCCATGATGGGAAAAGCATGTGTCTGTCATACTTTGAAGCAGAAATATCTTCGTTTGCATAGTAAAGAGTGGCGAAGACAAGCGAACAGGCAATCAGATCATACAAAAAGGGTCTTTTCATGTCATTGACTTTCCATTCTTTCTCTTCTTCCTTCCTTTCTGTTTTACTATCTCTTTCTCAGTGCCATCCCCCTCCACTCCTCACCTTGGCTAATCCCAAATCATATCATACTCCTCATCATCTAATAATACCCGTCTCCCTCCCTTCCTTCCTTTTTTCACCCTTACTTTCTTTCTTTCTTGCGACTTTGTCCTCACTCACTTTTCGATAAGTTTGCTGCATTCCGCCCACTCCTAACTACCGGTCTTCGCTCATTCATACACCTCATTCCATCAACAAACACCTTCATTCTTCCTTGTCATTTCATTCCTTCAACCTCGCAGGACGCCTTCCTCGAACAAGCAACAAACAAAAAATTAATGAACGATCGATCAGGCATTAAAATCAACACTGCAGCCGATCAGCAGCCAACCAGCATTCAGAATACCCTATTTCTCCATAATTGCGCCCAACCCTTTGGTGCAGCCGGGCGCAATAACGATCCCTTCACACCCCTCCTTCCATTCCCTTCCTCTTCTTGCACACGTTCTTGAACCACCCTCCCATTCCTACGATATATCCTATATCTTATTTTCCGTTTGCTATTTTAAATCGCCTCGCGTTCGCCTCCGTCTTTTCCTTTTGTTTTGATACATCACTCATCCCCACATACGACAGAACGGGGTTACCAGCATCAGGCATTGACAGTAGCGTCCTACTCCTTTTCTCTCTCCATTGTTTTACTTCTGCTCCTACCCGCCTCCTGTAATCTCTCTTCTTTCTTCTTCCTTTCTCTTTCTTTCCGTCTTTGTCCTCATCACCCTCTTCTTCACTCTTTTACCTCCCCATCCTCGCGTCGTTGCGCTTGGTTATCAGTCTATCCTACCCTCTCTTTCGCTTCTCCTCTTCCTCATCCTTCCTCCTAGTCGCTTCGTCCTCCTATCCCTCTTATCGCCCCCCCTTCAACTTTTGTCTCATTCTTACACCCAACTCTCCCCTTCTATTGCCACATCTCGACTCCCTCCTTCCAACAAACAACAACAGCAGCAGCAAAGAAAATGCTGTATCTCACAAAAGACCTCTTCCCGGTCTTTGTCCCCCTAGGAGTGGTAGGTTTCTACCGCTACCTCTGGTTCACGATCAAGCTCCTAGCCTACTTCTTCTACCGGCCCATGCTCCCCAAGCCCAACCCAACCTACCGCGCCGAATACGACGTCACCATCATCGTACCGACCATCGACGCCGGAGAAGAGTTCAAGGAAGCTGCCTACTCCTGGCTCGCCAACAACCCCAAGGAGATCATCATCATCACCGAGACCAAAATGAAGGATGCACTTCAGGAGCTTGCCAATTCTGTAGATCCGTCCAGAATCCGGGTGTTGACGGTCCCCAAAGCGAATAAGCGGTTGCAAATGGTCGAGGGGATCCGGAATACGACTAGTGAGATTATTGTCTTTGCAGATGATGATGCGATCTGGCCGCCGACTTGTTTGGAGTATATCTTGGCTTGTTTTGAGGATCCGAATATGGGCGGGGTGGGGACTTCGCAGACGGTCAAGTCTGTGGGGAGGTACCAGACGGTGTGGGAGGTTTTGGCAGGGTTTCGGTTGACGATTCGGAATATTGAGATTGCAGCTTCGACGCATATCGATGGTGGGATCTGTTGTTTGTCCGGGAGGACGGCTGCGTACAGAACTTGTATCCTTCAGGACCCGCAGTTCCAGTATCAGTTTACACATGATTTCTGGCTGGGCAAGTATCCTCTCAACTCTGGCGATGATAAGTTCTTGACGAGGTGGATGGTGTATTATGGCTGGAACACCTATGTCCAGATCTGTAAGGAGGCCGAGCTGTTGTCGACGTTCAAGAATAATTGGCGGTTTGTCAAGCAGGTCCTGAGGTGGACTCGTAATACGTGGCGGTCAGATTTCCGGTCCCTGTTCACCGAGCGCGTTATTTGGAGCCGACATCCCTACGTCGCCTTCACAATGGTAGACAAGATCTTCAACCCCATCACCCTCCTCTCAGGTCCCATATCTGTCATGGTCATGGCGATCGAGGGCAAGTTCCATCTGCCGCTGTGGGATATTCTCATCTCCTACCTTGTCTGGTTGATGCTCACCCGCGTCATCAAGCTCCTCCCACATCTGTTCAAGCGCCCCCAGGACGTCATCTGGGTCCCGGCCTTCCTGATCTTCGGTTACTACTTCGCCATCATGAAGGTCTACGCCGTCTTCACCCTACACGAGGTCGGCTGGGGAACCCGCGCCGGTATCGACCAGACCCCCGCCGAGCTGGCCCAAGAGAAGGAGAAACAACAATTGGAACAACAACAACTACAGGATCAACTCGAGAAGGCCACCTACGACAATGGTCGTACTCAACCCTTACAAGGTCACCAGGCTGCCGAACAGGCCGCCCTTGCAGCAGCAGCTGCCGCCGCGACTGCAACACAATACGAACGGCAATACCAGCCACCGACACGATCATTCACAAGCGAGCCGCCTCGCCCCGGTTCTCCTGGAAGTGCAGACCTCATCCGCCACTTCAGTCAAGCCCAAGAGCGTCAAGCAAGAGCTGCTGCTGCCGCAGCCGCCGCAGCGTCGGGTGTTGGTACTGGACGTTCCCATGGACGGTTGGAGGGTGTTAATGAATTGGAAAATCACGACACAGATCCGGATGTGTACGAGTACAACCAAGACGACGAGCTGGCTCAGTTCTTTGCCCAGTCGGATGCCGCCCTGGCCACGATGCACGCCAATGAGTCCTATGGAGAGTACTCTGGCGATCAGGATGGACGCAATGGTGGACCAGGCCATACTTCGGCAGCCGCGCGGGGGAACCCTGGAGGCTACCTGTAAGCCTTCCCCCTCCCTTATTTGTGTTACCAACTCTAAGCATTCTTAATTTATCCAACCATTTATTACACACATCCGCTCCGCATATTTATTTTTATCGCATACCTTCTCCATAAACTTTCAAACCTTTGCAGCATGCATAAGAGGTGATGACCCAATGACCAATGACACAGTTTGATGTACGATGTGTTTTAATATTGAAAGAATGCTTGTGAGAAATGAATGATAAAAAATAATAAATGCTCTAAGAAAAAAACAAAAACGAAGGAAAAACAACGTGCTGTTTACTCGTCGCCGCCCTTGCGTTTCTTCCTCCGTCCACCAGCCTCCTTGAGTGCAGCACGCTTCTGCTCCTTGCCCTGGGTACGGAAGACCTCCTTGCGCTCGCGCTTGACACGGTTGTCGTAGTTGGCTGTCTCCTTGGCTTTCTTCTTGTCGTACACAGCCTTCTTTTCCTTGGCCTTCTCAGCACGCTTGGTGTCCTTGTCTCGCTTGAGCGTGTTGATCTGCTGCATCAGCGTATAGATCTTCTTCTCCTCAGGCTCCAACATCACCGCACGGCGCTGCAACAGACCGGGCTTCTTCTGGGCCGCCAAAAGCTTGGGCTTGGATGCGAAGGGGAGCGATGCCCGGATGGCCTTGGGCACCTTCAAGGTGTTGAACCGCCTCGTCATCCTCTCCACAGGTTTGTAGGTCGAATCGCCGTTCTGGGGGGTCTGCAACGAGAGCGCATGGCGGACCTGACCCGTCAGACGCATTCCTTGCCACTCCTTCTTCTTGGCCAACAACAACGACGTAACGGGGTTACAGTACTTCTTGGGCTTGATAGGGTACCATGCTCGCAAAAAGACAATATCAGACATCAACACCTTGTCCTCGAACGTCGCACGGTAGTGTCCCTCGGGCTTCTGCACCGCCTTCTTGACCTGACCACGGATACCAGAGACGGTACGGATGTTGGCGCCCTCGAACTTGGCCACCTCGAGTGAAGAGGTAAACATGTCCTTGATAAAGGCAGTGTTCTTGTGGATCTTGTAAGGGTGTCCCGTCAACTTGAGCTTCTTGACAATCTCGACCGTGTGGTCAATATCCAGGACGACTCCCGTGGCAGAGATACGGAAGGCAGACGTGCCGTCCGATACGCTCTGGACACAACAGAATCCAGTGTTGGGAGGGTGAATGGGTCCATAGATGGTGGCCAGACAATGCATGTGCTCCGGTGTGTACTTGAGCATCCGGTTGCGCGTTCCGTCGTTGAGCGAGTAGATCGGCATGGTCTGGATACGACGCCAGCCTAGCGAGAAGATCAAGGGGTCGTTGGTCTTGAGGATCTTCTTGTGCCAACGATGCTTCTTGACACGAACCTGAATGAATCCAAAGTTCTCTTCCGCAGGGAGCAAGCCTCCCATGATGATGGGGTATTCGGGTTGGAAGTATTGGATAAACTCGCAGGGCATGTCCTTGAGAAGGATACGGACATAAGTACCGGGTCGGAAACCCTCGACCATGGCGCGGGTCGTGGGGTCATCGTCCTCGAACTCGGCCTGGTTGATCTGCTGCTGCTTGGCCATGTCGCCCTTGATCTCGTCGTAAAAGTCCTTCTTCTCCTCGTCATCGTCACCGTACTCGGCCTCGAACTTCTTCTTCAGCTGCTCCTTCTTAGCCGCAATCTCGTCGCGGGACATGTTGTCGTACGACTTCTCACCAGTAGGTTTCTTCCGGCTAGATCCCTCGTCGTCCTCATCATCCTCATCGTCGTCCTCATCCTGGCTGTCGGCTCCTTCGACCTTCTCGCCAGTCTCCAGATCCTCAAAGTCACCGAATGCCTCATCCTCGTCGCCGCCACCGGCAGCTCCAGGAACATCCAATGATCCAGTGATGAAACGGTCACGAATCGAGTCCTTGGCCTCGGTCGCATCCCACTCCTCCAGATCCGTAAACTCCAGAGTAGACTTGCACGAGTCAATCGTCTGTGCAATGGTGGCGTCCGAATCCTCCTTCTTCAAGGTCAAAAAGTCACCATCGTCCTCGCTGTCGTCCTCGGCACCGGTGCCAGGTCCTGTGCCAAAGCCCTCATCCGAGTCAGAGTCCTTGTCGCCCGAAAGCTTCAAGGGTCCCTCCTCAATATCACCCTGGGCAATCTGCTCAGGAGTGTACTTGCGGTCGCCATAAATCAGACGCATCAAGTTGGGTCGGCGCTTGGAGTGAAAAACGGATTCGGCCTTGGACATCAGGTTGTTCTTCCAGCGAAGAGCGCTCTCGTCCTCATCCTCCTCATCGTCATCGCCGCCAAGATCACTGTCAGACTCGGCGAAAGCAACCTCCTCCTCGCCAGACTCGGAATCGTCGTTCTTTCCTGCCTTATGCTTGGCCTCGTATTTGGACTTGTATTTCCTGCGGGAGTGAGCTGATCCGTATCCCAAATCATCTTCCTCCTCATCCTCCTCCTCCTCCTCATCTTCTTCATCCTCATCCTCATCCTCGTCATCTTCATCGCCGCTCTCCATCTCGACATCGTCATCCTCATCTCCGAAAATTGCGCGACGGCGAATGCGTCCGTTGCCGTCCATCTCCTTTCGCTCGCGAGGACCTAGTTCAATGAACGCAGGGCGGAAAAGGGATCGTTAGTTGGCAAGATCATAAAACGCATAAAACAATTAGCTGAATATTGCGTACGAGGAAAAGCTTACCTTTCTTGCCAGAAGACTCTTCTTCGCTATCGTCCTCCATATCCTCGTCCTCCTCATCCTCCTCGTCCTCCTCAACGTCACCGGCGCGCATAGGAGTAGAGTCAGCAAAGATACGGAGCTCACTGTCCTCGAGCTGGCTGGCCAAGGTGTCGGGAGCGTCCTGTAGGTTCATGACCATCCTCTCGCCCTGACCCTTCTCGTAATCTTCCTCTTCGCTCTCCTCCTCGTCCTCCTCCTCTGCTTCCTCGTCACCCGATCCACCGTCGGCACCCTTGAGACCTCCCTTGATGATCTGGCTCTTCTTGGTGAAGGATCCTGGCACGTTAATGTAGACGGCATCCTTGTCGTACATGATACCTCCGACGTCGGACATGGGTGCGTAAATCAGCTTTTGCTTTTCATCCAAACGCTTCCTGACTTTGTCGGGCAATGGGCAGGGGTCGGGCAAGATGCTGACATCGTCCATGTAATGGTCACCCACACCGGGAATATGAACTCTCATACCGGACTTCATGTTGGTTCCGCGAAGATATCCGTAGAGGGTGACAGTACGGTCGCAGGTTGGGTTCTGGCGCACCAATTCGGGGTCGGTCAAGTCTTCGACACGATCGGCGATCATGTAGGGGTGAGTATTTCTCCAGATAAGAGGTCGGAACTTCATGACGGAAATGAAGCGAGAAAGGTTCATGATCTCCTGATTGGGATAGCGGCCATTGATGACTCCAGAGAGGTAGAACAGTTTGGCGCCCTGGTAAATCTCGGTCCAGAAACGGTGCTTCAGCTTCTTCTTGGTAGTCTTGAGCGTCTTGTTGTTCTTGAACCGGTCCAAATGTGTCAAGACTCCCATGATCTTGGGGAATCCGTGTGTCTGCAGAATGTTGAGGAACTCGAACGTCTCCATCTCGAGACCGAAGGAAGCGTCGATCATGAGGAGGATCAAATCGGCGACCTTGGCGACGTCGATCATGCTGTTGAGGTCGTTGTTGCATTCGATGAAAGTGAGGCGGCGCTTCTTGCCACTAATAACGGTGATAGGTCCCTTGAGCTCTGAGAGCGAGTGCTTTGTGAATCGTTTGACGAGAGACTTGATCAACGTTGTCTTTCCAGTCTATTGTTCCAGAACAAAGGTCACTGTTAGTTTCTCATTGCAATTGGTTATCCTTGGCTTCCTTTGGTAGTTGTGTGTGGTGGATTCATGCTTACCCCGGGTGGTCCGACAACAGCAACAACGACAGGAGGGGCCTCCATGGGTGTGCGGTCGACAAGAGGCACATGAAGTCTGGTCTGGTCCCTGTCCAAGTTACGGCGAGCCGCCTTCTCCGCCTTGCGTCCTGAAAGGAAACCAAAAGCCTATGGTTGTATGCATTGTTATCGTTAGATAGTCATTCAGGTGTTGGTTGTTGGCCTTCTTTCCCCTTGTTTGACAGGCTAGAGAAAGTAAAAGTCAAACAGTGAACTGGCACAAGACAAAGAGATGTACCTTGGGGTTGTTCTTTTCGGCATTCTTCTTGTGCTTGTTTGCCTTTGCTCCCGCGGTTTTGGCGCGATGCGCCTTCTGGGGTGCGTCAGACATGTGTGAGTGTGTGAATTAAGGCGAAGGGGAGGATGGCAATGCTGAGCAGAGTACAGGGGAGAGCATTCACCTTGTTGCAGCAGTCGTATGCACAAAAAAAAAAAAAAAAGAACAGTTGTCTATTGTGGCTTATGTATTTACCATGGATAATGTGACTGTGTCCTCTTTCAAATGGGGTTCTTTCTTCGCAGTGCGCGATTTTTGTTATCTGTCGTTCCTTTCTTTGTGCTCACCACCGCAAGAGCCGCCACTTTCGCCCTCTTCTTCTTTTACTTCTTCTTCTTCTTGTTCTTCTACTCCTTACTTTTTCTATTCACCTCGTCTACATTCAGCGTTGGATAAAACAAAAACAACCTCCTCCTTGTTCACACTATTCACAACATCAACCCAGGACGCGCCCTTTTTGCTCACAAAACAGAGATGCAATGCGTCTTTCGTTGCCACCCGCAACGGCTCCTTGCCCAACCAGTAACAACAACAGCAGCAACAACAACCAATCTTGTGTTAGCACCAAGTCGAACCAGCCCTTGGTCCTTTGCCGCTGCTACCTCAAGGCACCAAAAGAACCGTTCGGTTCAAACTTTGTCGCGTCACACGTTGACCAACGGTGACAAAGGCTGTCTTGTCGGGAAAGGGACGACGACTGCTGCAGGTCAGGACAGTCGTGATATCCTATCATTGACAGGACCAGGATCGGCATGGTTCACAAGGAGCATGTCAACAGCGGCTTGCGCAGGGACCAAGGGACGACCGATTAAGACGACGTTATCTGAGGTCTCTCACCCGGAGTCTTCCTTTTCTGTTCGATTTGGAAATTTTTGCAGGCGCTCCTTCAATTCTTCTTCCCGGACTGCTCCATCTCCAGCAACCAACTCTCAGCACCAACGACCTTTCTCGACCACTGCCTCAGTCTTCAACAACAGCAATAACAAGAACACTTCTGTCACAGGACTCGACTCTCTCCAGACATGGCGTCGGCCCTACCATTACCCATCATCCAAATCTTCACAGGAGGCCCGCTCTCTGGCCACTATGCCCTCAAAGCCAACTTTCCAGGCTATACCCAACTCGATCTCCGACCCTGCCACTCGCCTCCAACGGAACCTGAGCGTTGTCCCTCACCACACCATCAAAAATGAGATCAAGCTGCGATGCACCGAGTTTGACCACAAGGGAAACGTCAAAACTACTGCCGGCGAGTTCTTGAAGAGCGATCTATGCCAACAGGTTCGTTAGTTCTCTACTCCAGTGCCGAATCTTTTGTTGTCGATGAGCTGATTTTTCTTGGATGTTTGGATGAACCTTTATCCTGAATTTTTCTTTTATTTCTTCCGATATAGCATGGACTGCACGCCAGAGACTTGCGCAAGATCGACAGCAGTTTCAACAACCAGATGCCCGTGCTATTGGTTCGCCCTGAGGCGATTCTTGTGAACGTGGGTCATATCCGTGCCCTGATCAAGGCAGATCTCGTCGTCCTGTTCGACTCTTTTGGATCGACCGACAGTTATAACCAATCCATTTTCATCTATGATCTCGAGGAGAAGCTGAGGATGAGCACCAGTGCTGCCGGAGGTCTCCCCTTTGAATTCAGGTATCTATGCCAGCAAGACCTCATTCGGTGTCTAACATGCTACTCGCTCATGTAGCACATGAGCCTAACGAGATATTTTTCTTCTTGACGTCATTCATGTATATAGAGCATTGGAGGCTATCTTTATTTCGGTGATATCGTCGTTGCAATCGGAGATGGATGTATTGGTGCACTTTGTGACGAAGCTGTTGGCGCATCTAGAAGAGAGCATTGACCAGAACAAGCTGAAGGAACTGTTGCAGTACTCCAAGAAGCTGTCCCAGTTTGAGTCCAAGACCCTGCTGATCCGCGATGTCTTTGTGGAGGTGTTAGATCAAGGTACGCTTGATTATATCACTGGATGGATGGCTTCTCTTTGGCTGTTGATATTACTCAGTGATCAGTCACTAAATAGGTTCTTCAAATTGATCGATTAGATGATGATCTGGCTAACATGTACCTGACGGAGAAGAAACAAGGACACCCCAGGACAGAGGACTCTCATGAAGAAATCGAAATCTTGCTAGAATCATACCTGAAGCAGGTCGAGGAGATTGCCAATACGGTCGCCATTGTCAAACAGCAGATGCAATCAACTGAGGAGATCGTCAACGTCATCTTGGGCGCCAACAGGAACCAGCTCCTGCTCTTTGAACTCAGGATCGCAATGGGCACCCTGGGTATGTCGAGTGGAGCCATTATTGCCAGTCTCTACGGAATGAACTTGCACAACTATCTCGAAACCAACCCGCACGCATTCGCCATTGTCGGATCAACTGCTCTGGGTATCAGCATGATGGTCTTTGCCTTTTGTTCCCGGAAACTCAAGATGCTTGCCAAAGGAACCACATAGAACTACTGGTTTGTACAAATCATGATACATCATTAGAGAACACATACACACAATTAAAACGATCACACCCGCCCTTTGTACTTTTATACCAGCTGTGGACAAAATGATGAAGTCATTGCTGTCAATTGGAGAATTTAGACCAGACTGGCAACATAATAGCGACCCTACAGCACGACTGAAAAAATATAACTTTGAAAAGGGGGTCGTTCCGAATGAATCGGAGTGTGTCTCGATTCCATCCTGCGCATTGTCCCTCCCTTGCCTCATGATCTTGCGCTCTCACTCAGCGTGTCTGACAGTCATTTAAGTCACCTTCCCGCGCTTTTTCTTTTTGTTGCCTACACCTTCACGATCGCGACCATGCCACTCCTGCTTGTATGAAAAGAACTAAAACGGTCGTGGCTGAAGGATCAAATTATCCAGGTCGGTTCACGTTCTCTATGTCGCTCATATGTATTCAGTTAAAGTGTGCATGTCTTACGTTACGATTGATGCACCTGTGCTGTCTCTTGTGCATATGTTACTTCTCTTGAAGGTTTGTACTGTACCCGTAAACAAACGGTGGCAACGAAGAAATGCCACAACAACAAGACACAAAGAAGAAAGAGGTCAACCTCAGCAGTTCTTGACAAGCGGAATACGGTTGGAAGTCGACATGTCCAATCCAAACAGAAGTGCAATACTGTAGTACTATACACCACAAAAGAGATCGGTTCACTCCAGCATCTTCCCAGTGACTTTTCTAGACAAGACATAAATGCGCTTTTTTTTACATCTGCTTTTGTTGTCCTGGCTCCAGTCCCCGCCTCCCATTAGCTGGAGGGAGTTGTAGCCCTTTGCGCGTATTATTATGTGTGGTCAGCCCTTTTTAGTGAACGAAACGACCACTTTATTGGTGTTTCGTCCTGTTGACACACACATACAGTTTCTTTGTCTGTCTTTCCTTGACTGACTGGCTGCTCTGCTTATGACATGCACTCTACCTCTCTTTGTCTCTTCCTCGTTCTCTTTCATCTGCAGGACTGTCTCTCTGACCATCATCACCACACCTCTTGCTATTATCCTGCCCGCAACGTCTTTTTTTCCCCATCTTTTGTTTCTCCTCCCTCACTCTTCTCACTTTATCCTCTTACTCCCTTCATAGACACCCGCACTTCTCCTTTTCTTTATTGCCATCTCACTTCCTTTCTTTTGTTATTAACCCCAACATCTCGCCCACTCCCTCCTCCCTCCTCCTCCTCCTTTCTACTCCAATTCACGCTTGTACCTTTCTGCTTTGTCGACAAGGTCCCTTCGATCCCCGTGGCCACCGCTATCCATTTCCTTACTGCCCATCCTCAAGGTAATTAGACATGCTCTTGTCCCTCTATCCCCCGTTTTGGGCCTGATTACCCTTGCCTGCTTGTGTTTTGTCCTTCTGCACGCTGCCTTCAGTTGATCGAGATTTCCCCTTTCTGTGCAACGTTTGCGAAGTGTCGGGTCAATTTAATATGCATTCTATCTGTGCTCCAATGTGTGAGAGCACAAAAAGAACTATGTATGTCATATCCTTCATTCCTCTTTATCTTTGTGCATGTTCATCTGCACCGTTAGACGGTGCAGCGATCCCGTCTCCACTCAGGTTCACCTTCACACACACACACACACACACACAATGTGTCCAGTGTAAACTGACATCCTTCGTTTCCTTCTGGTACCATATCGTTTTCATTCCTGTGCCTTGTTCTTGGGTCGACTGGACTTTGTTGCAATTGCGTCCTCTCTTCTCCTCACTTGCATCTTTGTTCCTTCTTGTACTTTCGTTCATCTTTTCCCTCATCAACTCTTCTTCTCCATGGTTCCTTTCAAAGACTGACAAACAACATCAACAATCTGCATGACCACGAATTATCTATTGCTGTCGTGTAGATATTAATCCCCTCCCTTTTTTCATCTTCCTTCCTTGGGACAATTCGCCGACCTGACTGACCCCCACTCCAGTTCACTAAACGCCCCGTCTCCGTCTGTCAGCTGTCAAACAAGACAACCGCTACTCTCTCTCCTACAACCCAACCCAACACACATAACACTCAATTACGACACCTCACAATAGAAACACTTTTCATAACGAACAGAAACAAACAACACAGGAGGAAGCTGCATAATACAAACGATGGCGTATACGGATGTCCCAATGCCGCTTGTAGTCGATACACATCAGGAGATCAACAATAGCAACAATGTCACCACTAGAAGTAGGATTCGTTTAAAGACAACAGCGGCCGCCGTGACAGATTGCCATCGATGCCATCGACACTCGTCCTCTACCTCCTCTGCAGCTGCACCCACGACCCCTTGCTATCCTACGCTTTCATCCATCACCTCCTCCTCCTCTTCTTCCACTTGTTCTTTCAACGCCAAGAGTCATCGCCGCCGGTACTCCATCCAATCCTCCTCAACATCATCTACCTCTCCCTCGTCAGCAACGTCTACAGAACGCAGCCATTCTCAACAGCGTCGTGTTTCGCCTCATCACAGTCATGGCCACAGCCACAGCCACCACTACCAGAGCCCCTCAACCCAACTATACCCGGATCACCTCCACCACCACCGCAGTCGCACCATGAACACGGGCTCGCTCCACGCCGTCCCTGTTGTCCCCTCTGCGTCGTTCTTCCGCCGGATCATCAAAGTCTTTGTCGGAACAACAGGCAGCAACACCGGTAGTAGCGCCGATGAACAGTTTATGGATCCCCGTCAGACGGGAGGATTACTATTCAACAGCAGTCAACGATCCAAAACAAGCGGTCTGGTCGATAGCGAACCTCAGACGGACGAGAGTGGGTCATGTGAGGAAAATGACTGCATCTGCGATGACCACTATGGCGATGGCTATGGCGATGGCTATGGTTACCAGGACCACGATGCCTTCATGGCTATGAGCGCACCAGGCCCGTCTTCCAACTCAAGTGTTCGTCAGAAGAAACGAAGCAACAGCATCGCGAGTGCATCGACCAGCGCCAGTTCCACGGACAACTACTCTGGAGGAGGTCGCAGCAGCAAGAATCGACCAGGACGAACCGGTAGCATTGGGGGAACCAGTGTCAGGTCGAGCAGCACCACCAACAGCACCGGTACAGGCGCCATGACCAACCGACGGTCATCGATCACCAGCAGCATGACTGGTGAGAGCGTGTGCGACTATAGTGGCACCAGCAGCAGCGGCAGCAATGGACGTCCGGGCGACAAGGGCCGTCGCGGTTCGATCGCCAATCAGCAACAGTACCGCCAACACTTTACAGGCATGGGAACCTTTGCTCCTCAAGGAAACAATGCTGCGATGATTCATCAGAGCCAGCAGGACCCCATGAAGCGACGTCTCAGCTTCTTTAAATCTATGGCTGCCAACATGGCGGCTGGGGGGGCTAGCTCTCGACGCGGGTCAGCCTTTTCGACCACGACAGCGGTCAACTTGACTGGGATCACCCTCCCCGATGAGGACGACGATGCCGACTTGGATGGTGAAGGAGGCGAGGACGATGATATGGAGAGCGTTGACGCAGACAGTTTTGACGACGACGAGGATATTGACGCCTATAATGATAATGACTTTAATGATTACGAAACGGACGAAGACGACCACCGGATGGCGGTTGACGAAGTGTATGCGAATGGTGTGATGCCGACCCGCGATGTAGAGCTGGAGCTCCACCGCCACCGCCGCCAGGACCGTGCCCGGCGATCGACCCAGCGCCAGACGCGCCAGCTCCGCCGCCAGAGCCTTCTGTCGGACAACAACAACCTGATGTATCGTAACAAGACAGGAGGTTATATCATGTTTCCTCCTCCCTTGCCCGAATACGCCCAGCGGCCGACCCCGATCCAGCTCCCGGAAATCCTGCATCTGATCTTCCAGTTTGTGGTCGACCTGACACCTCAAGAAGACTACTCTCAGCGCGAGATTTACAGCTGTCTTCTGGTCAGCAAGCAGTGGTACCTGGTCGCTCAGAAGACATTGTGGCGTGAGATCCGGATCAAGAGCCCTGACAAGTTGGCTCTCTTTGTCGACCTTCTCAAGCGTACCGATACGGTGGAATGTCTTGGAATCGAGAGGAACAGTCAGGCCGTTACCAGCAGCCAACAACAACAGCAACAAAGCGCTACTTCAAAAACTACGCCTGTCATTGCAACTGCAACCACCACTACGATCACCCAGCAGCGCCCAAGACGACTTAGCTTCTTGCTCAAGGGTCAATCTGGCCAGCAAGAGACCGCCCCTGCCATTGGTGCCGGTGCCCTGATTGTAGCGCCTGCACAGCAACGGCCACCGTTAGACGAAGAATCGATCATGGCTCCTTCTGCTATGGTCAAGCGTCTCCACGAGCGTGCCTCGGCAGTCAAGAAGATTGTCCTCCACAAGCTCAAGTTGATCGAGGATGCCGACGTCCTCCCTCTGACCTCGTGGTTCCATAACCTCCACATCATCGAATTCTATATCTGTGAGAAGTTGACGGATCGTATTGTCATCTCGATCGCCGAGAATTGCCCTCAGCTGCAACAGTTGTTGATGCCCGGCTGTGCCAAGGTGACGGACCAAGGAATCACTCAGGTCGCGTTGAATTGCCCACGAATGCGACATTTGGACCTGAGGGCTTGTTCGAACGTGTCGGACGAGTCGCTGATCCTGGTGGCGCGTCACTGTCGCGATTTGTGGCACTTGAATGTTGGTCGGGTTAGTGCTGCAGGTAGGGTGACGGGCAAGAGTATTGTCGAGCTTGCCAAGAACACGGCTCTGAACACCCTTGGGCTTGCGGGCTGTGCAATGACTGACGATGCCGTAATTGAGATTGCGCGTTACTCTCGCTCAGGTCTCCACCGGTACGTTTTTTTCCTTGTTTGTTGCTTTCTTGCCAATGTTGATACACAAAGAAGATACAACACACAGACACAAACACAAGTTCTAACTTATTGTATTTATTCTGCTTTCATAGCATCTCGCTGAACAGCTGCCCGTTGTTGACGAGCTCGTCGGTCCGGGCACTGATGCAGCTGTGCCCGAACCTGGCGGTGCTCGAGATCAAGCAATGTCTACTTGTGACAGACATGGCGACATTGTATCGGTTCTCGACCAGGCGGGTCCTGGTTGAGTTGTGTCCTGAACTCCAGAAGCGGTTGGTCGATTACAAGTGTGAGCTTCAGGCCATGAATGCGTCGATCCAGTCCAACAATGTCACCTCGGCTGCTCAGGTTGCTGGCGGTGATACTCACGGTTCATCTGAGGAACAGCAGCAGCAGCAGGAACAGCACGCAGCACCACCTTCATCCAACACTTCAACTGTTGCTCCCCATTGATCGCTTCAATTGCTCGTTAGATATTATGACCCATTCCTCCCTTCTCTTCTCTTTACGCTTTTTTTTGTGTTTATGACCTTGTTTTGTAATGACCTACGTTATATTAGAATGAATGAAAAAAATGAAACGACATACCCCAGTTCTTTTGAATAAAAACACCCAGCAGAAGCCTTCAAGTGTGCAAGTGTGGAGAGATGGATAGATCGGCTTTTCTTCTTCCTTTTGACCCGATCGACGACTGTCCAAGTGCCTCAGTTCATGGTTCTTTCCCATTCTCACGTGTCGGCCATGGCCCTGATTCGGCCGGAGTGGATCAAGGCAAATTTTCACTCTTCCTCCAAAGAAGACACCGACGCTCACTCTTTTTTTTTGTGCTCTTTCTTCTCACTTGTCTTTGCTCCGTTCTCCTTTTCTTCTTTTCTTACTTTCTCCAAACCCACCCTCTCCCCTCACACCCCTCACCCTCACCACCGTCAACAACAAAGGACAAAAATAATGGCAGTTTCGTCGAAACAGGAAGTCGACTCTCAGGAGCACCACCAGGCGGCCCCCGTGGCCCGTAAGGAAACACCCTCGATCCTCGCCCTCGGAAAGCTCTTCCCCCAGAACAAGACCCTCGACAAGACTGTTCGGTTCTTGAGCCAGGTCCGCGGTACCGATAAGACCCTCATGGTAAGACCTTTTTTCCCCCTTACTGCTCGGTCACGAAAAAGGGAGGGGCTTCCCTGATGGGCCAAGGAGAAAAGTGACCAGGCGATGGAGTATACTCATTTCTGTTTGCATCTGGTGAACGGAAAAAAAAAGTCCGACTGTCCTCATGGCGTGTTGTGTTTGTTTTGCATGGGGAAGGAAAACAGAATGACACTACAATGGCGACAGGATAGCAAGGCAACACGACAACGAGGATAAGCTGAGCAGTGGAGAGAACTACGTGCGTACAACCGGCAATAACTACTGTACAGGAACAGCAAACCAACAGACCGCATGGACAACCGTGAAGGATATGGTGGAATCAGATCTGGACGTAAACGGAGCGCCTTGACCTCGGCTTTGTTGTTTTGCTTCTCCATTATACCCTCATTCCTCCTTCAAGGCGTGCAGGTGTGGACAAGGAAAGATTCTTGAACTATTGCACCTTCAATGGCCTTTTCTGCCTGAGGATGCTTTCTTCAATCACCATTTTACTTCCTACCCCACACCAATACACCTTATCCCAACGGCAATTTGGTATTGTGAGAGAATGCGAAAGAGGGGGATAAGGGAACGAACGAGATCAGCCATTTGTTCACGACGAAAAATAATTTGCGGGCAATAAGGTGAACGAAGGACAAGTTGATGTGAGAAGAGGGGCTCCACTTTCGAGTTTTGGCTTATTACCTTATTTTTTTTCTTTCATTTGCTGTATGTGTGGGGAGAGAGCACAGAAACTGGTCAAACGGGAAAGAGGTATTGGTGGGGAACGAGAGGGTGGCCTTGGTGACAAAGGCAACCGTGTTTTCCCGAAGAGGGGACAGGGCTACCTTGGCCATTGTCTTCTTTTTTCTTGAGAAAAAGCCTATTTTCCAATTGTTGCGTCTCGAGATATGGCGAATTGCTAACCGTGCTGTTCTTTTCTCCTCCGGCGTGAACTTTGTAGGTTGTGCAATACTTTTCAAAGATCTTCATCTGGTACTTCTTGAAGCGTGGCCGTGAGTCGACTGCCCAGCGCATCAAGAACTTGGCTGGACCCATCTCGGACTTCCGTATCTTGCTCCGTTACTATGGTACATATGCATTGACTGACTGGTTGGAAAATCGATCTATTCAATACTGTTCTTTTTCTCACACACTGACCATCTCATTGCTGATTCCAATAGGACTGTTGCCTTTGATCCAGTGGATGCAGTATGTCGACAACACTCCTTCGCCCAGCCCTCTTATGCTCACCATTGACCGCCTCCAGAACATCTGCAACTTAATCTACTACCCCTTGGAGCACATCTACTGGTTGGGAGCTCACGAGGTTATCCCTATCTCGATGGAGAAGACCAACAAGATCGCCATCTGGTCGTGCCGTTTCTGGGCCGCCTACGTCGTATTACAGTTTGCCCACCTTGCAGAGGAGTACCGCCTCTACAAGAACCGACTCCAGTCGATCCAGGGACAGATCCGTGCTGCCGACTTGAAGGCCAAGGAGACTGGCGAGCCCGTCGACAAGACTGTCTTTAAGACTGAGATGGCTTCATTGAAGGCTGAGAAGAAGGGCCTCTGGATCAACACGATCATCAACACTGGATACTTGCCCCTGACTGTTCACTGGAGTTTGGAGAAGTCGAGCTTCCCTGATGTTGGTGTCGGTATGTTTGGAGGAATTGCTGCCGCCGCCCAGTTCTACGTCGCGTGGAAGTCCTCTTAGATTTCGTCGTCTGGCAAGGCAGTCTGAACAAAAAGAAGAGAGAGATACGACCTTTACATGATCCAGTTGATCCTCTTTGTTACCCTTTTCTTTTTTGTCTCTTTTTTGATGCTTCAGGCAAGCATGCATACATACACACATCCATTCACACATGAATAAAAACTCTACGAAAAACTTGTAAATATCCTACATTAAACATCCAGCGTGAAAAAGAGATGAAATAAAGTGACTAAGACTCCCACCTGTTCGGTTCGAAGTGACTGTTGATGGGCGGGCAGGTGTCTTACCCACTGATGGAGCACCTACTTTTCTTTCTACTCTCTCTTCTTCACTCATTCACACTTCACGGCAACTAATGCACATAAGCCATGGCTGCAGAACAGACAAGGGATACCCTCACAAGGACAGCATCCAACACCAACACTAATGGAGACAGGAAAGAAACCACCATACCTGACGAACCACTCTACGACCCCCGCGGTCTCCAGTACCTCGAACCGACCCAGACCAGTCTCCAGTGCTCCGTTTGCTGCGAGTACTTTACTCAACCCGTCAGCGTCCCCTGCGGGTAAGTCACGGACGGAAGGGAGAACCGAATGCAAGAAAGCTCATTTTACTGCACAATGTTAACACCATGTCGGATGACCCCTTTAGTGCTGACTTTACACATTTTAAACTTTTTTTCCACCCCGCACTTCAGGCACACGTTCTGTAAAGGCTGCATACTGCAAGCCTTAGAAGTCAACCCCGGCTGCCCACTCTGTCGAACTCTCATCGACCCCTCTTTACTCTACGAAGTAATCGCCCTCTCCCGACTCTGCGACGAGCTACCCGTCTACTGCCCACACAAGACCCTCGGCTGCAACCATACCTGTCAACGGATCCAGCTAGGAAAACATTTGAAGGACGACTGTGTGTATATCGGGACGTTGTGTCGGGTGGAGGAGTGTCGGAAGAAGCTGTTGAAGAAGGATCTGTCGGAGCATATGGAGAGTTGTCCGTATAAGCGGGTTGATTGTTTGATGTGTCATGCTAAAGTCCAAAAGTCTCAACTCTCAGTAAGTGTGCTTCTTCATGTCTGACAGTTGTGGTATTTAATTCGAACGATATATTCCTTCTGCTGAACACCAAACCAACACGATAATAGGAGCACCACAAAACATGTCCGGCGGAGAGTGTTACTTGCCCGCATTGCGATACGACACGGACGAGGCTACGACACTTGGATCATCTCAAAGAATGTCCACGACAGATCATCCCTTGCTCTCTATCGGAATTCGGATGTCCTTGGAAAGGACCCCGCTTCGATCTGGACGCCATTCATATCCCCCAGTGTCCCTATGAGGCGATCCGTGGATTCTTGGAGATTTCAAAGTCAAGGATGGAAGCGCTTGAGCAAGAGAACCAACAGCTCAGAGGACTTTTTCACGACATGAAACCTCAAGTCCAACAACTTCGGGACCAAGTAGGACAGCTTTCGGAATCTGTTCAGCTGTTCAGTCATCAGGAACAACAGATGGGAGGAGGTGGAGGAGGAGGGTTCGGTCAGTCCATGCTTGGATACATGGATATGAGCTATCCCAACTATCACAACTATCCACAACAGCAATTGTACAGGAACGACTCTTATGACGAAGGTGCTGGCGAAGGTGGCGATCATGAAGTCGAAATGCGCGCGGCTTTAGCTATGGAGCGGAGGAACAATAGCATTGGAGCAGAGTCGATGATTTCTAATGGTGGAGCAGGCGGAGGAGTACGAGGCAGTGTTGCAGAGACACAAGAATTACTCATCTCTGAGAATGAGCGGATTAGGTCCGAGCTTGAGACTTTGACAGCGGGCCTGGCGTCTCTGGAACTTAAGCAGAATATGGCCATCATGACTGAGAGTATGAGACTTCAGGAAGAGGTTCAGAGTTTGCGAGCAGTCTGTCATGGACTCCGGATGCAGATGCACTATCTACTGTTGGAGCAGCAGAACAGCCGACACCATCCACCGGGACCTCCACCGCCTGGATCGCCTGCAGGCGGGAATGCGAATATGCAGCAGGCCATGAAAGGGGGAAACAATGGCGCTGGTGGTGGAGGAGGGGGCGGATCCGGCGGAGGAAGGCCGTTGAGTACCAGTGGACCATTACGACCGCGGTTCTCAGGTATGTTGTTCTCGTTTCTGTTGTGCTTTGCGCGCAATTGTTTTGTTCAGGACTATGTATGTAAGCAGAGGTACTGACTTTGACTCTCTCCGTCCCTACCGCGTCTTACATAATGTCTATCTAGACGGTCTTGGACGACAGGAAACCAAACTCTGATGAAAGCATCCGTCCATCGATCCCTTTTTTTTTCTTTCTCTCATGCATAAACTTGTACAAAGTAAGGTAGAAACGAACATAATCTCTTAAGCTGGCGAATGTTGACCAAGCTCCAGTCTCAGACTGATAATGTGGAGAGGCTTTTAGTGTCATCGTTAGCAACGATCGGCTCACGGAGTATTGGAATGCACAACATATTTTATTCGATGATAGTGTTTCCGATCTGTGCTAACTCTGGGGAAAAAGTCATGGAAGAAGAGAAAATTGTAGCAAAAAAAAAAAAGACGCCAGAAACGACAATCCACCATGATTGTCGTGCTTTGTTCCATTCACAATATGAGAAGTATGGCTTATGTATGCCATTGTTTTTTTAGTGCCGTTTTGTCGTTTTTATGTCGCGTTACGCAGAATTGATCGCTGTTAGCGTTGACCATGCAATGGTAACGGTAGGAATGCCCGATGTTCTGCAGATGGTTATTGACTCACGTCCCTTTCTACTATTCTTATATGTCTCTTATCCTGTTCGTGGTCCAACTGACAATCGTTTTCCTCTTGTACGCTAACCGTATCCGCACTCGCCAGGACGCAAAATGCACGGCTATGTTCTGTACGCCTTTTCAAGAAATGCAATTGAAGACTCTACTTTCGTGCCTGGATGAAGGTACGGTTCATCTTATTTTTTTTCTGTATGGAATGGCTCTTCTGCGCCGTCAACTGCGAACCTTTTCTCTCCATGTCATATCATTTTGTTGCTGCCGCCGTTTTTCTTGCATTACAGATGCTGTTGTGTGGGGATGGATTAGAATCGTCTATCGAATACACAACCGACAAAGGAAGAAGGAAGGAAGGAAAGACTCATACATGCATCCATGCATATGAACTGTTGGACTGTTGGAGAAAAATGATGAGAGAGTAGAGAGGAAGAATAGACCCACTCTGCAATCCACCCGTCGCTGCATTCAATCCTTTTCTCTGTCGATTTTTTCAACCCGCCTTCGTGAATACTTTTCCCTTCCTTTATTGACGTTCCTTCTTCCTTCTTTCTTTTTCTCATCTCCTTGTTTCCCCTTCCATCTCTCCTTCCCTTATTCCTCCATCCTTCACCTTCTTCTTCACAACCCGCACGCACAGCTCTATTCTGTCGTGTCTTTGTTTCGTGTGAATCATAAAAGGGATTGAATACCCCACGTCTTCGCCGAACTTTCTTCGCTCTACAGGTTTTGGACCCCCTCCTTCTTCGCACCCCCCCCCCCTGTCCAGGCCCTCATACCCTCCTTTGTTTAGTACCACATACCCACACCTCTCTCATCAAAAGATTCAATTGGACTATTCCCCTTTGTTCACAAACTCACGCTCCCTTTACAGCTTCACCCAAATCCAACCCAAGGACAATACCCTCCCCACATCAACTCAAAGGAACAACTTCTCCGACCAATAACAAACAAAGAAAACGACAACAGACATGCAGAACGACGCCTTCAAGCGATTCAGCAAGGACCTACAGGAAGTATTGGTCATCCCGGTCAACTACATCAATAAAAAGACCAAAAAGTCCTCCATGGCCGGCGGCAACGGCGACTTGTTCACCCTCAGCAACAACAACTTTTCCAGCCACCCTCAACAGCCCCACCACCACCATCCTCCTCATCACCACAGCAGCAAAAAGCCCATAGGACTCTCTGGCTTGACCACGTCGGACTTGAGAAAGGACTTGAGCGGAGGGCAAGTCTCACCTTATTCTTCGTTGACGTCGGATTCGGTCTCGCTTCACAACTTTTCGCTTTCGACGCTTAGTAAGGGCTCGCTGGACGAGAACCCTTCCTTCACGTCGTCCAACGGGAGTGCTGCCGGGTATTTTGGGCTGAGTCAACAGCAACAACTACAGCAGCAAGGAGGAGGAGGAAATCCTCAGTTCTTTCACCAGCAACAGCAACAACAGCAGCACAAATTGACAAAGGCCAGTAGTTTTCTGAGATCCCCTCTTAGCCCTGGTGGGTTCAATGGGAGCATGCGAATTTATCCGAAGCTGGAGGAACCTGCGTTAGTCCACTGTCCACCCTCTGTCGCGACTTTGGACCAGTTCTCACCCGAACGCCAGAACTGGGTGCGGGAGTGTCCTAACCAGCCATTGCTCACTGGCGCTGGAATTGGACTTGGTCAGTTGGGGGGAGATGTTTTGAAGTCTGAGCGCGCTTGGGATGTGGTGGCCACGTCGCCTGGTGATGGACGCCCCTGTGACCTTCAGAGTTCTGCCGGCCTTGTCGCCTCAGGTCGAGAGTACGTCTTTGCGAACCTTTTTCTTTCATCTTCTTTTGTGCTCCTTTTTATTGGTTATCGACGCGACGCGTTTTTTTTTGCCACCAGAACAACATCATTAACCTTCCTTTTTGTCTATTTGAATACAATAGTTTCTTGAAGACAGGATACTACAACCCCAATGAAGCAACCGGCCTGGCTCTCGTCAAGCGTAAGTTGGTTTGCTATCCCTCCCACTTCACATCTCTCACAGCCCATGCCTTCCGATTTGCGGGTACACAAATGATTTTTTCTAACCTGCGTCCACAATGTCTGAATAGTGATGCAGGTCTCCAACCGAGCTACGTCCAAGTTATTCGACATTGAATGCAATCTGCGCGTCGGCAATGTGGAGCGTACATCCCACCCTGCACGGTCCTTCAAGGACAACCCTGGCAACACCGCCACCATGAATGAAGTCTTCCTCTTGTAAGTGTCTTGTTCATTACAGTTCGATAGTAGAAAGAGATGTGAAATCTATTCCGAAATGCGCCACCAATTCACCCCGATTGTTCACTCTGCACTTGAACTAACAAAACGGCCTATTCCCTCTACTCAGCGATGTGGAAGAGGCATTCCAACTAGAGATCGAGGTGACAGGAACACCCATCGCTACAAAATTCGGAACCATGGCCGGATTCTCCAATACCCAATCCGTCAATCTAGGATACCTCCATCTCCCCATAGCCCTCGAATCCTTGGAGAAATCCGTCCGCACCTACAAGTTGCGCAGGACGATCCATATGATGGACGGAAGTCAACAGCCCCTGGCCTCTGCGGCAGCGATCAAGGCCCAAAGTAAGGAGAAGGTTGATTGTGAGATTGTGGTCATGATTGGACTTCATGTGCTGGAGGAGCCGGTTGATGATCGGTCTTGGGAGAATGAGGTCTTGTTTGAGGGACATTTGACTGTCATGACCCGTGGTCTTCGCATGGCCGTAAGTTCTATTTTTTTTTGTGTGTGTACATGTTTGTTTGTTATGATGGTAGCTTGTATTCTTACTTTTTTTCTTAATTTAAACCATTAATCGTCGTCATTTCCCTTTGCTTTTCGTTCAATGTAGGCGTGGAAGCGGTACTGGGCGGTTCTTCAAGGAAACGCCGTCAAGCTCTACGATGTCGAGTACCAAACAGTAAGCACACACTTTTTTTTCTTTCGTTGCATTTATCCTGTCTCTTTCTTTGGACAACAAAGAATGATATTAACACCATATACCCCGTTGTGCTCCAACCAAAACTTAGAAACGAGATCCAATCACAACAATCTCACTAGCACACATCCTATCCGTCCAACCACCCGACTACGACAAAGTCGATGTTGGCAGCAACGGCTTCGTCCTCGTCATCTCCCCCACAGGAATCGACATGTCCAGCGCGACAGAAGAAGATCTCACCAGCAATATGGATAATAACATCTATGCGTTTACGGATTCGGCGCATCTGCACGAGAGTTGGAATCTGCAGTTGGAGAGGGCGATGGTGGGGTATCGTGAGGGGATAGCGAGGAGGGACGAGATCTTGGAGGCGAAACGGAACCGGAGACAGAGACGGAGTGGTGCTGGTGGTGGTGGTGGTAGTGGTGGAGTTGAGGCTGTGGAGGAAGAGGAAGTGGCGCGTGTTGACCTCATTGACTTGCGATTCGTGTCGTAATCTTCTTGTTGTGTACAAAGGTCAAACTAAACTGGCCACTTTAATGATACCACCTCCTTCCTGGTTAACGAAACCAAGCTGGATACTAATGAACCCCTCTCACCCCGTCGCCAAACAACACGTAAAACAACTTAAAGCAAACTCTAAAAAAATAGACAATTGAGACCAAAAAAAAAAAGGGCGATGTCAAGGGGAAAAGTGGTTCTCTTCTCTGTTTTTGTCTTATGCATGAGACTGTAACATTCCTCCTTCAAAAGAGAAGCCGTGTAGGCCCCCTTCCTATTACTTTGTTTTTTTTGTTTTGCTTTACTTTTTTCTTTTACGTCCATGATCGTCGAAATCTTATTGCTGATTTTCATCTGTTTGGGATGGAAAGACGGGACATGTAGGTCCATGCATTGTGCTCAGTGTGGTTGTCGAAGAGGAAAGAGTAAAAAGAATCGCACCTGATGGAAGGTCAAAGGACAATCATTGCTCACTGGAAAGGAATCGAACAGCAAAGTAAGGATGGTCAGGCTGCAAAAACGTACAGGAAAAAAAAGGAAAAGAGGAGCTGACGACAAAGAGCAGGAGGACTGACAACAAGAAAAAAAAAGATAGAAGGGTCAAGGCTCAATGGCTCAATGGTTCGTTTTTCGTCTTCCAAAATAGCTTACGATCCCTGTTTTTCTGCTCGCTTCGCTTAGTCTCGTTGTACGTCGTCGTGCCTTTCCTTCCCCTTTTGCACATTTTGTACATTGTGTGCTTGCGTTTTGAAGCTAGAATCCATCCCTTTCATTCCAAGCTTCAGCTCACCGGGGGGAAGAGAGCAGGAGGAAGATGAGAGGAGGAACAAACGACGGCGTCATCGTTGCTGGCGTTTCTCGCTGTAATTGCTCTGAAAAAAACATAACGTGTCGAGAGAGTGAGAGGAGGGAGGCGAACCTCCGAGTGCGCCTTCTCTTCTTCGTTTTCTTTGTTCGTCGTCGACCTCTTCCTCTCCCCTTTATTTTTTTTGGTCTTCTGAACTTACCCTCCCTTTGGTGTAATAAGTACGGCTCTCATCCTTTTCGCCTGACCGACCAGCTAGGAAAGGGATGAAAATGACTCCTTGTCGAGCTCATTTCATACACACACACTCGCTTTCTTGGCTTCCATGAGGAGAGGAAAAAAAAGGGTTGTAATACAACTCCTAGAAAAGAGGAATAAAAGAAACGAAGTCAGTATTACCCATTGTCCCTTCATTACCACGGGCCAATAGCATTTTTCTCCTATTAGTGTCCCTTCTTTACCCCGCCTCCTGCTACTTTTTCCATCCCTCCCTCCGTTTTGTCTGTCCTAGAAATGCTGACTGACCCTGCAAGGGCTTATTCACCTCTCCTTGTCTGGACTGAACCAACAATTAACAATAAACAAAACAACAAACAAGGTATGAACACTTTCTTCGAGATAGGTCTGTGGGTAACAGGTTCAAGGTACACCTTGTGCCTTTGTTGAGTTCCCTTGTCTCCGGTGTTCTCTCTGATCCCTTTGGGCACCCTTTTCATTCCATTTGTCGCGTTTGTTCACTTTTCTCACTTTTTCTTCCTTTCATATTTCTTTTTTTTTCTTCTTTGTTTCGTTCTTTTTTTGCTTTCTTTTCTGCTCAACCTCTTCTCTCTCTCTCCTTCCTTCCATTCTTCCTTCTTTCTTTCGCTCTCTATCCCATCAACAGTTGCTTCTCACTCACAATCCTCTTCTGTCTATATCCCATCCGTTCCTAGCTCAACTAATTTGTCTTGTTTTATTTTTGCTGCCTTTCACTTTTTGCTGTTAATTGCCACGCGTATCAGTTATTGCTCCACGCTCTCTTTTTTTTTCGCCTCTCTTCTTTGCTCTCCTTCTACCGCGCAGAGTAACTACCCGTTGCTCTTTTCTATTGTTCATCTTTCCTCTACTTTGTCCATCTTTCCTCTACCTTGTTCATTTTAACTACTCGACCTTTTCTTTCGCACTTTCCTCTTCTTCTTGTTTTCACTTCAACCCACAGTTGATATCCTCTAATACCTTTGAATGCCAGCAGCCGACTCTACGACGACGATGCAACCCATCTCTGGACCGATCCCTGTCCCCGGAACCCAGCGGCAGCCTACCACGCCCCCAGTCTCGGATATCGGCGCGCACCTCAGCAACACTACTAGTTCTTCTGGATCCTCGACTCCCACCAACGCCGTCTCCCCTCGCACCTCTGTCATCGGCAAGAGCCAAACCGTGAACCACCGCCACCACCACCACCACCAACGCGAATCCTCCGTGAACTCTACTCCTTCTACAGCCGCGCATAACCAGACCCACCACAACACCCACCACCCTGACCATCATCATCGTCATAACAATAACGCGAATAGCGGTCTGCGCCGGTTCCCGAGCATTGGCAACACGTCCAAGCTGAATATCGAGAACTCGACGCTGAGGGCCAAGATTGTAGAGTTGGAACGGTATCTGACAGGATTGAAGGAGGAGTTGATTTTGGCCCATCGACAGGTTCATGCGCAGAGGGCTGAGATTAAGAGTGAGAAGGAGGTGAAGGAGGGGGAGATTATGGGGTTGAGGGAGAGGGTTTTGGAGGTTGAGAGGGAAGTTAGGGTGAGGACGGAGGAGTGCGATGGGTTGAAGGCTCAATTGCAGGCGGCGAGAATCCAGGAGGACACCACGGAGAAGGAGGCAAAAGGGAAGAAGAAGGGCGAGGAGGTAGTGTTAGAAGAGAAGGCGACAAAGGAGGAACAGGCACAACCAGCAGGAGCAGTGGCAACAACAGAGGCACCGACAGCCACGACGGCAGAGAGCAGCAGCAGTGTTGATCTGGACCGGATCAAGGCTCTGGAGGAGGAGAATGCACGCAAGGATGCCCAGATCAAAGAGCTGTTGGAGAAGGTCGACCGTCTAGGCACAGAGGTATTGAACCTTGAGCGAGAAAAGGCCCGTCTAGAGCAACCCCTCACACCAGAGCCCATCCTCGTTCCTGTTGCCAAGATCGAGACCGCCGTTGGGGCAGCTCCAGTGCCAAAGAGCGCCACATTGGAGAGCATCGTCCCTATCACGGCCGCAGCCATTATTGCCGCAACAACCTCTCAATCAGCATCCGTCCTTTCTGGCACCACCTGCACTGATCGTGCTGCTGGTGATCTGACAGAGTCCGCCTCTAACAACAGCCTCAAGTCTTCCAGCACCTCACCCAGCTCCGTCGAGAGTAACTCTGACCTCAATGCCCTCCAGGCTGCTCCAGTTGCTTGTACAGTCAACAGTGTCGGTTATGATTTCGCGGTCGAGCATCCCAAGTTGTTGGCCAAGTTCCAAGCTCTAAGAATGCAGCATGCACAGGCGTCCGAGTATGTCGATTCGTTGGAGAGCGAGAACCAGGATCTCAAGGTTCAGTTGTTGGATGTCTGTGCCGGATCTGCACTCGTTGCTTGAGAAGCCAGAGGTTCTGGCAGGGTAGAGTGGGAGAGTGTACGAGTAAGTCTGAGACTGTAACTACGTTTGTAAGGAAAGCGATGTTTGTCCGGCAAAGAGTCGATCCACTGGACAGAGGGATGGACAGGAGGAGAAGGAGGAGGAGGAGGAGGAGGAAACCCTTCTCGGATTGAACACGGACCATCTGTGCTTAGTATCTCAATTCAGCCCAACAAACACCACAAAGGGCCCCGATAATATTTTGACAAATAAATCACAAAACAAGCAAACCAGAAAAACACGGAGTTTTGCGCCTTCCCAATTTGTTAGGATACCCTTCCTCACTCACTTCACTCCGCTGACTAGGATAGATGCGATTTTTTTCATGCTAATTGAAGGGAGGGGTTGCTTTAATCGTTCCAAACCAGCCGTTTTCTTTTCTCTATCGATAATTATTGTACACATGGTTGGGGGGAGGGGGAGTGATGGGGGGTTTGTTGAGTGATCCTGAAGAGACTGAGATATCCTGTTTGTTTTTCCTGTTTTGTAAAATATCCAGTTTCTTACTCGTTGGCGCCGTAGTAAGTATGCTGAACATCGACGACACGCTTGCCACGACCACGGGCAATGTCCTCGGGAAGCTTCTGCTTCAAGGAAAGGGCCTCGAAGGTAGCCTTGATGACGTTCATGGGGTTGCGCGAGCCCCAGACCTTGGCGCTGATATCCAGAATACCGATGCACGAGCAAATCTCGTGAATGTAGTGGTTGCAACGGTTACCGAAACCTATTAGGATAACAAATGCGTGTGTTAGTTCCAGATCGTAATTTTAGGTGCATTAAAACAGCGTGCATAGATAAAGGTCGAAGGGCTACCTGGGGGACGGGAGCGGAATTGGATGTTGGTGGCGTGGAACTTGTGGTCGATATCGTGGTAGATGGTGCGATCATCATAACGGTCAAAGGCAGTCAAGTTTCTCATGGCTCTGTTGGTCGCCTTGCGGACAGCACGAGCAACCTCATCATCCTTGCCCTCGCCATATCCCGCAATACCCTCTCCGTTTCCGACAACGACCAGCGCGTACATGCTGGGGATCTTTCCCGCAGTCGTCATGTTGGACGTACGCTTGACAACCAAAGCGCGCTTCAAGAACTTTTTCAAATCATCCTTGGTCAATCCGTGAGGGAGCGAGGCCTCGTCAACGTCGTCGTCGGCTTGGTTCTTGAGCATGTTGTCCAGTGGTGGGGCAGAGGCCCAGAGTTTGGGGGTCTCGAGGTTCAGGCTACCATCCTGATCGGTCTTGCGGGGGTAGTGGTCGAGGAGGGGGTGGATCTCTGAGAGGTTGTGAAGCGTTCCTGGGTGGTCGAGTCCTGGGACGCGAGCGACTGTGGGCTTTGATGCTCCTGGGCGTTGGCGGGCCATGGCGACGGCTGTTGTGGTGGTGAATGTTCTGGTGACTATTGAGTTCACAAGTTTCAATGTACGTGGTGGTGGTTAGATATAAGGTCCTTGTAGTATGATCCGTGTTTCCCGGTGGTCTCCTGCCACTCTTGCTTGTTTGTTCCTGAATATTCGCAACAGGCGCCTGTGTGAGAGCATCGCTGTTGTTCTTGCTGGTTGGTGGTTGTATTGTATTCAATTACCATTCCTGGAGGTCGAAGCCAAGGCGGACGCGGCGATGCAACGCTGCCACAATGCTGGTGATGCCATTATCGTTGTCGTTGATGTGAAGAAAGAGAGAGAAAGCGAGGGATGCAAACTGAGTGATGCATTCGCTCGGGAGTAGAGTTGATCGGCTTGTTTACTCGAGTATGTCCTAGGGGACTGCTTCTTTTCGGTTGCTATGAGGGAGGAGAGAGGAGAATATAGCTCATGCGATCCATTGCTCTTCCCAAGATACTTGCCTAATTCGGTTTGGGCCCTTTTGTTCGACAGGCTCGTTCCCTCCGTACCTGTCTGTGAGTCCGCTGATTAATGAATAGCCGCAGAAATTGCGCAACTTTGTCTAGGGTCGAGCACGCCATCGCTCTATTGTTGTGGGGTTCCGTCCGATGTGTCTTTTCTCTTTACTCTTTGGCCCTTTGGGTGACAAATACACCACCCTTCTTTTTTCTTCATATAAGTAGCCATTGGCTCGCTTGCTCTTTCTTTTTCCCACAACGCTTTCTTCCCTGCCACTTCTCCTCCTTATACCCTTTCATACCCCCGGATCAACATCCTCTCTGTCACTCATACCCTACAGGAACACGGCTAGCTACAAGCAACACTCAAGCAATCATTTCACTTCAATTCGCCTTTTCTTTATATCAACAACTACAACTCTACAACGACTCCACAACAACTACACTTTCATATACACACAGACACCATGGACACTGCAGCACAACAAGGGTTCGGAGAGATCCTCTCCCACATCATCGGCTGGGCCTACTTTATCGCCTGGTCCGCCTCCTTTTACCCACAAGCGATCCTCAACTGGCGCCGCAAATCCGTCCAGGGTCTCTCAATGGATTTCATCTACCTCAACGTCCTCGGCTTCCTCTGCTATTCGATCTTCAACCTCTCCTTCTATTACAGCCCCGAGGTCCAGGAGGAATACAGGAAGCGCAACGATGGACAGGACAACCTCGTCCGCGTCAACGATGTCTTCTTTTCTGTCCATGCCCTCATCCTTTCGTCCTTTACTCTCTTCCAGACACTTATTTACAAGGTATGCAACCAACCAAAAGAATCATGACAAATGAGAGCGGCCCCTATCTCTATTAGAATTTTTTTCGTTGATTTTTGGCGAGAAGGGGAGCACGCCATTTTTGCTAGGGACGACGAACGAACGACGCGTGCCCCTCATATGAGCAACGGTGTGTGCATCAGACACCACAAAAAAGGAGACCATTCTAACCACCCTAATATATTTCCTTACGCCCAATTTAGCGCGATGAGGGTCAGAAAGTCTCTAGCCCCACAAAGCTTCTAATCCTGATCAGCACCTTTGGCGCTTCGATCGTCTTTGGCGCAGCCTACGCCGGCACTTCGCAGTGGATCGACCTCCTCTACTACCTCAGCTATATCAAACTCGGCATCAGTTTCATCAAGTACTGCCCTCAGGTCTACCTCAACTATGCCTCCCAATCGACCGTTGGCTGGAGCATCCACAACATCCTCCTGGATTTCACTGGCGGCGCACTCAGTATCGGTCAATTGGTCCTCGATGCGTACATCTCTGGAGACTGGTCCGGCATCTCGGGCGATCCTGTCAAGTTTGGATTGGGCTTCTTGAGCATTGCGTTCGACTTGGTCTTTATGACTCAGCATTTTATCCTGTACCGCAACCGCGAGGACTTTTATGCACCCCTGTCGATGGTGGAGAACAATGGTGAGGCGCGTGAGAGCAAGAAGTTGTTGTTGTCGCCTGGTCATAAGACGTATTCGAGCATCCAGCGTGAGGATGCTAGGATCTCTCGGCCAGCGAGCATGAAGGATCTCGAGTTGGGGTTTGATGATTCTCAGCATTCCACCCGTCACTAAAACACAAACCATCCCTTCCACTCGCTCTTTCTCTTTCTTCATTACACCTTTATCCTTAATTCTTCCTTCCATTGTTGCTTTGGCGACGATAGATAGTATTCCCCTACAACCTGTATCATTGAACTGCTCCTTGTAATATACCAAATCATTTTGACCCATGAATGCTTCCTTGGCATGTTTGCATGTGTAAAAGATGCATATTGGGGTTGCTGAGATGAGAAGGTTGAGGTGATAGGCTGGCTCTGCCTGGCTTACAAAGAACAAGAGTTTCAGTTTCAGCTAATTGTTGCATTTTTTGGTTGGCATCAGGGGCCGATCTATCATTCAAATTAGCGCAATGGCCTCTTCGTCCTCTATTTCTAATTATTTTTTTTTGGTTGTCATTGAATGTGCACGTCCTTCGTTTCTTCACACAAGTCGTCATCGTTGTCTCAACAACCACTCATCATTTCAATCGATGCGTCGCCCTACTGTTCTGTCTAATGGGATGCACCGACTCATAGTGTCGGCATGAAGCCCAATGCCCAAGGCCAGGCTTAACAACTTTTTATCCTTTTGCAGTTAGAATTCATGTAAAGAGGTATAAAAAGAGGCAATGGTTCTCATTCTTCTCTTCCTTCGCTGTTCTCATCCATCCTTTCCTCTTGGTTCGTTTGTCAGGTAAGAATGTGAAGGTAACCTGGACAAGACTTGGGACAACTACATCATGACCTGTGAGGAAATTTGATGAGTTTTGTACGGAGAGTTGGCAGAGCACTTGGCCAAAGGGACGGCAGAAGATCGATATCTATAAGATCTACTCCTTTGATGAGGTCCAGTAGGCTCACTTGGATCTCCAGGGCCGAAAGTCTACCGGCAAGCTCCTTATCAAGATCGCTCAGACGCACCTCATATCCACACTCCATCCCTCTCCACCCTCCTTCTACTTCAGAATAAAGTAGTGCATTTTTTTTTCCCATCGTGGAAAGACTAAACAATTGAATGCTGCGTATGTTTTTTTTTTATCAGTGAAACAGTACAAACAACGCCACCAAATTTTACCTTCGTTGATTTGCATGTCCCTTATTTTATCACTGATCATTCGTATTTGATCTAACGCAGGCAGTTGGGAAGTGAATGTGAGGATACCGTTTTTATTATTGAAGGGAATGGGCTTCACTCAACTCAAACATACTGTGTTTTGACAAAGAGTGGTAATGATATATACATATATAATGAAAATGGATGTAGAGAGAGATGGGGGAAAGACGAAAAGGTTGCTTAAGCGAGCTGAAGAGCAGGGTCAACGTTGGACTTCTCAGCAGCCTCCTTCTCTTGCTTGGCAATGATGGCATCAGCGGTCTTCTTGAAGGCCTCAGCCTGGGTACCGCTGTTTTCAGCATCGTAGTAAGGAGCCTCACCAGAGACAGTGACACGAACACCCTTGCGGAAGTAAGGCTGGAAGTCTGGGACACCAGTGTGGAAGGTCGAGCGGTTATCCCAGATAGCAACAGAGTCCTTCTTCCAGGAGAATCGGACCTGGTAGTCGAGACGCTTGGAGGTAAGGTCGTTGAGGTACTCGAGGATCCACTTGGACTCGGTGGGCGAAAGACCGTTGATCTCACGGGTGAAAACCGAGTTGGTGAAGACAGACTTCCAGCCGGTGATGGGGTTGGTGCGGACGACGGGGTGGACAGAGTCATTCAACTTGCCAAAGGCCTTGCGGCCGGTCTTGGCCTGGAACTCACGGAAACGGTCTGAGGTGTGGGTGGCGGTGAGGCCCTCAAGAAGGGTCTTGAGGGGCTGGGAGAGGTTGTCGTAGAGCTGGTAGCCGTTCGACCAGATGGTATCACCGCCAGCCTCGGGGATTTCCTCAAACTTGAGGATCGAGAACGAAGAGGGGTAGGGCTCGAACGACACATCCGAGTGCCACGAGTTGTTGGTGTTGTAGCTGCCGGGAGGGCTAGTCGAATGAATAGAGTAGAAGTAAGGTATGGTTAGGATGAGGTGCATGGTTTTCAATGAATAAAGAAGGTCTTAGAAGTGGCATCAATAAAGAGCAACCAAGAGGAGTGACATACCTGAGGCGGGAGTCCAAGACGATGAGCTCGGGGCTCTCCTGGTCATGGGGAACCAAGGGGTGGACGTGGAGGGGACCCCAGCGCTGGCCGAGCTTGACGTGCTCCTTGCGGTCCAAGCCCTCCTGGTCGCGGAAGAAGACGACACCACGCTCGGCAATGAAGGCGGCGAGCTCCTCGGCCTGCTGATCGGTCAACTCGGCGAGCTTGATGCCGTGCAACTCGGTTCCGATCTTTGGGGTGTAATCGATGCGCTTGGTGACGCTGGCGAAGAGGGCCTTCTTCTCGGGGTCAGCGCCCTTACCGGCGACGCGGGTGGCGAAGGTGTTGCGGTCGGCGAGGGAGGCATCCTTCTCGGTAGAGGAGAGGACGACGTTGTCAGAGGGAGCGATGGAGGGAGCCATTGTTGTGAGAGTTGTTGTTCGTTGGTTGTTTATTGGGAAGGTTTGTGTTGTTGATTTGGTGATGAAAAAGGGGGGGATGAAGTGTCGTTTTTATACTTGGAGATCTTGTTGGAACAACAGAGGGTCTCGCCACAACGCCCAAACTCTTGCATGCTGATTGTTCAGACTGAACATTTACCTAGTCCGAGAGAACATTGAAAGAGTTCAACCGGCGTGGGCGATGAATAATGAGTTTTGTAAAACGAGATCTAGAAAGTGAAGACGAAAATAATGAAAGGATAGACGCCATGGGTAAGGAAGGAAGGGATAGAAGCGAGCATAGTGTCGGTATGAAGGGTGAATGAGGTGAAGCAAAAAGAAAAGAAGGTTGCCAGTCACTCGTTTGGAAAGAAAAATTGAGCACGGAAAACGGGTAAATGGCGTAAATGGCGACATGGCTGAGGCGTGTTGCATCAATTGGGCCTCGGAAAATAAGTTCATTTTGGAAGAGAGCAAAGTTGCACCCGCTCATCGATGGCTGATAGACGATAGTGCCATGTGCATAAGAAAAAATGCCCCAGCGCTTAACTGTCAAATGGCACAAAAATGCTAAGGAAAAACGAAATATTGGTCGTTTTTGTAAAACAAGATAATCTCATCTGTTGCACACCAATAGGGTGAATGCCCAGCAAAATATCCTTTTCTCCACGAAGGAGTGGAAGGGGGCTAAGGTTGGAGGAGGCTTGACGTCTGTTGAAAATTGTAGATGGATGGCGACAGGGCGCACCATATGTTAGCACCGCGAACGGAAAATAAAACAGCCAGAAAACAAAAGGCATCGAAGGATGTGAAGGAAACAGGTTTCCCGCCGGAATGAAAAAAAATCCTTCCGTTGCTCGGAAAAAAAGGAAAAGAAACAAACAAAAAAAAAAGGGATACGCGACAAAATCCAAAGGTAGGCGCTAGCCATCAATGTGTTGTTGATGGAAAAACTCAATCACGACTCAAAAAAATCGGACCTAAGCTAACCATTTTGCTTCGCCGATCACTCTGGTATATTAGACCAAGCTTTATCATACGTAAGAGTTCCGGAGTAGAGACCGGGTTTTGGAGCCATCATGGTATAGAGAACCAAACCGAGTTCCCCGGTCAAGGATACCCCGTGTTCTCCAGCCCAAACGACAACCTGTACTGCCTCAGGTTCTGCAACACCTGGGACTACACCCATGAAAGTGGATGGGAGTGTATGGATCGTCCCGGGACGCTTTGGGAGAACAAGGAGTACTCGATTGGTTACAGATATTGGTCTGGCTTTGCCGAGAATTGGGTTACCCAGAAAGGCGAAAAGAAGGTCTATTGGTCAAAGCATCGGGGTCTGGGTTCACGTTGCATAGGTATGATACGGGCAAGGGGTCTCGTCAGGCTTGGTACAGGCTTAAGGTTGTTGGTGGGGATGAGATACTTGGTAGCCTTGGGAGTAATTACTTTTGGCATGCCAAGGTTAGCGATAGCAAGAGTCGTTTTCTTTTCCGCTTTTCGACTCTCGCATGAACTGTGGCAAAAAATTCTTGTAGTACTATTTTGTTCCTCACCCTTTACTGGTTTAGCAAACGCGACCTTTCTCATGTACTTTAACTTTTATTTTATATCTACATTTCTTCTACTTCAATACAATATCATCTTTTTAACGGCCATGTTGGTAACGCAAGATGCTAGGAGACTACGTGCTTTGTGGCCTGATTGGACTTTTAGCTGTCAATTGTCAGTCCGCCATGCCATGCCGACCTTGGATGTTCTGTGCACATGGCATCATTTTTTTGCAAGGGGACAGCGTGATGGCCCTTTGTTCAATGTAGCCCTTTGGGTGTCATGTGGCGCATGGTCTGCTTTGACCAAGTGTTCTTGTTAGGTGCCTTTTTCGTTTTTTTTCTCACTTTCCCTTTCTTTTTCCTCGCCACAAAAAAACGATACCGCATCTACATTCGCATGGACAAATGCCGCTGGTCCTCCATCCGTAGAAAACGATTATCTTCAGGTTGAAAAAGATGGCTTTGCATCCTTTCATTCACCATGACTCCCATCCAGTTTTGGACTTCGTCCTCATTCCGACGTTCGCCCTTTTTTTTCTTGTTGGCAAAGAGGACGACCACTGTTCCATTTCGTCTCTGCTTCGCCCGTAATGCGTGCACCTTTTTTTTTTCAAGCTTAAATCGTTCTGAAATGATTGTTTGACTTTTCTAGGATATGCGATCCAGGATATCGTCTCAATGCTCTCCGGCGCCTTGGTAAAGAAATTTTCTGTCTGAGCTTGTTCGATTGCCTAATAAACGAATCTAACTTTGATATTAATCTGACCACACCTTTATGTCTTCCCTTCTAGTGATATCGATCATGGATGCCGGATCTTTATTTGTAATCTGGTGTGGAAGGTGGATCAGGATGTACAGGAAAAGAGCGAGCGATTGATCTTTGAATCGTTGCCGAAAAGGTGCGCGGTAATAATAGATACTCAGCACAGCAGTCGTCTTTTTTTTTTTTTTTTGAGGTGCCATTCGCTAAGTTCATGCACGATGTTTACGTCTTATCTTCCCTTTTGCACTAACACCACGACTCTTATCATATCTACTCAGATTTAAGGTTGAGGCGCAAGTTTACTGCCATGTCGGATCACATTGGCATCAAAGGCAAAGGAGGTCGAAGAGAGAAAGAGAAAGAGAGCTGATGACTATACAATAGGGAGGGCTTTGTGAAAAAGGGGAGTTGTTTGGATCATTCTATTCGGGTGCGACTTGCGAGAATAAATGCAGAAGCATTATACTCCATGGACCCTCAGCAATACCTGTCCTTCCTTCCTTCTCACTTTCACCTCTTCTTCACATCTGCAACTTTCTGCCTTTTTTCGGGCACATCATTCACCTTTCTTTGCAACAGAACACAATCACCAAAAGTCTCTAAAATTGTTGTCGGTCGAAATATGTTCCTCAGATCGACAATCCTTGCAGTCGCTCTTCTCTTGACTCTAAACCTCTGTCAGACAAACGCTTCACCGACACACCCACAAGAAAAATTCTCCAGCTTATCATCCTCAGCACCCTTGGCAAGCGATATCGATGGTGTCAACATCCTCATCGACAACGATGTTGACTCCTCCACACCCAAATTTTCGTTCTTGCTATTATCTCATCCAAGGTCGTACAACGACGGGATGGCCTCTTGTCATTCGCTGAGCGAAGGTGAGGCATGCGTCTGGACAACTCGTGTCGTTATTCTCACAAATTTTATGCTTGTAGTCAAACCGGACTCTTTAGTAAACCCGTGTGTTAAACGAATGCTTGTTTTGGTATGTTTGTAGGTGGATACGTGTTCGTACCTGGAACAGAAGGAGCAAGCAGTCTTGTGTCCTTGTTGAAAAACAACTCGGTCGCTCAACCAGAAGTGTCAGCATATTCCCAGTTCTGGGTTCTCAATGGTATAACTATAACTTTATTTGACGACCAAGTCGAGCATGCCAATTTCTTCTCTCATGTTCTTGCAGTTGTCTCTAACATTATTTTTCTGCTCACACTCTCTAGGGGTGCCTGGTTTCCTCTCAAAGTGTTTGGCGGTCAACAAGGAAACAGGAATAACAGACAGGATACCATGCAGCACCCAGTTACCAACCATATGCTCCAACAGCGTCGAGCGTCGAGTCCTGTTCTTTGAAGACAACAGCCTCCAAATCAAAGTCAACACCTCTGTCGGACAGATCCAAGGCTGGCGGGATCAGAATGCTTTTCGTTTCTTGGGGATCCCTTATGCAGAACCACCTGTGGGCAATCTTCGTTTCGCTGCTCCAGTCCCCAACCCGCCGTTTGCAGACACCCATGATGGCACCAAATACGGACACACCTGCCCCCAAACCCCCAAATCCAAAGGCGTCGCAACAGAGGTCTTGTCTTGGTTAGCGCAGACTGCAACGGAGGATGAAGCTTGTTTGAACCTCAATGTTTACACTCCTAGTCTGAAGGGTCAAGGTCAAGAGCCTCTGCCAGTCATGCTTTTTTTACACGGCGGCGGATTTACAAAGTAGGTCATCCCTTTGATGACTGATTTGCTGACTGCGAGGAGGCTGTGTCGTAAAGGATGAAGGGCAATAAGAAAAAGCAAAGTATATGTTGTTAACCACTGAATATTGCCTCCGTACAATAGTTTTTCCGGTTCGTTGATCATCCTGGAGCCCGGCAATCTGGTATCTAGGGGTGGTGTCGTCATTGTCACCATCAACTACCGCCTGGGTCTCTTTGGCTGGTTCGAGAACATCAATTCGTGGGCTAGGTCAGCTATCCCTGGCAACCAGGCGTTTCGCGACCAGATCCTTGCTCTCCAGTGGGTCCAAGCGAACATTCCCTCCTTTGGTGGTGATCCTACCCGTGTAACGGTCTTTGGTCAAAGCGCAGGAGCCAACAGCATTCGCGCCCTTCTCTCTACACCATCTGCCTTTGGACTCTATCAGAGAGTCATTAGTGAGAGTGACCCGCTCGACATCCCCTTCAAGTCACCGCAGGATGCGGCCAGGATCAACAGCTACTTCTTGACGCTCCTGGGCTGTAACACTGGCAACCTTAACTGTGCACGTGCCGCATCAGTCAACGATATCTTGGAGGCAACATTGAAGGCTGACCAGCTGGCGCTTGACGATGATACATGGACAACATTCGGACTGGTCGAGCGACCGACCAACGACGGCGAATTAATTGTGGATGACTTTACGACACTCGTCAGGGAGGGCAGATACAACACCAACGCTAGTATCATGTGGGGTACAGTCAAGGACGAGGCTGGGTTCTATGTACCCCTCTACTATACAGAACCTGTCCCTATCCCACAAGCGACCGAATCGTTGGAGGTCATGTTTGAAAAAAATAGGGCCACCACTATCCTTGCGTCACCTTACTTCCCACTCTCTTCGAGCGACCCAGATACCTTCCGAGTGTCTTTCACACAATTCGGCACGGACTACTACTGGTTATGCCCGCTCCAATACTTCAGTCGCATGATGACAAAGTACAAGCCCACCTACAACTTTCGTTTCAGCCGTGGGCGTGACATGCCACTGGTCGAGGGAAGCTTTTGCGCTGCCAGTACAGGCCGCGTTTGCCACTCGAACGAGATCCAGACCGTCTTTGCAAGTGGTGCTGCTGTCCCCGGGTTCTCTCAAACGGGAGACGATGCTCGGTTTGCGCGCCAAGTCGTTGATCGATTCACGACTTTTGCCAAGACTGGTAACCCGAATCCTCAGCCAGGTGGACTTTTCGGTGTCGAGATAACTAACCCCGATATCATGGGAGTCGAGTGGTTGCCCTATGGCGAGTTGAATGCTACGTTGGATATGAATGTCGAGAGTAGAGTGGCGTATAACCTCCGGTCTGCGTCCTGCCAATGGATCGAGAAGGAGTTGAAGCATGACTTTATGTTCCGGATACCGTCCCTCTAGGGATGACCTAAAATAAAGCAGCATGTCCATATCCTCTTTGTACCTCCCGCCTCCTCCTTGAAAATAACTGCTCCAAGGCTGTCTTTGCTGCATGTTCCATGGTCTTGCTGTCCGTGTGTCGTAGTACGGTAGTAGTGTGATGTTGTGGAAGTCCAATGATCGAAACCGCGCATTTATTTGATATGCATGTCTGCGTCTCGGTGGCTTAGCGCTTGACCTCGTCCCATTTTCCCGCCCTTGCTTTGTGGCGAAAATAAATACACGAGTTGCACTGTTTTTTTGGTTTTCTCTTTATCGGTTCCCACTTTTGTCTCCTAACTTGACTAAATAGCACCGGCTCCACCACTCTCTTTACACACACCACCACCCACCACCACCTACCACCCACCCACTCAAAACTCATTCACCATGCGCGAAGTCATCTCTATCCACGTCGGACAGGTGAGTCTTGTTACTCTCTCTCTCTCTCCGCTCTTCTTTATTAGTTATCGTCATCATCATCTCACAAATCGTACGGCGGCCTGTCATCATCATCATCATCTTGCATAAACAAAAAACAGATTCACTAACTTGCTTGTACGACACCTCCTCATCTACAATCCTGTCTATTAGGCCGGTATCCAAATCGGTAACGCCTGCTGGGAGCTCTACTGCTTGGAGCACGGCATCTCTCCCGATGGTACCGTGTAAGTATTCTCTCCCTTCCTCATTTTACGAACAAGGAAAAAGCCTTTCATTCATCCAACACAAACACGCAGGAACACGCCAATACATCGTTTGACCAAAATACTATCGTTGAACGAGGAAACCTCGCGCTCATACTCACTCGTCTTTTTCACTTTTCTCGTTCATTGTAGTGCCTCTGACAAGCAGGCTTCCCAGTTCGACTCGTCCTCGAGCACCTTCTTCTCCCAGACCTCTGCCGGCAAGCACGTTCCCCGTGCCAGTAAGTGTCATTTTTTTGGTCTTCCCCTTTGACCTGGGTCTTGTTTTCCTTGACCTTCCTTTTGTTCTCTTCCTCCCCCTTGCCGTCTTATTTTTACAAGGAGATGAAAAATTGGCCGTTGTTGTTGGGGTGGTGTTGTCTCGGATGTTTGGTGCCTGAGAGCAGCTGTCTGTTCGCCTCAACTCAACCCAACGTGGATCTTGCTTGTTTATTTGGTATCCTACAATCGTACCAATAACCTTGTCCGCCCCTAACCCTTTTTTGTCTTGTTTTGTCATTCCGTTAACTCGTTAACTGCAAATAGTCTTTGTCGATCTCGAGGAGACCGTCATCGATGAGGTCCGCACCGGTACCTACCGCAAGTAAGAACCCACACACCATGGCTACGGCAATCGCATTATACCACGGACACACAACAATGACTTCTGCAGGAATATCATCGGGAGAAAAGAATGGAAGATGCTAATCCACCACATATTTTCATTTAAACCCCCCATGTTATCAGCCTCTTCCACCCTGAGCAGTTGATCAGCGGAAAGGAGGATGCCGCCAACAACTACGCCCGTGGTCATTACACCATCGGCAAGGAGCTCGTCGACTCTGTCCTCGACCGCGTCCGCAAGCTCTCCGATGCCTGCACTGGTCTCCAGGGCTTCTTGGTCTTCCACTCCTTCGGTGGTGGTACCGGTTCCGGTTTCGGTGCCTTGCTCTTGGAGCGTCTTTCCGTCGACTACGGCAAGAAGTCCAAGCTCGAGTTTGCTGTCTACCCCGCCCCCGAGATGGCCACCTCCGTTGTTGAGCCCTACAACTCGATCTTGACCACCCACACCACCCTCGAGCACACCGACTGCGCCTTCATGGTCGATAACGAGGCCATCTACGACATCTGCCGTCGCAACCTTGATGTTACCCGTCCCTCGTACACCCATCTTAACCGCATGATCGCCCAGGTCGTCTCCTCGATCACCGCCTCGTTGCGTTTCGTTGGTTCGTTGAACGTCGATTTGACCGAGTTCCAGACCAACTTGGTCCCCTACCCCCGTATCCACTTCCCCTTGGTCACCTACGCCCCCATCTTGTCCGCCAAGAAGGCCTTCCACGAGCAGTTGTCCGTCCAGGAGATCACCTCTGCCTGTTTCGAGACCACCAACCAGATGGTCAAGTGCGACCCCAAGAACGGAAAGTACATGGCCTGCTGTCTCTTGTACCGTGGAGATGTCATCCCCAAGGATGTCAGCGTCGCCATTGCCAACATCAAGACCAAGCGCACCATCCAGTTCGTCGACTGGTGCCCCACCGGTTTCAAGGTCGGCATCAACGACCAGCCTCCCTCCGTCGTCCCTGGCGGTGAGGTCGCCAAGGTCAGCCGTGCCGTCTGCATGTTGTCCAACACCACCGCCATTGCTGAGGCCTGGAACCGTCTTGACCACAAGTTCGATCTCATGTACGCCAAGCGTGCTTTCGTCCACTGGTACGTCGGTGAGGGTATGGAGGAGGGTGAGTTCTCCGAGGCCCGTGAGGACTTGGCTGCCCTTGAGAAGGATTACGAGGAGGTCTCCTCGGACTCTGCCATCGACGAGGAGATGGTTGAGGAGTACTAAGTCGCTTTTCTTTGACGGATTGCTTTCTTGGATGAATGATGACAGTTTTAAATTCTTGCAGACTCTTGCAGTAATTTGTGTGTAAAGAACAATACCAATAAACCCTTTTCAAAAATGTATCATCGTATTGTCATTGGCAATGATATGCTGTTGTTGTTTTTGGCTCTCAATTGGTCGCATTTAAAAATCGCACACTGTCCATCTGGCGACAGACACCGAGACGACGAGCATTAAGGAGCTGGAGAGAGCCATCTACCACGAATACCCGGACAGAGAGGACGGCCAGGCTGTGTTGACAATCATCCATGCACGTGGGACTTCTCAATATGAAGGCGGAGGGACTGAGCACCCCAGTACCGACACACGGTTCAGAAATATCATCAGGCAGTATTCGAGGACGAACACAAGGACATTAACAGTGGCACTGGAGACGCCAACCAAAAAGTACACCGACTTCACGCTCAAGGAGGTCAACAACCTGTATGAGATATCGAACACGGAAGCACCAACCTTATCTGACCTACCGCACTTCACTGGCATCTCGACAGAGCCACTTGATTCCAAAGCGCACAAGGAGTCGCTTCGGAGACTGCTTGACGAGATCGATTCCAGGATTCGGGCGATCCCTTCAATCACCTTTTCCAATGACGCCACATGCTCTGCCTACGTATGCTCGTTCTTAACGCAGGCCGTCCTGATATTCAATGGCGAGCTGACACTTGAACCCGAGAGACTGCTCCGAGGCAGACATGGGCATGGCAAGGTCGACTATGCTATCGAGGCTCTTGCTGAAGATGGTTCGAGACACGTACTGGCCGTGACAAAGGTCAAGCATGAGGACTACCGCAAGGGTTTGGCGCAGAACCTTGTTCAGCTGGAGTTCATCGTTGACGGTGAGAAAACGCAAGCGCAGCAGTGATAACAATGGAGATGAAGAGCGACAAGAGGAACAGTTCCGTCCCTTTGAGAGCGTATGGCATTGTCACTAATGCCATCTACTGGTTCTTCGTGGAATGCACCATCGACCAGTCACAAGAGTCTGGAGACCGGCCCAAGTTCAGGGTATCGAAGCTGAAGGACATCATCAACTATGCCAAGGACACTTGGGGAGTCGAAGCCGAGTCTGTGCTGGGCCAAATTGTGTGGCTCATGAGGAAGATGCATTCTGAGATCCTAGAACGCGAGCTCCAGCTCAAAAAACAAAAGTTCACCACATCTGAGCAGTCGGCTCCGTCCGCGCGCACGGTGGGCAAAATGCAGCGAGTCTAGCTCGAACAAGGCTTTCTGTAGTCGTAGCCGTTGTACTCTAGCTGTTCTGTAGCACATACATGTCCCAATAATCGAACCTGTGCATATGAAAAAATAAAGCTCTAGCACGATTTTATTTTTATTTGATGTCGTCTAATTTTGTCCTGCCGCTGTAAGCAAGTTCTCGTAGGGCTGGGTGTTTGACTGCAGGTCCAGGTATGGTTCAAAGGTATCTGGCTCCATCTTGAACTTGGTCAGCTGTTGGGAAAGACAACAAACAGGGGGAGGAGGGAGGAGGGGTGGAACGCATAGGTGAGTTGTTGGTGATTAAGGCGTTCAGTAAGCATTTCTCATCTTCTTTTGCAAACAAAAAGACAACAAAAAAAAAGCGTCCCTATGGCGTTCCTTACCTCAGTCTTATAGCACCGGACATCAAGGACACACTGAAGCCTCAACTTATCATGGGTCGACATATTAGCGCCCTCAGAATCCGCACCGCCACTTCCAGCACCTACAGACCAGGCATTAGGCAAGGCCGATCTCAATAAGCCAGCCCTAGATCTTTCACCAGCAAGCTTAAGCTTATTAGTCTGCTCCTCCATGCTCTTGCTCTTTGCCAGCTTCTCTGCAAGAATGACACTGTAGCGCTCAGTGGTCGCAACAATGACCTCCTTTGTCCAAGCTTGCTTGGCCTCCTCGCTCAGCACCGCGCCGGGGCCTGACATGTACTTTGAAAGGGGTCCCAAGATGAGTGTCACAAAGTGCGATGGTTCCCCGGGCGGGCCCTCACTATTTAGGGGTTTGAGAGTCCAGACGTTCGCCAAGGTATCAACACAATGCTTAGTAATCAGCGCCGTAATCCGTTCCTGGACCGCAGGGACATCCCGCCGAATGGCCTGCAAGTTGAGGTTGAACGATTCCAGAAGGATAGGGTCTTCCGCCATCGAGGGAGGGAGCCGGGACCGGATCTGGGTGGCAAAGATATCTTGAATCCGAGCAGTGACACTGTCGACATCGCTGACGACCATTGAAAGCTGTTGTAACATCATCTCCTCGACTGATGTCTTGCCCACAGGTCCTGGTCCTGATCCTGGTCCAATTGTTGCTGAACGGATCGGTCCTGGTGTGGGTGTTGCTCGACCTTGGGCGCGGGAGGTGTTAGGATTCGCGCCAGGTGCTGGCGACGACGAACGCGACTATGATAGTGACCCATTATCCAATCAAAAAATGTAAACACGTTAATTACAACTCGCTTCACGCGTTTGCTTATTGCCTATAATTGTAAAAAAAAAAGAAAAAAGAGTCGAAACCGTTTACCTGAATGGTTCGGTCTTTTGCTGGGTCCAAGTCCTTGGCGAGGTTGGTCGAGATCCAGATAGAATATCTAGCCATCAGCTGCAACGTAAACTTCCAGAAACTGTGCGCAACCCCATAGAGGAACACGTCTGACGACCAACACCGCTCAATCGCACGAATAATCGCCACACTCGCAGGCAATTGTACTACTCGGGTCGTGAAAGGGAACGAAAAGAAGGTTAATATTTCATCCTGCCCCCGCATTTGTCTACACGTTCAACGATGGTATTTTTTGTAATAGGAACTGGTGTTTTACCTTCGGTGGTATTAGAAAACTTGGGGCTGGTCTCAACATTCACCTGCAATGCATCTTCAACCAACATTGAAATATCCTTGAACCGAATCTGGAAGTAAGTCGGGAGTTGCCTCTTCGTGATCGCCTGGTAACTAGGCTGCGACCTTAGCCGCGTCAACGACCGACGGGACCCACAGAGCTCCTCAACCTTGGACACAAAGTCGATAGCATCTGTGTAGTTGCGATGAAAGTCGTCTGCGATACCAGGCGATAAGATATGAGGAATGTTGCTCAGAATCGTGGCCGCGCTCACGTTCCAGATGCAGTTGACGGGGATATCAAAGTTGGTGCCCTTGAGTTCCCTTTGTGTGACATCGATCAATGTGCTGCAGTGAATGTCGATGAACGCGAGCACTTTGTTGAACATGGTGACGAGTGGTCGGATTGGAATGGCGCCGTCAGTGGGTTTGTTTGTCTGAGCTTGAGCAGAGAGGGCCGCTCGGGTGATAGTCTATGTGTTGGAAGACAATGCATATATTAGCATATTGTTCTGTTCGAATGACTCATGTCTCCCATGTTTCCTAAAGCTAAATGTGGTGTACCTTGTTCATGAAAGGACTCAAGAGTTCCTCAGAAATGACTTTTTCAGCCTCAGCAGTCTGGTCGATCAGGGCGTAGGTTCTCAAGCACTGAGTGAGTGACTCCTTGTTGGATGCTGCATCGACATCAGTCAGTTGAGATGGGTGAATACAAGCGCGCAGAACTGTCGACAGGTTTTCGCTCATTGTCTCCTTGATCCTGACCAGGCGCTATCAGTAAGTGGGTGAAAGTGTGAGCACAATGTGGCGAAGCTAAGTGAAGTTTTGCGCAAACATTTCCAAGTCAGGGAAGTGACCTACCCAATCAATGTTGGTGACAAAAGGCAGAGATGCGCCCTTGGTGACAAGATACTGCATCTGGTTATACTCAATAGCGACGCGCTCTAGTCTCTTTGCGACACTTATGCTACAAAACAAGAACATGAAGCGGTAATAGCTGTTAGCTACACAGAAAATCTCCACGAAATCACGCCCCGTCTACTAACATAGTCCTGATATGCCATTGATAGGCAGATCGTTCTAGTACCTCTCATTGCCGTCCCTCAGTCCTGAAGGCGTCTCAGAGCCGCTCGAGATCTGAAGCAATCCCTCAACCTTGGCCACAGACTCGGAGATGTTCAGTAGCAGTTGGAGACTAGCCTTCTTTTCCCGAATCTCTGCACGATGCTCCAGTTTCTGCTCCAGACTCCCGACAACAGACTCCAAATTGGATTTCACAGCCTATCCCAGTGCAAAAGTAAAACCAGGGTGATGTTGGTTACGCCATGCAAAGAATCAAAAGCGATCCAGACAGACAACAGATACTACGCCCTTGCAAGAGGATACATACGATGGCGTCGTCCTTCATCCTGTCCAATGGCTTTCGAAGATCCTCCATCATCCTGTCAACGCCGTTGAGGTTGGTTGAAAGGTTGATAAAGTCCGCATAGTCGCTGTTGATCAATTCGACGAGTTCCGTCTTGAGCTCCTTCATATGCGAGATAAGCTAAGAAAACATGGCAGTGGCAGCAGAAGAAATACAACGAAGGTCAGTCGATTGCCCACGGTGCCCATTCTCTTCAATCAATGCGCGCCATAAGCCTCTCCTTCGCTTCCCCTGGCTACGAGTATTTTCCCGTACCTGAGACTTGAGTTCTTCCAGAGGCAAGTGTCGACGCGCCGAAAGGAACTCGTCCGTATCAAAGTCAGCCGCAATAAGAGCCGCACGGTCAATGCCCGTCGAAAGCGGAAAGTCACTGTCAGCAGCAGTTACAGAGGACGCGTCGTGGTGTGGTTGGTAATGACGAGGTTGAGAGCCGGCCGCCATCTGGAGCTGTGAGTTGAGGGTGTGGAGGAAGGCCGAGTTTGCCCCGCTGGAGTCGATGCTTAGATGGGATGGTTTCCTTGCAGAGGACGAAGTAGTGGAAGAAGAATTGATGGTTGTGATGGAGTCTGTTCCTGGTCCTGGTCCATTACTGGGTTGAGAAGGATGATGATGGGCGTTGTTGTTGCTGTTGTTGTTGGCTGTGCCCAAGTTGTCGGCTACTCCTGTGGATGCCACCATCTGGGCGAATGCGTTTTGTCTTTTTTCGTTGGCTTTGAAAAGAGACGTAAAGAAGTGTGGACGAACAGGAAAGAAAAGGAGGAAGGAGGAAGTTGAAGTCCATGAATCAAAGAAGTCACAAAGACATACTTTATTTCACCCACGAATTATCGCGCGACACGATTTGTTGCTTTTCTACGCGTGAAAAGAATGCGGTTTGGGCGGCAGGATAAGTCTCTCGTTCCGCTTCCAGAACGCGACCAACTCCCTCGCCATTCGCTCAGGGTCATCTTCTTGAACACAATGGCCAGAATTTGGAAAGACAAGCATCTGGAACTTGCCCTGCATCTGTGCAATCGTCATATCCTTGTCCAGCCGATCCGTCCCTGCAAGGACCAACAGCTTGCCCGCCTTGCACGAAAGGAACTTTTCTGTCAATCCCGTAAACCATCCCTTCCAGTACTGCTCAGACGCTGCCAGGTCTGTCCGCCAACCATAGCATGGGTTCTCAAGTGTTGAGTCATTGATTAGTTTGACTAACGGTGGACAAGACACCCGAGCCGATTCAACGTTGCGAACTGTTCCTGACTTGACACTAAATGGTTATAGAACGCACACAGAGTTAGCCAACAAGCTCACGGCGACTCCTCTTTTGCATACACTCATCTCGAAGGAATAGACATTGACGAACCTCCATTGAATGACCTTGTCAAGCGATCGAAAGTTGACTGGCCTGCGTTCAATCCATCCATTCAGGTAGGTCAATGTTTCAATAGCAACGCCTACAGCAACGCGAATACGACAACAAAAAAGAGTCAGTATGATTATGTGAAAAAAAATTACGACCTACGCTGGAACGTCAATATGCGTTCTATACCTTCGACGATATCCAGCACCGCGACGCCAATCAGGTTGGGGATCGTTCCTCGCGACGCTGCCTCCGATACCACAGCTCCGCCCATGCTAACATAAAGTCAAGCGTTATCAAGCTTGTTCTTCTGACTTGTTATTAATGTCCATTCCAGCAGCATGCACGCGCTCTCACCTGTGTCCCACAAGGATAATGTCCGGAAGGTGCTGACCATAGACGGCGAAAATCACATTCTCGAGGTCCTTGGCGAGTCGGTCCAGCGACAAGTTGTGTTCATCTCCTGACGTTGTTTCTCCTAAAGTACAATGCCAATTGGAAGTTCGGCGCCTCATGAGTAAACTTTTGACGTTCGGTATCAAAAGGGCTGAGTTGCGAAGAAATCATCATACGACCACGACCAGGTGTACACTTTACCATGTCCTCGCGCATCAAAGCTTAGTAGACCAGCTCCATCTCCAACAAGCTTGTTGATCTCTCTAGCCGTCAACGCAAAGGACAACGCGGCAAGTCCAGCACCATGATGCATCACAAACACAGGTGCCCCAGCCTTGCCCTTTGTCTCGTACACGTTGAAAGTAATATCCGCTTCGCCTTCAGCCTCATTGCCCGGCACTGTCACTGACCGCTTCTCTTGAAAGAAGCCATTCCATTCCAGCGCTGCGTACCGATTGGAAGCACCACTGTACGGACCTCCTCCACTTCTACCGCCGGTCTGCTTGAGCTTGGAAGGGTGCACAGCTGGAGAAGGGTTGAGGAAGGACGAGGAAAGAGAGTCGAAGGTGTCGTTTGTTTCTGTAGAGTCGTCGTCGTCGTTATCGTCCAGGTGTGGTGGCAGTGGTGGTGGACGCCCCTTGTACATATTCCTGAGCATGTCGTTTGTCATTGTTGAAGGTTTGTGTGTGCGTGTGTTTGGGTGTTTCCTGGGAATGAGGGTTATTCGTGTGGAAAAGGTGCGCTTTCGAGGCGGCGAAAACGTCCTTTTATCCTGTCGAGTGGCGGTCACGACCCGTTCTTTCACTTTGAAGAATTTCAAGGCAGGAAAAAGAAACCGCCCCCTCTGTACTCCTCACACCTTTCACGAATGGAATGGACTACCATGGACAAGCCGTCATAGAGGAGCAGGATCAAGTCGATTCAGACGCATCCACAATCTCATGTCCACCCTCACCCGTAATAGCAGCAGCAGGGCACGAACAGAGTGCTGAGGAACAAGGAGTCACCGACGAACTCGCCTCAATACAGGAAGAGCTCCAGACAGTCCTCGAGTATGTCGACCACGGCATGCTGCTCAAGAGCTTCGATACCCTCAGTCGTCTCACCGACATTGTTGTCACCAACTGCGAAAAGCTAGGCAAGTTTTAAGCGACTGCTTTGCAAATGAACCCTTTTTTTTTTTTTTTTTTTTTTTTTTTTGCTGACAATATCTGTATCGTAACTCGCCAAATATGTGGGGTTCTCTAACCTTTTCATTACTCCTTTCTCTCTCTCTCTCTCAACCTACCTAACAGGTCTAGCCTCGGATGGCGGTGGAGCGGTTGAACAAAAGGCAGGATTCTGGACAGGACTCAACAACTGCTGGTTGTTTGCCTTCTCGCATTACGGGAATGCACGCTCAGACGACCAAAGGATTCGTGAGCACCATCTGCACCATCTCCACAACAACGTCAAGGCCTGGGCCGACGCGCTTGAAAAATATGGTTTGGTCAATTATGAGCTGGGCCTGTGGGAGCAGGATATTCTTGAAGCGATTGAGGTCTGTCTGATCAACACCAGTGTCTTTACTCCCTCTATAACACCAACGACTGGTGAGGCGGACCCTGACAACGAGGATGAGGATGACGGCGATAGTGAAGACAGCGACGGCAACTGAAACAGTAATAAATAAAACGAGCACTCTAGGTTGTTGTAGGTTGAATGCCTTTAATGGCTTACTGAATGGTAGTTTTTATTTGCTGACGAGAGATAAAAGTACAAGTGGTTTGTTTTTATGCAAAAAAAGAAAGAGGGTAAGGATGCAAGATGAGATGGCAGGAGATGGTGAAAAGTTTTGAAAAAAAAGAATAGTAGACAGACGTGGCAACAAAGAAAAAAAAGGGTCCGTTTTGAGGTAGACAGCTCAATGGTTTCCTTAGGCAAAGCGTCCGATGATAGCCATGACGGCAGCACCTGCCCACAGGGCCAAGAAGCAGAGAGACTTGATTTTCTTGGACTGCTTCCTGATCTCGCCGTTCAAGTTGAATTCGATGGCCAACAAGTTGACATAGCCCATGTAGAGCAAGATTCCCGTTGAAATCGAGTCAAAGATGCCCTCGACCAGCAGCGAGGACTTGGAGTTGGCGCTGTAGCTGCTTGAAATGCCAATGCCGATGGCGACGCCAGTGGGCGTGGTCAGCGAGAAGATGAGGGCGAGGATGTAGTGGGTATATGTGGTGTCAAAGGCCAGGTCAGCAATTCGTGCCCCCAGAGCAAATCCTAATACCATCAGGAAGAACAGCGAGAGTTGATGAGATTCTGCATGCATACAAATAAAAACCGATCCATAATATATAATGGATAGACAGATGGCTGGCGATCGATTGCCTTACCTTCAAAGAACTGGTGGAAGACCAAGGCGATCAAGAGTCCTGTAAACTCGGATCCTGTCGATACTCCGAGAGAGACACCAATGATGACAGAGTGCGCCGCAATACCAGCCTCGAGGATATAGGTCGAGATCCTTCGCTGAGACTCGTCCAACAACGACAGTCCGTGCGCATGCGAGTGTCCAACCTCCTGAGTATGGTGATGATGACTCTTGTCCTGGTGGGAATGGCTATCGGCCTGCTTGGTGTCGTGATCGTGGTGGTGGTGGGCATGGTCGTGCTGGTGATTCGAGACAGTCTTGGTGATGGACGAGTCAGAGTACTTGACATCCTCCTGAGGGGTGTGGACAGAATCGCACGAGGTGACGGACGAGCACGAGTCATGGCAGGGCCTCTCCTCGACGATAGTCACACTGTGGCCAGGGCAAGGGGCAGCTGCAACACCTGTTGCTCCTAAACCACCCAGGTCAATGTTGATTTCCTTCAGCCCCTGGCTCGCCGCTGCTTCGCGCATCCTCCGCTCGTTGTGCTCGACTGCAATAAACTCGATCCAGTGCATGAAGAGCGAAGACAGCAAGATAAAGAGACCCCCAAAGGCGGTATAGTTTTCAGAGAAGATGGGTCCCAGACAAGGCGAGGAGAGGTTTGCCATGGCTGTAGGCATCATGTGGATGAATCCGGTAGCGAGGATGACTCCTGTGCCGAACTGCTTTCCCAAGGTCAGGACGCGGTCTGATATCCTGAGGGCGCGGACCTTGGAGGCAATGACGGGCATGAAGACTCCACTGGTGCTGGCGGCGAGGATGATGAAGACACTGGCGATATGAAGACCCATGTTATAGTCTTGCCTTTCTTCGGCCCCTGTTTCACACTCATCTGGCATCATGGCTAGTTTGTTTCGAGAAGGACGATGATGAAAGGGAGGAAACCAAGTATATGAAACGATGGTAGCAAGTACATACAAGAAGTAAGGGAATACATGGTAAGTATACTGTGGGTACATGTATGGTGCCTTTCCAGCGGAGTATGTTAACAACAACGAGAGCAATTGAATTGTAAAAAAAGAGAGGGTGGAAGGGAGAGAGATGGGGGAGTAGAAGAAGGGACGATAGAAAAATAAACGAGAGCAGAGTAAGGCATCGATTGGCGTCACAAGGACTTACAAGGATCGTCTCGACGATAGAGGATTGGTGATGATGACCGTGCCATTGTGGGTAATATGTGTAGGGGAAGGAGGAATAGGGGGGAGAGAGTATACAACAAATGAAATCAAAGGTCGGCGAGGACCAGGGCAAGGAGAAGGCGTATGTTTGTCGTCCTTGAATGTGCTGTGTGGAGGAGGGAGGGGTGAGTGAGTATGTGTGTATTGAATGAGGAATGAAGAGGATGGAGAGGGAGAGGGAGTTGGTTGTAGGATCGACTTGTCAGGAAGAAACCAGACGGTTCTGTTCAGTATGGGAAGGGAGTAGGAGTGGAGGAAGGGTGAAGGGAAAGAAGAAGAGAAAAGAGAAGAAGAGAAGTGGGTGGAGTCGTGGGAGAGGACAAACGAAAAAGAGAGGGTGTCTATTTATTTCCTGGCCGCAAAGGTACTCACCCCCTGTAGGGTACACACATCTATCTCTTCATCTATCCACAGATCCAACAATAATAATAATGCCCTGCGCTTCGATTCCAGACAATTGATTGCACCATCGTGATCGATTGTTCAATCAAGGACGGGTCACGTGAACCGGACAATAAAGTTGCGTGGCTTGTGTCCGAATAGTAAACACTCTTAATTTTTTTTTTTTTTTTTTTTTTTTTTGATAGCGGCTGTGTGGTTACATAGAGTAAAGTCGAACAGCACAGAGACCAGGAGAGCCAATTAAACCACCCAGGTGGCTATTTTGTTCCTTCTTTTTTTTCTTCTTCCTCCTGCCTTCTTCTCCCTCTCCACCTCCCTCGTCCATTTCCTTTCCTTTTCTTCTCCCCCTCTCCCCTCCTTTCCTTCTTTCTTCCTTCCCTTTCTCCTCCCCTCCCCTCCTCACACCAACATCATGTCCGCCATCTCCGCATCGAAGCAGAAGCGTCTCGCAGCCAAGGCCGCCAAGGAGGCTTCCAAGAAGTCCTCTGCCGCCTCCACCCCCGCCGGTACCAACGGCCGCAACACTCCCGCCCCCGGCGACGATGAGGAGGTCGACACCCTTGCCCCTGCCCTGAGCGCCATCGACCTTGCCAAGTCCAAGGGAGGCGATCGTTCTTCGACCGGTGTCTTGACTTCCCAGCCCCTCTCCCGCGATATCAAGATCGAGTCCTTCTCCCTCCGTTTCCACGGTCGTGAGTTGATCTCCAACACCGATATCGATCTCAACTTTGGTCGTCGTTACGGTCTTATCGGAGCCAACGGTTCCGGAAAGTCCACTTTGCTCGAGTGCCTTGCTGCTCGTGAGGTCCCCATTCCCGAGCACATCGATGTAAGTAGAGCCACAACAACAACCGCAGCAGTGACAACAACAGCAGATCTCGATCCAAGACAACACACACACAGACACACAGAGAAACATGCAACAGTAACAGTAACAGCAGCAACAGCAACAGCACAAATCACATACAACGCACAGACAATTCCGATGATTGAACACAACAGAGAGAGGGAGAGACACAGACAGAGACAGAGACACAGACAACTTCAACCCCTTTCAGTGGCCCTTGTCTTTAAAAGAATGAACGGAGCGGTTGGAACAAAGGACAACGAAGGAGCAGAAGATTTTTTTTTATTGCTTTTGCTTCTTTCTGTGCCTTGTGTACCTTGTCTTTCCTTGTGATAATTCCGCCTCCCTTTCTCCCTTTTGCCCTTTTACCTTTTTCCGTTTATACCCCAACCCCTCTCTCTCCCAGCCCTCACCTGCATTCGTTTCTTTTTATTATTTTTCTTTGGATCCTTGCCTTCTTTTCCATTCTTCCAATCTTCTGCTTTCTCTTATCTTTCGGGTCCCTTCCCCCTTTCCCCTTCCCCTCGCAGTGCCCCCCTCGTTTTTCTTCTTTACCAATGACAATGACGCAGTCAGCCGCTTGAGACTAAACCAAAAAAAACATTTTATTTTTTATTACTCCGCTTCCCCTATACCTTTAGATCTACTTGTTGCAAGAGGAAGCTGCCCCCTCAGACTACAACGCCATCGAGGCCGTCGTCGTCGAGGCCAAGATCGAGGTTGATCGTCTGGAGAAGGCGGCCGAGGACATGTTGGCTGAGGTCAACGGTGCCGACAACCCCCTCCTCGACGACATGTACGAGCGTATCGAGGAGCTCGACCCCTCCACCTTCGAAACCCGTGCCGCCACCCTCCTCCACGGTCTCGGTTTCACCAAGAAGGATATGCTCAAGGCTACCAAGGACATGTCCGGAGGATGGCGTATGCGTGTTGCCCTCGCCAAGGCCCTTTTCGTCAAGCCCACTCTTCTTCTCCTCGATGAGCCCACCAACCATTTGGATCTCGAGGCCTGTGTGTGGCTCGAGGACTACCTCTCCAGATACGACCGTATCCTCATCCTCATCTCCCACTCCCAGGATTTCTTGAACGGTGTCTGCACCAACATCATGAACTTGAACCACAAGCGCAAGCTCGTCAACTATGGTGGTAACTACGATACCTACGTCAAGACCCGTTCCGAGTTGGAGGTCAACCAGATGAAGGCCTACGTCAAGCAGCAGGAGGAAATCGCCCACATCAAGAAGTTCATCGCTTCCGCCGGTACCTATGCCAACTTGGTCAGACAGGCCAAGTCCAAGCAGAAGATTATCGACAAGATGGAGGCTGCTGGTTTGATCGAGAAGGTCGACCCCCCACTGTTGTTCAAGTTCAAGTTCTCGGACTCCGACAAGCTCCCCCCACCAGTCCTCGCCTTCGACGAGGTCGCTTTTGCCTACTCTGGCGACATGAAGGATGCCCTTTACAACGGTGTCAACCTCGGTATCGACATGGACTCCCGTGTCGCTCTCGTCGGACCCAACGGAGCCGGAAAGTCGACCCTTCTCAAGTTGATGACCGGAGAGTTGTCCCCCACCCAGGGTCGTGTCCAGCGTCACATGCAGCTCAAGCTCGGCAAGTACAACCAGCACTCTGCCGACCAGCTCGACATGGATGTCTCCCCCATCGACTACTTGCGTAGGAAGTTCCCCGACCTGCCTCAGGATACCGATCACTGGCGTCAGAGCATCGGCAAGTACGGTCTTACCGGCTCTCACCAGACCTCGCCCATCGGTCACTTGTCCCACGGTCTCCAGACCCGCTTGGTCTTTGCCGAGTTGGCCTTGTCTCGCCCCCACATGCTCTTGTTGGATGAGCCTACTAACCATTTGGATATGGAGTCTATTGATGCTCTTGCCGAGGCCATCAAGACCTTCACCGGTGGTGTCGTCCTTGTTTCCCACGACTTCCGTCTCTTGAAGGAGGTTGCTGATCACATTATCGTCGTCGATAAGGGTGTCTCTGTCTTTGGCGGCACCATCGCCGAGTACAAGAAGATTCTTCAGAAGAAGTCTTTGGAGAGCGCTGGTCTCATCAACTAAGCGTGCCTTCCGGTACGACTATGACGACGACGACGAAGGACGAGGACGACTATCGGTGGAGCGAGTCTTCATGAACGACACATCTGTATTTTAGTTTCATTTCACACACGCCAAGTAGACAAGCATTATTATTATTTTTAACATACACCATCGCATCGCTTCCGCTCATTACAATAATTCATGTAACAAACCTCAATATCTTTCGCCTGTTTGACTTTTTTTTTCGTCATAACGTCTGTCTGCCTGTCTGTGCGTCTATCTGCTTTTTTTGCCATCGCCTCCCAAGCTCCTTCCGTCATTCATATCCACAACAAGTGAATATGATTTTTTGTTTGTGGTGAGGTGGAAATGGGGTAAGGGTGACGACGACAAGAAAAAAGGGATTGTATGAAGTCCCTTCATTCCTTATGCTTGGTTCATATCTTTTATCGTTGTCGTCCGCGGACTGAGGCTGAGGTGGCTGTTGCACACCAGGGAAGTTGACCTGGTTTCCCCGCTAGAAGGCCGCCTCTTTTAAGTGTCTGCATCGAATCCATCAGCTCTGAGAGTCGTTCTTCTAGTCTCTGTTTCCTGCAGCAGCGAGCTGCGTAATGCAGATCGGCGATCTCCAGTCTCAATGTTGCGATGTTTCTCTCAACCATGCGAGCCTGAGACATTAAGAATGTAGATATATGTCAGTGAACCTGGTATGTGTATCAAGGACTGCAAAGGGAAGGAAAAAAAATCGTCATTTCTCTGTTGTTAATAGGAACTCGAACAGAATGAACTTGAACATTTACCTCATGAGGAGTAGGTGTTTTGGCACGTTGGAGGAGGGGCTTCGACCTCGTTCATGGCGGTGCTGTCGCCCCGCTGGTTTTGGGGGCTTGGTGCTAGATTGCTGGTTGATATCCAATTGATGAGGGGGTGATGGTCTATGAACAGGGCCTTGCAATGAATAGAAGAAAAGGTTAGTATTCTATTGTTAGCAAATGGACAACTACAAAGAGAGACTTGTTGTCGCCTCAATCTGTGAACTAGTGGCGGTAAGGTTGGTGGGTGATGGGGCTGCTGGGTGGTTGTGATGGGTCAAAAGAACGAGGATGAGGACGAGATAGTTGCGTGTGCCAATCCAGGAGATGGGCATTGGTGAACATAGGGTTCTGCTGGGTCTGGCTGAAGATCCACATGTTAAGGAAGATCGGGAAGGCGGTCTTGAGGGACCTGACGAGGGACTTCTGGTTGAGGAACCCAAAACAATAGCGAAAAATAAATCAAAAAAGTAAATCGCGTAAGTTCATGCTCATTGTTATGCTTGTTCACTTCATAAAATCTTCATCGTTACTGTCAGTTACCGTGCGAAGGTAGAGAGTGTTCATCCTCATCAATATTACCCCTCAACATCGATGCAAGAACATCATTTTATTTTAAAGTGAATAGTGTGCAAGTGTGTGGTATCTGGCTCACCATGCTAGGAAAGGTGACAGAGAATGAAAAAAAAAAAAGAAAGAGAGTAAGGGTCAGCTTCCATGTCCAATTGCCAGCGGAAAAGGCCCCATCGACTACACAATAACAAATGAAAGATGAACTTACGAAAGGATGGCGCCAGCCACATTGAAAATCCTTGAGACTATACTCTCCTCCACTTGTCGAGGCATTGTATCCGAGATGTCCCTGGAGAAGCGTCTTGCTGATCGCCATAGTCCCCGCACATCCCGAGCAGTAATCGTGCTGGCCCAACATACAGTTCTGAAGTGCCTGATCCGGTGCAGCAACAGCCACCCCGCGCTGTTTCGCCAACTCGTCCTGGCATCGACGATATTCAGTGGAGGGATATGGAAATGAAAGTGGGAGGAGGAAGCACAAAAATGGGGTAGGAGCAAAAGGCTGGTGATCAAGGAGGAATCAAAGGTGGACTTTGGAGATGATGTTCTGTCCAAGGAGAGTTATCGTCCGTCCGTGCGTAAGTTGATGAGTGCAAGGACAGATTAAGGGCCTCGTATTTCGTTTGTGCCTGCTATCAGTGCTATGTGCCTTTTGCCACTTGAACTTTTTTTTTTCCTTTTCCTGTTTGACCTCCCCTTTGTTCAAGCCAACGCTTTTCTTCTTTTCAGCACAAGTCAAGCCGGGAATACAGCATCAGCGACCCTCAAGCAACTACAACCACCACCGCGGCGACTCGATCACTCCTACGTCGGATTCATGAACTGACATCCTCAAAAGCTACCACCATTCATTTCACCCATAACCACTTTACTACCAATCGGACCCGCACCCGCGCCCGTCACGACCAAACGACCACGACAACTACATCGCTTTCACCAGCCACTAACTGCAAGAAGGACCCGATCCACAAACCACCGGCTGATGGATGACCAGATTAAGGCCTTTTATAAAGAATACGCCAAGGTATACAGCACAGCACCTCGTCTCACCTCGTCATGCACCCTTCACGCGCACATGAAAACACTACCGCCTACCAACCCGCCGCCCAAAACAAACAATACAAGTTCTGCTTCCTTTATTGTTCTCGTTTTCTTTTGCACTCGTTATCCGCATATTTCTTTTTTGGCAGACACAGTCAGGCGTTCTGTCACAGTACCTCGACAATTGATACCTTTAAGACACTCGGGACGGCAGGATTGGGCATTGACAAACGCCAGTTTTTCAGATTTCGAAGTGTTATCTACAGCGCAGCGTACTATTTATTTTTGGCTCCCATGCAGCGGACCCAAGCGGCATTGCCTCTTGTCTGCACCTCGAAGATGGTGTTTTGATGCCGAAACCATGAGGCAAACTCGCTTCAAGAATCGTGACATCAAGAGCATCAACAACAACAGCGTCAATAGCAATAGTACTGACGACGAACCGAGACAGGAGGCAGACAGGGGAAGACAGGAAAGACAATCCCAATCAGGACACCATCATTCCTCTGCAAGGGGGAATAGTTGTCGGGATAGGAGATCAGATGCTGTCTCCTCAGAAAGGCGCGACATTGACTCCATTTTTCCATCTCCCTTGCTTTGTCTTGACACCATCTCGTTAGAGACTCGCAAGGACTTTGAAACAACAGGGCACCCTTCCAAACACCTACGGGAGCATGACAGGATTGCCTCTCGGTTTTAAAGGCACAGAACGCACACTTAAGCCATCAGCAGAAGAACTAAGAGAGATTTATACATCACTACTTCAAGACCAAGGTAACGGAGGACATATATCTTGATTTTGGTGTCGCTCTCGAACTAAAAAAGGGCCAAGGCGATGACCCAGTATTTGCGCCATAGTGGCTCACACACATTTTCGACTCTTGTGAAACGTGCATTTAATCGACATTTAGACCTAGACCCAAAGATCAAGCAGGTCCTCACAGAGCAATCTTTCGTTGTATCCAATTTCACGTCGAGCCTTGTAGAGCGTTTGGAGCTCAAATACGTTCATCCCAATACCAAGGATCCCCCAACCGAACTGGAACACTGTCCCAGTGAAATGGTTCACACACACGACGGCGAGAGCTGTGACGAGCTGGAGGATGGACAGGAATTCGGACAGGATTCCGCGCAGAACGACGATCAGGAAGGAGAAGGCGTCGATGTTTACGACGAGAGAACATCCGTAAATGTCGAAGCCTTGGACAGGGTGGACGACTTTGATTCGGGCGAGAGCTACGACGAGGACGATTTTGATGAGGATGACGAGGATGATGAAGATGACGAGGATGATGAGGACGACGAGGACGACGACGATAATGAAGATGATAAGTCGGATTGTTATGACGAGGTAACGGAACTGGATGAAGTCAGTGACGCAGACGACTCGGATGTCGTCGACGGATATTCGCATTATTATGGCCAAAGCAAAGCAACACAAGCAATGCTGGAAGAGGAGCGCCGCAAGTTTGCAGCCATCTACAGTATCAGAGGTGGCGACTCGAAGCGTCAGGAGGAGTTCCGGAAACGAAAGGTTTTGGAAGAACAGAAGAGGAAGCAAGAAGAAGGTAACAGTTGGAGATGGTGGTATTCTATGTTTACAGCCGCCTTTGTTGGCGTCACCGTGCTCACAGCGCTATATACCCTTGTTATTAATTTTTTCTACCATAGAACGCATCCAAATTCTTCAGAAGCTGCGACTTGAGGATGAAGAACGTCGCAAGAAAGAGCTGCAGGAGAAACAACGGAAAGAAAAACTGGACATGGAACTGCGCAAGAAGCGTGAGGCCGGTAGGGCTCGCTTTCCCTCTGTTGATTTTGCGATGCCGTTATTCCACTCCTTGCATTTGTTTCTTAATAACTAACCGGTATCTTTGTTACGGCTATAGCCGACGCAGATCAAAAGGCGCGGTCGTTCTTGTTCGAAAGTGCCAGGAAAAAAGATCTTGCGACCATCAAGTTCATGTTGGAAGGCGATTCTGCCAAAGCGGACGGAAAGCCTAACATCCCTTCATTCGGGACAGGACCACCAACGCGCTTGAATGGCTGGGAATACGTGACGACAGTGGAAGGGGCTGGCGAAATCAGCGAGGAGAAGGGCGCTCAAGAAACTCTTTTGCACGTTGCTGTTCAATCTGGATCTCTCGAACTGGTTGTATACCTGATTGAATTCGGTGAGTGAACGCAGGAATTCGCTCTGTTTCTACCATGTCGCCGGATTGTTAGTGAAGCAGCGGCATCCTGATACGGTCTCTTTATATCTTCATTAGGTGCACCAATGGACGCACTGGATTGCGCTGGACGAACACCTTTTCATTCGGCCGTGGAAAATGGTTGTCCAATCAACATCAGCAAACTATTGCTGGAGAAAGCGCCTCATCATGTTGACAGGCCCAGCGCTATAGCAGGAAAGACCGCGTTGCACTATGCAGCAGAGAATGGCGATGCAGAACTGGTGGCCCTGCTTATCCAACATCACGCTCGAGTCACTGTCACGGACGCCAATGGCAACACCCCTGAAATGCTTGCTAGAGGGGTTTTGAGCCGCGACAAACCCTCCAAATCCAAGGCGCAGAAATACAAAGCCGCGATTCAACATATTCAGAAGGCGATTGCCGTGATCCAGGAGGCTCAGAAGGCGAAGGATGCAATCCTTGAGGAACAGAGGAAGAAGGAAGCGGAGATGGCGCGTGAGGAGGCTGAAAAGGACATGGCAGCGCGCAGGAAGCAGGAAGAAAAGTTGGAGGCTGCCCAGCGGAGACGTGAGGAAGAAGAGAAGGAGCTGACCCGTCTCAAGGCTTTGGCTGCTGATCCTCACGGGCACAACGGCGGTGGCGGAGGAGGAAACAAGAAGAAAAAGAAAAAGAAGGGCAAGGGTGGCCAGGATGTTCAGCCAGCTACCAAGGAACCTACAGTGCCCAAGGCTGCTGTCAATCACCTTTTGGACAGCCCTGTCCTCGTCAATGCACCTTCGCCTCTTGGATCGCCAGCACCATCTCGACCTTCATCGACTGCTTCGCCTGTGCCACCTGCACTGTCTCCCGTGGTCTCCCAAGCTACTCCTCCAAAACTTGCACCGGCTGCACCAAGTAACGTACCCATCACCAGCACGACATCTTCGGTCATTTCTCATCCCAAGTCCCGTTCTCAATCCCCTGTGCCGGCTGCTGCTCCCAAGCCGACTGTGGTAGTACCCTCTCCAGTTCCAAAGAGGGCAACCCAACTAGCAAGCACCCCATCCCCAACCATTCAGCCTCGACTTGTCAGGACGTCGTATCGCCCATCTCAACTTGTCGTGACCCGAATGGCAGATATGGGCTTCCCGGAACGGGAAGCAAGGAAGGCGCTCATGCAGACGGAAGGCAAGTTCGAGGAGGCCATCGAGCTGCTGACTACAGGTGCGGAACTCGTTGACGATTCGGAGGACGAGGCCGAAATTGCAGCTCAGGAGGCAGCTGAACAAGCAGCACGACAGGCAGTTCAGGAATCTGAGAAGGAGGCAGCGCGCTTGGTAGCCCAACAAGCAGCCCAGCGAGCAGCGCGAGAGGCCGCTTCGGAAGCATCGCGGCTGAAAGCAAAAGCTGCTGAATTCGTTCCGTCAACACCAACATCTGCCAAGCAGAAAGCTGCGCCAGCTACTTCGCCAACGAATACAACATCAGGAAAGACGGCTGCGAGAGCGGCAGCAGGAGATGCCAAACCATTGAACACTCAACAATCTGGATCCTCCCAGAGGCAAAACCATGTTTCTGCTCAAAAGGGAGCTGTTCATCACCCTGTCCAGATCCTGCAGCGAACCCATCCTGTGGATCCTCAGGCCCAGATACGATCTGTCCCTACTCAAGTGCTGCAACGACCCCACCCTCATACCCACGTCCGCAGCCCACCGACCGCCAACACCCCCAAGGGTTTCACTCCCGGCCAGGTGACTCCAGCGCCTCTCCCAGGCTCTATGCCAACCCCAACCCCAGTCAACACCACACCATTCCTTCCCGCGCGCACTCAGCCACCCCAACCACCGACACGAGCCCCTTACTCCTATAGGTCTGCCCCCGTTCAAGCGCAGTCTCATACTGCACCTACAGCTACGCCGGCAGCTTCCAATGACACACCAACATCTGCCCAGTCCAGCGAAGGCATGCAACAGACACCATCGAATATCGTGGCAGGACCAGAATACCAACGACGAGAAAGCGCGGGCAGTCTTGGAGGAATGCAACAGCATCCGATGATTGGATCCATCGTTCCAGAAGGATTTATTGCAGGCACATGGGATACACAGCTGGGTGTCCACGACATGCCGCCAAATATCCATCACGATCAACTCCGGATCGACACAACTAGCGCACCATCGGCTATTCAGAGCAACCTTTGGGGAGCAAGTTCACTCCTTCCTTCGCCAATGAGGACGATCGCCGCCCACAGCCCCAATGCATTCCAGTCGCCACTCTCAGCCATCGCACCCACTGCCAACCAACATCTTTCCGATTTCCAACACCAACACCAACGAGCACCGCCCGCGCTCTTGGCGGCCAGTATGGACGAAATGCTCCGTCAAAGCCAGATGGATATGGACCTTGGAACTGCAGATGGAGACATGGTGAAGGACATCTTGGCCATGACCGGCGCCATTGATCCCGATGACCTCGTCGATAGTCTCGCAGGTTACGGCGGCATCAGCCCTGGCTGGTCCGACAATAAGCCAAACATCGCCCCTTTGTTGCCTGCTGTGGGTGAGGGAAGAGCATCGACTGCACCTGCCGGTTCTAAGAATCCAGTCGCCAGTCTGTGGGGCTATGGTGCGTTTGTGCAGGATATTGTCCCCGCCGACAACTCTTGGTCGTCAACTCCCTCACAGAGAGCTGACCAGCAAACAGGAAGGATCCCAATCGTCTCCAACGGCTTCACTTCTTCAACGTCTTCATCTTCATTGGACTATCACCATCAATGGAACTCAGGGTCGGCATTCCATTCTATGGAAGTGGGATCTGCAGCTTCGACGTCGTCGATGTACCAACGGCATAGCCACCTCTCATCCTCCTTGCCGATGGTTCCCGAGAACGGACGGGATGCCCAGATGGCTTCGTTTATCGACAACCTGTTTGGGTCTCCCGGGCCGGTCCACGTCCCTACCTCTTACCCTCCTGGAATCGGCGCTCATTCGAGAACAGGAATGACCCCGACCGTCTCGAACAGCAGCATACCCTCCAACGCCTATCACCGTGGATCGGTCCACGACTCCTTTTCAGGATACCCTTCCAATCCCACCATTTTTGACAGCAATGCCATTGATGGCGGTGGCAGTAACACCGGGAACAGAGGCTATTTGAACAGCAACAACGACAGCGACGACTATGGCATGAATGCTGGTCAGTCGCCGGTCAACTCTTTGAAAAGTACCTATAATGGCTCTCTTGGCGGAGTCTCGCAGAATCCTACCAATGGGCCGCCCTACCCCAACAGCATGTTTTCGCCCACAGGATCCAACATGAGCAACAACAACAATGGCTACACGGCCTACTCGTCGGCTTCTAGTTTCTCGAGCCACCAAGCACCGTCTCATTCTTTGGAGTCTATGCATCCGAGCCCGGGCGCGAATGGAGGCGGTCGAGGATCAATCTCAAGCAGTAACGACAGCAATGGCATGGGCGTCGGTGTTGGAGCGATTGGATCTGGGAGTGGGTTTATGAGCAAACGTCCTTCTTCAGACATGTCGTCGAATGAATCACCAGGAATCCAGGCTCTGAACCAGGCGCTCGCCTTTTCTCGATACCCAAAACTGAACACCCCTGTCGGCAACGGCGGCGGTGACGGCGGCAACAACGGACCTACCCCTGCAGCCGGAGGCGCTGGTGGTGGTGGTGGTGGTGGTCATGATCAAGGCCACGGTATGACGACGACAGCTACAACACAGGCTCCTAATGGCGCCTGGCGCCATCCATAGATAGGGGACCTTGCGTGATGATCGATAACACCGTGGGTACGACACATTCCCTCTCCCCTTTCCCTTTTTTCAGTAGACACGATCATTAAACATTTTGATGATATAAATGATATTTGGAAACTGTATTTTATTTTATGCGGACTTTTTATGAATGGGGTCGGTCATACGGGGGCAAAAAGGAGTGGAGTGGATTCTCCTATGGCCTGTGGACGATAGCTTGTCTCCTGCAGGATGGGTATCGGTATTGAAGGGTGAATTGATGACCGTGTAAGAAGCAATGGCTGCTGCTGTTGTTGTTGTTGTTCTTCCTCCTTTTTACGAAGTGCACGGCGTTTCCTGATCTGGTACGCGTAAAAGAGGCAGAGTCCGAGGAGGATTATTTGGAGAAGGGCGGTGATGGCGTAAGAGATCCAGGTTGTCCAATTGGCACCTGGGCGGAGTGCCAGGGAGACTGTTATTAGGATCGCGCCTGGGGTTTGGATTAGCATCATGGGGATACTTAATGCGCCCATTGACTGGAAGAAGAGGGTGAGAAGGAAGAAGGAAGGAAGGGAAGACGAAATTATGTTAACTTTTAGTTGACGTATTTCGTGAAAGGAAGGGTTGGCTGTATGTTGTAGTGAGTTTTGAAAGGGTACCTTGCGGAGGTAGGTCTCAATGATTTGTGGGATATACTGGATCATGGCCAAGAAAGCCGCAATGATCCCCAAAAGTCCAGCCCAGACCAACAACAATGCCCTACTCCTCGTATTACCCCCACCACCACCATCATCATGACTGATATCCCCCCGGCCTACGGCAGCAAGGAGTATGACGGTGATGGCGGTGGAGACGAAAAAGTAGCCAAGGAGGACTTTTGAGGCGAGGAGGGAGAGTGTCCAGGTGAAGGAGCGGGTCGGGAGGCAGAAGAGGCGGCAGTGGAGGAGTTGGTGGCGGAGGAATGTTGAGATTTTTTTGTTGGATGGGAAGTAGATCATGTAGAGGATGAATCTATTGCAAGGAGGGGGAGGGGGAAGGAGAGGGGTTTGTTAGGTTTTGGGAGATGGTATTTGGGGGAGGGAGTAATAGAGGTAGAGTGGTGGGGCTTACATGAGGTTGAACATGACGAACTGGACGGCGAGTTGTGTGATCCCGAGGATGCTCTCTGTGCATGGGCCAGGACCCTATTTGTGATGCAGAGAAGAGCACAATGTTCAAATGCATATGAATATCTGCTAAACTACTTTTCCAGACATCTGTGATTTCGAGCAACAAGGAGACACTAAGGATTTACGATGACACTGCAGCAGCGGACGACGCCCCATTGAAGGACAAAGATGTTGAAGAACGAGGAGGTTGTTGAGAGAGAGCCCAGAATCAGGAACCAGAGACTTAGGCCGTCGCTACTCTTCTTTTGGAAAATGCGATAGTACTACTTGGTTTGAGAAAGAGAAGATATGGCTCGTTGTCAGCTTGTTGTTCTGTTGTATGCGAGAAGCACGGGTGTATTTGAAAGAGGTAGAGGATGGTAGTGGTGGTGGTGGTTACCTGAGGAAGGTAGGAGACGATGATGGAGATGAGGACGAGGATGGAGAGGGTGAGTTCTGGTTTGTTGTGGCGAGGTGTGCACCCTCCTGTTCCTGTTGCTATTCCTTGTCTATCGGATGGTGCCTGCAGGAAGAGTGGTATCCAGCTCGTATCGTTTTCTGTAGGTTGTTGTATTGGTGAACGATAGAAGAATAGGTATGATGATGATGCAGGGACAAGCATCTTGATGGTATTTTGAAGCAGAGGGGAGGAAGTGTTGGAAGGAGGAGTGTGGAACAGACGAAGGAAAGAACAGAAGAAAAGAAAGAGTCAAACTCGTTGAAGCCTCGGGTTAATGCTCGATCCTCTCCATGTTTTTGTTGTCCGTGACCAACGAACGCCCAACTTTACCCCTGACTAAAATTCTATCTTTTCGATGAAAGAGGGAGGGATATGTCCGTAGCGTGTGACCAACAGACTGGCTGGCTCGCTTCCTTCTACTGCTCCATTGGTAGACAACTCATTTTTCAGCAGTAGATACTGGGTAAGCAAGTGGAAGTGCCAGGCTGGATAACCCTGGACTGCGCTGATCATGGTCGTGTTCCTAGCGAAACTATTGTTTCTAAAAATGATCAAGAGAATCGCGTTCTCCACGCGTGTAGTGCTATAACTCTGCCAGAACGTATGTGTGACCTTCTTTTTTTGCCTCTAGTAAACAAATCCTTCAAGGCAGAGTGCAGCACATACAAAAGGGCTCAGTCAGTCTTTCTTTTCTTTTTTTCTCTTCCATCAACCAAAAGACAAACCACAGACACAGACGCAGCATGTCCGACGAATCAGGAAATCAGCGCCCTGCTGCATCGGCATCAGCATCAGGAAGCATCGGATCCCTGCATACCCCCACCGTAACCCCCGCTGGACGACTCACCTCTCTGCGTGGAGGCCGTGGTGGCGCAGGTGCCTCGACCGCCTCCACACGTGGTGGCGCTTCCAAGGTACCCACCTCCCAACCGTTCTCACAGAACACTCACACGCAGGATTACAGTAACTTGAATTACGAGCGGCTACTCAGTAATGGGAAATACCCCCAAGGATGATGTTGTATTGACTGTTTGTGTCGATGTTGTTATCTACTTCGCCAAATAGTTGAAGTTCGCTCCCACAGTGCCCTCGAAGCGTAACAAGAAGGATGCGTAAGTCAATTGACGGAAACATAACTCAGCAGTCAACAAAGAACACCTCGACAACTGCGCCCACCAAGCAGCCACCTGCTCACCCTGTTCGTTCTTCTACGCACTTCATCACAATAGCTCTCTTTCTTTGCTGGAGGAGGCTAAGGCCGGATCAGGACCAGAAGAACGTGGAGCTGTAAGTAGCTCGTACCACCAAACTTTTGTATCAATATGGGCCGCAGTGTCTTATACTTGGAACAGAGGAAGCCAACGATTGACCATACTATCATTTCTTATGTGTTTTATAGGGTCGCGGACGTGGAGAGCGAGGAGAGCGAGGAATGAGGGGTGGACGTGGCGGCCGTGGACTTGGTCGTGGTCGTCCAGATGATGTTGCCGCTACAGCCTCAGGACCCTTCTCACTTGGACCAGCAGCACAAGGTATACACAAGCACATGAACTTGCATGACATTTTGAACGGCTTCCCCACAATCAATTGCTGCGCGCTAACCTCAATTTTCTGATATTCGATCACTCTAACTAGCCCGCTCAAGAGCAATCGCTATGGGAGGCAGCGCCAGTGGAGCACATTCGAGCTATACAGGATCTCGGGAAGTGAAAATGGAAGGCGAGGGAGGAGGGTCGGATTATGGTGCCTCCGTCGATATGAAGTTTGGATCGACTGTGACTGATGCCTCGGCGCCCACGGGATTGGAGAAGCCTAACGACGATACTAAGGTTGTCATTTCCTCGATCAAGGACGAAAAGATGAGAGAGGAGGATATGGATGAAGATACCGAATTGGGTGGGTCCGCACATGCCGCTGGTAAATTTCAAAGGAGAGTTTTTGCATGTTGAAAAAGCGCATTGAGTCTCTGTAGGCGAAACCCCTGTCATTGACAACTCTTCTTTTTTCTTTTCGTGCACATCGTACTATTTAGGCGAGGCTGATATCAAACCCAAGGTGGAAGGACCTGCACAGGACCTCACGCCTGAAGTAAGTCGATTAGAACTATCCATTGAACAACCTGTACGCCGACACGATTTCACGAAGGAGACCCTTTGACTAACCGAAATATGCTTTTGCTCTCTTTTTGCAATTAGTCCGAATATGATCAGATGTTCTTTTTCCAGTTCCCAAGTGTTATGCCTATCTTCAGACCAAGACCTGTGGCAACAGCACCCATGACATCAATCGTCTCGTCTCCCAACGTCTCTTCATTGTACAGCACACCTGACGGAACTGACAAGACAGAGGACTCTGAGGATGGACTGTTGGCGATCAAATCAGAACCCATGGACCAGGATCGTCCCATCATGATCCCCGACAACGACCTCGTCCCCGTCAAATCGGAACAAAAGGATGTGAAGCTCGGCTTGAGCCTAGGAGACGGTACCCCAGGATCATCTGCACCCGTCGGACAGCGTGCCAAGCCCAAGGCCCCTGGAGCAGCTGCCAAGACGGCAGAGAAGGAGGAGGAGACAGAGGATAGCCATTTGCAACAGGAGGGCAAGATTGGACGGTTACTGATCTACAAGTCTGGTAAGGTCAAGATGAAGGTTGGCGATATCTTGATGGACGTCTCGTCAGGATCTGAGTGCTCGTTCTTGCAGGATTTGGTTGTTGTGGATTCGAATAACAAGCAGGCGTTTGTCATGGGATCTGTCCAGAAGCGTATGGTCTGTGTCCCCAACTTGACTGAGCTTCTCAACGGTCTTGAGGGTCTTGACATCTAAAGAGCCAATTGCCAAGTTGCTGTCTTTTTCTTACTCTCATACTCGACATCATCTCAGCATCAAGAAAACAAACAAAAATAAACAATTCAAAAGGGCCAAAGCGTTTGCTGTGTATTGATATATGTATTTTTTTTGCTCTTGAGAACATTAGATAGAAAGAAAGACAGATGATGACGAAAGATAGCACCACTAGCGCCGCAATACCAGTCAGGTCCTTGTGCAGCTCCAGCGCCTCCCATATCTCCTACTGCAACTCTGCAAAAGTGGGATGCTGTCATTCAGCAATAGTTGCAAACTCTTCCGCCTATCTCTCCTCTATCCAGTCTCTCCTCCTTCCGCCTCTCCGTCCAAGATTCCATCTGTTCCGACTATCCATCCTCCTCTTCCTCCTGATCTCGATCTCTCTCACTCTGGACTGAGATCTCGTTTAGATGCCGTTATCACTGAATTTCAGTCCAAAGTTGATCAAGATGGCAGCCAAGATAAAGACACACAGCGCGGTCGGTCCAAAGCGATCATCATAAGGACCAGGTAACCTCTTCCTGATTCGATCAGCCCTCCAATGGAACGTAGCCAAAGCATAGATCATAACGACCATAGCCACAAACGTGAAAACTCCGGCCGAGATACGACCAACACGATCACCAAAGTTCAAGAGACCGATGGCGAGCGATCCGAGGAGGACTGTAAAGTTGAGCCAGGAGAGGAAGGTGCGCTCGTTGGCGAAAAAGACTTTGGGCTCGACGCGGATGGGAAGGGCGATGCGCTTTCCGGGGGTTGTTTGGAGGAGGGGTTGGGTTGCCGATGGTGTTGGCATTGTTGTTGAGTGGATGTGTTCTACCCTTGAGTCTGAGTTTGAGGCCGACATCTTTGCTGGTGGTTTGGTTGTGATACTAAGTGTTTTTTTGTTGTCGTTTCCTGGTCTCCTGTTCGTTCGCTTCGTGTTGTCCTAAGATGAGGAAAAAAGACTGCAATTCGAAGCGCAGTGATCACGGCTTAGTTAGTAAAACAGGCAAGTTGATGTCCATTCGTCCTCATGTTCTCATGTGGACGCTGTGAGTTGAGTTGAGAGTTTTTGGGAACTTCAGGTCCACTCTTCTGTCTGTATGTCGGCGAATGCAACCTTGACGGTCGTTCGCAAGAAAGTGCAGATGCTGATCCGATGAAGACAACGCCAGAGAGAGTCGAATGAGAAAGTTACTTTCAACCTACCGAAAAGTGGATGTGTTTCAAAAGACGATTGTAAAGAAAGGTGGTCTTTAGTCCAAGGGGAGGAGTGGAAACGTTGAAGGAGTAAAGGAGGAGAAAGAAGGAAGCAACAGCCGCACAGTCATGAGAAAAAAATCGTTGAACGGCACAAGAGGCAGAAGAAGAAAAAAAACGTGACTTCATATGATCTCATTCCAGATTCCAATGAGCGCCTAACAGCCTGCTGGGCTCCTCTTGCATCGAGACACCGTCTCTTCTTTGGAGTCTGGCTCATGGAGTTTCTATTATGAAGCCACACAGGAACAGGCAAGAGTACTTCGGTTCTGACTATAGTCTCCCTAAAGCACGCGTTCTGATGGCGCCTCAATCGATGCGTTTGAATGAACCACAAACAGTCGCGACCATCATCAATATATCTCCCTCAGACCCATGGTCCCATGCGATAAGAAACCCCATCGACCGTTCAAAAGACGAGAACCTCACGGGCACTTCCTTTGTTTTCCTACTTTCGTTCCTCTTCTCTATTCCTTAAGGTTCTTTCCTTAGCAGTACACAAACATACATTCCCTATCCTTCTCTTTGGGCTATCACAGCGGAGTAGTCTACACACTCAAAAGAAACCAAAATGAAAAAAGAAAAAAAAAACGTCCAAATGTTATCGTCGCAGGCGACCACGTCAAATCCACATCATTCGCGGTACCCTTTTTTTCGTTGTTTCAAAGTATCGCTGTCTGCTCAACATTCCAACAAACATATCCTGAGAAAGACCCACTAGCACTAATGTCTACCTTTTTTTCACCTGCTCCTCCTGCTTTCGCCAAACTTCCCGGCACCGCTTTGCACTCTGGCGGTAAAATTATCCAAGCCAGATTACCTAGGTATGGCATCTGCACCCCTCCAACATATAACCAACATACAACCGGGTCTCCAGATAAGATTAAGAGATCGAAAGTATCTGCTCCAATGACAAGGGGACGCCCTCGCAAGTTTCCAAGGCAAATCTCCAAGGCCAGTTATCCGACACAACCCAGCTACAATACCATGTAGAAAAGTGCATTCCTAGAATGCCTATGTCCATCGCATCCATTCAAGCAACCTTAAGAGACGCGTCTTGACACGCTTTTTTTTTTTTTTTTTTTGTTTGCTTGTTGATCTGATAATATATCAAGAGCACAATAAGGTGTTAGAACGAACTGTTTATTTGGTTTACTATTGTACAAGTGTGTGAGGGTGTGTCCAAACGAGAGTCTATGTCGACAGAATGAATGAAAAAAAATGCTTTTGGTTGACAACGATAATTAAGTGCGCGATGGTGTAAAATGTGTAGGTAGATTGAAAAAAAATGGCAGAGAAAAAGTTGATTGTCCTGTTGGAGTGGGTTGTCCTGCAGGAATGCAAACGAGGGGGGAAAAAATGCAATGCAGGTGTAGGATCCAAACATTTAGAGGACGTGGGTATTCGGATCACCATGCTAAGAAAGGGGAAAGAGAAAGAAAAAAAAAAAGCAAGAGAGTAAGGGTCAGGCTCCATGTCCAATCGCCAGCGAAAAAGACTCTGTCGACTACACAATAACAAAAGAAAGAGGGACTTACGAAAGGATGGCGCCAGCCACATTGAAAATCCTTGGGACTATAATCTCCTCCACTTGTTGAGGCATTGAATCCGAGATGTCCCTGGAGAAGCGTCTTGCTGATCACCATAGTCCCCGCACAGGCCGAGCAGTAATCGTGCCTGCCCAACATACAGTTCTGAAGCGCCTGATCCGGTGCAGCAACAGCCATCCCGCGCTGTTTCGCCAACTCGTCCTGCTCCAGAACAAATGACGCCGTCAAGGCGACCGATCGCTTGAAGATCAGACCACTACCTCCTGTCGTGATAAAGATGCCGCAATGATCCTTGACCTGCCTGTCAGCCTCGTAGATCGTGTTCAGCATAGATTGAAAGCCTCCCTCGCAGAACGGGAAATCGTCCTCCATGATGCCCAGGTAGACCGAATCCTCTGAGGTTCCGATCTTGCGAATCGCGCTAATGAGATGTTTGCGCTGGCTCTTTTCTGCTCCATCCTCGCGGATCCATTTGACGTGCTTGCGTGCCTTGGGATCCGTGTCAAAGAATTCCTCCGCCTCGTCGAATCTTGGATGGTTTGTGACGTGAGTGTAGACAATGATCTGGATCCGAGAGTAAAGAGGGTGGGCTGGATCATCAACGTCAGGGAAGGCAGCGAGGTATGATGACAGAGTCGGCTTGATAAATCCCATACCGTCCCGTCTGGGCGCCGTCATGATCACGAGGGTCAGCAAGAAGGGTGTCGTTGGCTCGATCGCGTTGTTCAGTACGTCGTCCGAGACGTTAGGCTTGTAGTGGTGAAGTTGACTGGTAGCGACTAAGATGAAGAAGAGGATCGCGATCATGGGTAAAACGTATCCTCCGAGTCGCCTGACGATGTACGACATAGTTCTCTCCTTCATGTATCCAGGCGCTGTCGAAAAGTTCGTTGTTGGCAATACTGGTGAATAAGCTGCTGTTGACTCCAGAGACAGACGACCATCGGAATCCGAGTCTGAATCGTCGCTGGTTGCCTTGCTGTAGTTGGTCATGGAAGTCATGGAAATGTCCTGGTCGTCGCTGATACCCAACCCAACAAGAGCATCCTCGTGCTGGGAATGCTTCTCATACATGGTAACCCTGACTTTTCCGCCCCATTGACCCATCCTGCGTTGGTAAGCAACACCGAGCGAGACGACGAATCCAACAATAAGACCCGATCCTGCCCACCAGACAATGGCCTTGGGGATGACGTTGAAGAGACAAAGGATGATCTGAATATAGATCCGACGGAAGGCAAAGATCGATGTCGATGTTGTCGATGGTGAAGATATCCTTGGATCAGAGTCATCGGGCAAGAAGGCTTGGATGACCAAGAGAGCAAAGAGGAATGGTGCAAGGCCTAGTGTTGAAGACATGACATAAGAGGTGAAAAAAGGAGGACTTAGTACGTTATCTCATTGTTTGTTCCTGAATTCAAAAATAAGAAACGTATTTCGTCTGTATGACATAACGATTCAAGGTAAGCAAACAACAACAGACAACCCCTGGACAGTGCGATGACAACAAAAGGTTGGGCCACTGTCAATTGCAACAACAAATGTGCGCACAGGCGATCTAGGCTATCCTGCTCTTCCCTCTCTTCCAGGATAAAAATAACTAAGGTGCTGGAATGTCTGTGGGCGAGGTTGGAGGTCAAGGTGGCGAGAGGGAAGGAGAGTGGGAGCAGTAATAAAGGGAAACACAGAAGGAAAAAAAATGTCATCGCCGCAACCGGGCGATGCAGATGTCCCTGATTCTCTCTCGGTCATCTCTCATCCGTCATCGCCCTCCTCTCTTGTCTGTTCCCTCATTCCTTACACTAAGTGAAACCAGAAAAGTAGTTCGTCTGTCCACTCGTTTATGCAAAACGCTGTTCCTGAAAGGGCTGGCAAAGGCGGGAAAGGCGAGAGTGGGTTTGTAAAAAATTCACAGTGCCATCGCCGTGTCCCATACCTCACCCGACCAGTAAAAGTTGGCCCACTGCAGCCCAGCTCTGAAATCCATTTTCCTTGTGCTGTCAAAATTGTGTTCTATGTGTTCAGTAAAAAGAATTGATAAAAACTTACCGAGGTTGCATTCGATGACAGAGTCGCTGAAGAACAGAGAAGGGAATGCCCACCCCAGGGCGCGATTGAAGAGGAATCCAAGAAATTGACGTAGACCCATTACGAGGACAACAATGACCAAGGCCAGGTTGCGAAAGATCCGTGTGCTGTTGCGGTTGATGCTGGTGTTGCTCCTTCGAGTCCTATTCCCGCGAAACACAGTCGTCAACCGCTCCTCGAACAGCCCGAAACTGATCAGGTTCGAGATCGCCAACATGACGGCAATGCCAAGCGTCTGGTGGGCCGACTTGAGCAGTGTCGGAGCTAATGGCACCACAAACGGCGAGATAAAGAGTTCCAGGTACTCGCCTCCGTAAAGTGTGTGTGATGGTGCCGAGCAGTGCTCCGGGAACTTGCCTCCCAATCCCAACAGACTCTGTAGTACTGTCAGGACAACGACTATCCGGGTAATGGGCTGGTGGAAGAGTAATGATGTGATCGCCTCGAATGAAAACAGAGTTGCGCCGTTGGCTGGAAAGTCGGACGGCGGTGGTGTCAACGTTGAATTGGCGAGTTGCTGGGTACCTATTGAGACGACCGTGTTCATCATGCTGTTGGTTCCTGAGATTGTTGGCGGAGAACCAATGGACGGAGAGCTGTTGCTGTTCATTGTTTGTGAGTGGAGTGATATGGGGGAGTGAGGAGGTGAGGGCACAGGGGTGGTCGAGGCTAGAAGGATAGATGCGGGCGAAGAAGGTCTTGATATGGGTGCAGATGAGACCGAGGATGCATAGGATGAGTGTGGTTGAGGAGAGAGGTGTTGAGAGGAGATGGGAGTAGGACTCCTGTGTTGTGATAGTGAAGAAGACATGATGTGTTGTTGTTGCTTGTCTGTTGTCGTCGTTGTTGATGAAGTTCGGGGGAGAGTAAGAAAAGATTAAAATTATCAGACAAAGGTCGAGGAAAAAAACGTTTGGATATGGATTGAGGGTGAGGTGGAGAAGAAAGAAGAGAGAGAAAGGTGTAGAAAAATAGAAAGAGTGGACTTTTTAAAGAAGAGCAAGAAGGTGCGGCGAAGGCGATGCGGTGGAATTGGTAAAACACAAACAACACTAAAAGAAAACTAACAACGGTTGCAGGAGATTTTCTAACAAAATAATAAAAAGAAAGGAGGGATCAGGGCTGTGTTCACTCTCGACTCTCGAAGGACACAAGGGAGAAAGACAAGGAAAGGCTGGGATCCTTAGTATGTACACAGGCAGTGCTGAAGCTTTTCTCTCTTTTGAGATGAGGGCTGAATGATGAAAAGGATGAATGAGCGTATGGGTAGAATGAATGGAATGGAGATGAGAACAGCGATGAAAGCAAGAGATGGAAAGAAAACGTGAGAGGAACCTGCGGAGATGACCTGCAGCGATGAGATATATATAAAAGTGCGTTGACACGGGGATGTTCTCGTTTCTGGGCTGTAGTCTCCGACTGGGACTATACTCGACACCTTTCTATTCTGCCACATTTCACCTTACAAAACCACATTCTCTCTATCTCTGTCTCTCTCCCTATATATCTCTCCCTCTATTAAACATGCAACCACCATCAGTGAGGATAACTATCCTATTTTCTTTGGCGGTTGTTGTTTGTCGGTTTTTTTGTTCTCCTCTTGTGCTTTCAATGAAAATAAGGTTCTCCGTGCCAAGGGTATGATGTTGAGCCTTGATAGCTTAAAAAAATCTCTACTCTTGTTGTTTGTTTTCTCCGCTGTCTTTTTTTCAGCAATCATTTTGTTATTTTATGCATGCATGTGTGTCCTTCATTTTGCCGTCGACTCTTCGGTTCCCATTTTACCCCGCTATCTTTTCTCTCCAGCAGTACTTGCTTGTTCTCCTCAACCGGCTTCTGTATGGATCATCCGTCTGGCGCCACCAAAAAAAAAAAAAAAAAAAAAAAAAAGCTATGTGAACGATAGGTCGAACTCAGGCACCATCAGTAAGGGTTTACTTGTCTCACCCCGTCCAATCGCTTGAGTCCTCTCACAATTAATAGTGCAACGCTTCTCCCTCTACTTCACCCAATGCATTCATCACTTAATGTGCATCTCAGGAATACAGCCCAAACCTTACGTTCGTTTGTTCAAGTCTATCGACGTGGACATAATCGTAACAACCTCATTGGGCCGAGATGGACATCCCTCTGGGGGTGGCAACAACAACAGCAGTAGCAGGAGTAAAGCACAATTGGCGTGAGAAATAATCGTCGCCTCAACGGGTCAATTTGACTAGATAGGAGGAACCTTGTGCTGCAGATTCAATATCTCCATTCCCAATAGTTGGAATTCATGGGCGTGGCTTCTTATGCCCTGCTTCATTTCCGTTGGCATTTGACCACAAGCCTTGATCTATGTTAAAAACGTGACCACTACCGACAACCTTCCCTTTTGTTCTTGCCTGTGCCTGGTCCCTCTTCCTGTTCTTTGTCCTTCTCTTCTTCTCCACAAAAAAACACCATTGGACCTCATCACTTTACGGAATCCATCCTCACGAATCGCTTAACCTCTGACGCCCTCATTCTTTTTTGTCATCACTCCCTTTTTCACCCTTACCATCACATGGTCCGCTCATCTCTCTTTCTCACAGTCGGCGCTCTATTGGCATTGTCCTCATCCTGGGTCCAACAAGCCGACGCCCAACAACAATGCAACGGCTACGCGGAGTTGTGTTCGAGGACCTACGATAAGGTCTCCTACCCTACCACCCACAACGCCTACGCCTTCAACCCCCCTAACGGACTCGCCACCAACCAAATCAACAACATCCCTACCCAGCTCAAGGACGGCATTCGTGCATTCATGCTCGACGCCTATGCTGCTCCATCCGGCAACCCTAAAGAGATTGAACTCTGTCACACCATGTGTAAGGACACACGCCAGTTCTCACTAGTTCTACCAACCAAGCCAAGGAGACAACTTATGTCCGACGACTGACGTCTTTTACATGAATTGTTCATGAATCAATGCTGCAATTGACACCTTCATCAATTGGATATAGGCACCTTGCTGGATGGAGGCCCCCTCTCGGACATACTCGCCCAGATCAAGACATTCATGGACGCCAATCCCAATGAGGTGCGTTTGAATTAATATCTCCAACCGGTCTATGCAAAGGAACATCATCGCGCTGCAGGAACAAACAAACAAAAAAAAAGCACCACCTCCTTAATCAAGACTAACCTGAGTGCATCTACTACTTTCAACAATGTTTGAACAGGTCATCACCATTTTTTGGGAGAACGCCGCCGACTTGAAGCCAGCCCAATTCCAGGTAAATAGAGCAATCAAACCCCAAGCTGCACGCCGAAAATACAACAGCCTCTTTTTTACTGTGTGTCTATTTTCGCCCACAAAAGCCCTACCTATTCACAAATGGGCGCATATTCTTGACTATTTTTCGGCTCACTCATTCATCAACACCTATTTCTCTCTCGAACAATAATTCATGATCCAGGCTGTCTATACTGCTGCTGGATTGAGCCCATATCTTCACGCCCAGGCCAAGGGAGCCACCGCATGGCCCACTCTTGCACAGATGATTTCCAGCAAGAAGCGTCTTGTCAACTTTATCGACAGTGGAGCCGACGCAACCGTGCCATGGTAAGTTGCAACAAACAGGTCTTCTTTTTTTTGCTTTTATTTTGTTGTCAGAGAAAGAAGCGCGAAAAAGGGTGGGCGCAATGGTAGTACGGAAAGTTGATATGGTGCTGATGATGCATTTGAAGGCTAACATTCAGAATCGATTCTCATTCTGCACTATCCGCGATTCGCGCGTGATAGGTTGATGTCAGAATACGATTTCGTATTTGAGACCCCATACAACATTCCTAAAGGCACTGCGTATCCTTGCACCATCGACCGCCCAAAGGATCAGCGCAAGCAGGTACTAGTCTCTTCTTTCCTTCTTAACTAACGAACATTTTTGCCATGTACTATGTAACCCATACAAATAAGAACCATGCGACGCGTAACTAATTTCTTACATGCAACATGTTTGAATATGTTTTCTTTTTTACGTAGATGTATGTCTTGAACCATTTCATTTCAGGAATTATCCAACTGCAAGGAAATACGATCTCACTCCCCCAGCCAGAGGCTGCCAATCAGACCAACGGACCCGATCTGATTTCGCACATCAACTCCTGCCAAACGACCTTCAAGCAGATCCCCAGCTTTGTCGCCGTCGATTTCTACCAGAAGGGATCCTTGACTGAGACAGTGGCCAAGATCAATAAGGTCAAATGGAATGGAATCGTGGCCGATGGAGCCAGTTCTGGAACGAATGGTACTACTAATGGAGCCACAGGAAAGGGCGTTAATAACAACAGTAATGGAGCTGCTGGGTCGTTGTTGAATGGCAAATCTGTGGTTGCCGGTTTCTTGGCCACCGCCGCTGGTGCTATTGCTCTCTTGTTGTAGTCTTTGTCTTCTTTATAGCACTACTACAAAAAAAATAGACTCGTCCCCTCCTCCTTTACGATTTACTACACGACACGACCCGACACGCGTCGATGTGCTGTACACCGCCATAACTACCTAAAAGCAAAAAAGAAAAAAAAAAGTGTCGATCGACAAAATTGGTCTGGTCTGTCACAAACATTTAATGACAAGGTTTGTTTTGCGAAGCGTCCAGTTGACCCGAATGATGAAGATGAGTAACACGGCGGAAAAAAATGGGCTGGACTGGACTGGGCCAAGAGTTGGAGAAGGAGAAAAGGAGTGGAGAAGGTCCCTGACCCTTCTCATTCTTGAAGAAGGTTTGGATGGTGTGAGTCAATCACTTGAAGTACAGTAGTAAACAGTGGCCCCTACACCTAGATCCTTTCATGCCTTCTTTGTTGCCCGTGTTTATTGGCTGCTTATGACAAAGAAGAACGGAGGGAGTGGCAGGGCAGCCTTTGCCTTTGGGTCCTTTGAGAAGACTGCTCACAATTCAGAGCCAGAATAGGAAATGTCCTCCTTTTTCCCACCTCTGTGTATAGTAGGTACCATGACGGCATTACTCATCCCTATTCCATGCACCACTAGACTACTCCATTTTTTTCTCTCTTTCTCCGTCCATCATATATCTTTTTCGTCTCTTCTTGGTACCATTCGCCATTTCTCCTTTTACTCATTCGTTTTCTGTACTCATCGGTTACACACATCATCATTTCGTTTTTCTTTTTTCCTCTTCACCTACCCCACAGTTTTTCGAATCGATCCACCCAACAGGGAAGAAAAATAGAGACGAGAAGTGAAGCGAAGCGAAGAGATAGGACGAGTGAAGAAAAAAAAAGAGTACGAAATGCCAAAAGGGCCAAAAGGTTCAAAAGGGCCAATGAGGGCGCGTCTGTCTTTTCTCTCGGGTTCAGCCTTATTCAGTCCTGAACAAAGATGCGGAAATAATTTTCTACGCAGACACCGACACCGAGTCGACAAAGCATCATCGTCATCATCGTACTTACACCACAGAAAACGAAACGAAGAGCGCGGGGGAGAGGAAGGATCGGACTTTGAGGATAGGAATAAAAGGACCTTGATTGGATCCTTACAACTGACCCATCATGCGACACTCCTTCCTTCTGGCTTTATATGAGAAAAGAGTGAAGGACGAGGGAGCGACGGCGATACGTCGGTACGGATACCGAACAGGCGATAATTTGGTACGTATTTTAGAGCCGGATGGCTCAGATCAATGAACTCCTTTAACAGAGAGTACGGCAGGGGCAGTACTACACAGGCGATTCATCGGACGTGTAACACAATTTGTGTCAATGAAGCCTACATAAATGACCTTGTTCCTTCTTGCTGTTCTCTCATACATATATACTTGTCCTGCTCTCTTGCTGCTCTCTCGATCAAGGCGGCGGCTTTTTCGTACAGTTAGTCAAGCGCAGTAGATTGGTGTATTGCCTGCAACTTGAAGTAAAAGAGGCCAAGAGGAAGAGTCCTGTCTACAATGACAAGGAGCAGCACAACAAAGAATCAGTAAAGAACCGTTGCAACAATAAGCTTCTGTTTACATTTCCAACTCTCACAGACCCTACCCCTGGCCCCCTGCACATTCCCTCCCGCTACCCTGCCATGTGTTTGCCCGTCTTCATTTGTCCACAGCAATAAACAAGCAAAGTAGGTTCATTTGTCAACAAACAGAGGGAAAATGCCCTTTGTCTCAAAAATTGTTCATCTCCGAGTATTGTTGATTGGATTGACAGCCGTTCAGTTGTGTTCGCCTTGACCCACGCCCCTTATCTCCTGCCTGAAAACGGGTCGGTTTTCATCCCCTTGATGAACGTACATGCCTCTACTCTTGTTCATTGTCCGTTCTCGTGGGCTGCTGTTAAGCAATCAATGGCTGTGTGTCCATGTGTGTAGCCGCCAAGAGACACGATACTATTCGAGTCATCAAGAATGAGATCGAATGGAATTGAGTAAAACGACTGTCGGTTGTTCAAGTAACAACCGATACAGTACTCTCATTTCAAATTCCTATTGTTCCCATTGGGATCCATCGATCCATCGCCCCCTTTTCTAACTCTCTCACGGTCAGTCTCTCGCTGGCAGAAAGTCTCTCGCTGGCAGAAAGTCTCTCGCTGGCAATCCTCCTGAACGCTAAAAAAGAAGAGGTTGGGTGGGTTGCCTAGACGCATTGGGGAGGGAGGAGGGACCATTGAATTTTTTTAGCTTTTTTTTTTCTTGCATTTTTTTCTCCGACGCATGAATTGAATAGAAAGTGGATAGAGCAAGGTTAGTCGTCAAAAAAAATAAGGGGGACTCGGTGGTGGCAAGATCTTGGTTGGTCTGTTGCTTATCCGTTGCTTGGTTGGATACTCCGGTACTCACTCGTGTGAGTGTATGTGCCAAATGGGCATTTTTGATCCTTGATCCTGTACTGTACGTATGCTGCTCTCTGGTACCCACTGCTGTACCCTGTTTTTCCTTCTCTTTTCTGTCGAGAGCACAGAAAACAAGTAAAAACAGACCAACATAAAAGGTTTTGACTTCTGCTCTTCTTCGATCGCTCTTCTCTTTGTATTTCTCTTTCCTTCTCTTTTCTTTTTTCTTTTTTCTTTTGTTCTTTGTCTTTTGCCTGCGTCTGCATTATACCCTTTCCTTATCGACTGTACCATTCCCTTTCCTCTCTCACACCCCTACCCTTCCTCTTTCACTCACTCACTCACACACACATACTCACCAACCCCCTCACCTCCACCAACACAACAAACACATACATTCATACACATCACAAACATATAATGACTAAAGACAAGATCGAGATGGACTCGTACAGCGAGTCGGGTGCTCCAGCAGCAGAAGCCATCGACCATAAGGACCAACCCGTCTCTGACGACCCCGAAAAAGCCACTCAAACTCCCCAGGTTGGCGAGGGTCTTCAGCGTAACCTCCAGGCTCGCCACTTGACCATGATCTCCCTCGGTAAGCAAACCATCCCCTATTCCGTTTGGTTTCCCATCCACACCTTTCTATGCTCATGCACTCCAAACACATGTCCATGCTCCTACTTTGGCCATTCCTCTTTACTCTCCCACGCCTGCTTCCTTCAATATCCCAGCAAAAGTACTATAAGGGACAAGCAACCTAAATACAACACCAAACAAACAAGGAGAAGAGCACCTTCTACCATCGTTCACACACCCAGCTTCGGTCCTCTCTATCAACCTACTCTCTTTCGACGCTCACTCCAATATCGACTTCATTTCAACCACCCGCTTTCATTTTCACCTGCATGTGTCATGAATCGATAAGGTCGGGTGGAACAGGATTACCTTCCGTTTGTACACCTCAACGACCAAATCGGCAGAGGGCAGGGATACAGATCGCCGTTTTGAGGTTCATGTATTACTCGCTTGTACTACAATTTTCTCTATCCTCCCGCTCTCTTGGATACGCCCAACCAAAAACACAACCAGCCCTGCATTCAAAACGGCCAAACATAAACAAACCAAAATAATATGAGCGCCGCTGCCTTCTTGCCTTCCGTGCCTTGCATAACCTCAGCAGGAGTAGCAGCGACGAAAATGAAAAAAATGAAAAAATGAACCAACAGCAGGCGACAGAACATCATAACAACAACAACCACAACGAAAACATCGGCCCGCATGTCCAGAAATGATCTCATAGCACGTTTGACTACGGCACCATACATTTTATTTTGTATTTTTTTATTTTTCGACCTCCTCAACCTTTCCTTTCCCCATTGTTCAAACTCCATCCGACTAACCAGCAACTGTATCCGTTTTACTCTTTTTTTTTTTCTTGTCCTCGAAATGCATACACGCTTTTCTTTTTCCGCTCTGCTCTTGCAGGAGGAACCATCGGCACGGGTCTGTTCTTGGCCTCGGGAGTGTCGATTAACGTTGCCGGCCCCGGATACTCGATGGTTGCTTACTGTCTGATTGGAACGATGGTCTTCTGCTTCATGTCGTCTCTTGGTGAGATGGCCACTTACCTGCCCATTACCGGATCGATCAATGCCTACGGAACCCGCTTTTTTGACCCTGCCCTCGGATTCATGCTAGGTACGTATCCATGTCGCTATGCTAATGTCTTCGGTATCGCCGTTCACCCTGAGAATCATGAAAAGATTTTCTTCCCCTTCAACTCCTGGTGGATCGACTGTGACAAAATGAAACTATGAGAGACCCACCCTCTTATCGCTGCCTTCGTTCCTCGTGGACGTCATTCTAACGTGACGACCTAGGGTACAGGGCTGAACTGGAACAACAGCACTCCTGTGTACATGTACATGTGCTATCGCAAGCTACTAGTGTGTTGCTAGCAATGTCGCACATTCTCTTTCATGTCACTAACGAATGAGTTCTATTTTCTGTCTTAATCGCGCATGCATCAATTAGGCTGGGTCTACTGGTTCTCTTGGTCTATTACTCTTGCTACTGAATTGGTCGCCGCCGGCTTGATTATCTCATACTGGATCCCAGTAGAGACTTGTCCGGGCTGGGTTTGGGCCCTTGTCTTCATTGTCGTCCTTACCTCGCTCAACCTGACCACCGTCAAGGCTTATGGTGAGACCGAGTACTGGCTCAGTTTGATCAAAGTGCTCGCCGTCATCGTTTTCATCATCGTCGGTTTCCTCTACATCGGTGGCGCTGTCGGTACCCGCATCGAGGGAGCCCCCAAGCCCGGTACTGGAGTCTTCAACATGGGCCCCTTCCACGGTGGCTTCGTTGGTCTGTTCTCAATCTTCTTGAACGCCGGTTTCTCGTTCCAGGGAGCCGAGCTGGTCGGAATCGCTGCCGGAGAGACCAAGAACCCCCGCAAGAATGTCCCCCGTGCTATCCGTCAGGTCTTCTGGCGCATCTTGATGTTCTACGTCCTTACCATCCTGATCATCGGAATGACCATCCCCTACAACGATGAGGCCCTTGCTAACACAGGCGGCAGCATCAAGTCCTCGCCCTTCACCCGTGTGTTTGTCCAGGCCGGTATCAGCATCGGAGGTGACATTATGAACGCTGTCATCTTGGTCGCTGTCCTTTCTGCCGGTAACTCGGGTCTTTACGCCTCCTCCCGTGCCCTCCACACCTTGTCCAAGGAGGGCAATGCCCCCAGGTTCCTTGGTTATGTCAACCGCTGGGGTGTCCCCGTCTACTGTGTCCTCGCCACGTCCTTGATCGGCTGCTTGGCCTTTATTGTTTCCCTCCCCCAGATCGGTCAGGGCGAGGCCTACAACTGGCTCTTGTCCCTGGCCTCAACCACCGGTTTTATCGCCTGGTTGGGTATCGCCTTCTCCCACATCCGCTTCCGTATGGCCTACAAGGCCCAGGGTCGCGTCCTCTCCGATCTCCCTTTCATCTCGAACTTGTACCCCTTCGGTCCCATCTACACGATCGTCGTCTGTGTGGTCATTCTGATCGGCCAGGGTTACACCGCCTTCTCGCCCTTTGACATCAAGTCCTTCCTGTCGGCCTATGTGACGCTCCCCTTTGTCTTTATCCTCTACTTTGGAAACAAGTTCTGGGCAAAGACCAAGATCCTCAAGCTGGTCGATGTTGACCTCGACACTGGACGGAGCTTCCTCGACACAGTCGTGCCTGTCATGGATAGCGAGTCGGAGAAGAACATGAAGAAGCCTAGCGTCGTCAAGCGCGTCATGGCCAACGTCTTCTAAAAAACTTTAGTTCAGTTGAGGCATTTACAGACATACTTAGATTCACTCCTTCGCATACCACTTTACACAAATACATAAAAACATTCATTTTTTTACGACTACTTGCAACGAAAAGGGCGCTAGGCGGTTGGTTAGTGTTGTTGTTGTATCTGAAGCAATGGTCCCTCCTTAATTTGCGAAAGGACAAGGAGGGGGAAGGGGCACAAAGAAGAGGAGAAGTAGCGTTTGAGCCCGTTTCGTGTCCTGTCAATCCCGACCGTTGTTGTTTTCCTTCGAGGCGCCTCTCGCGTGGTCTAAAAAACATGGGTCGTACGAATTATTATGAGCGACTACACAAACACACAACCAGCAACCACTGTTTGATGTGGAAACGAAGAACAGGGAAACAGGGATGGTTATTTGCTGTGCAGAGATAGGGGACATTCCAGCCCACTTGCGACACGACAACGTGCCATCAAAAGACCCTGCATTGATTGTCACTCACACACTCACCTCTTCCTTTCCAAAGGTTCATCTCTAGTAGAAACGATAGGCAGCCAGCTAGGTATAATGGAACAACATACATCCACAACCCGTCCCAGCCGCCGCCCCAGCCCTCGAACTCAACCTCGACCACCAAGACAACACGGCTGTGACGAAGAGAAAAAGGCATAAGGAGACGGTGTTGTCGAGAACTATAATCTATTCTGCCCAACGAAAACGAGGGGAAGGAGTTGTAGTTAAGGCTATGGTCAGCCAGCATGGGTAGGTATGGGAGATGGACCATATATGATGAAAGAAAGAAAAAAAAAAAGGGACCGAAACCGGACCTTTCTTCGTTTTCTTTGGATAAAATGTGTAATTAAGGAGAAGGAAAGAGTAGGAGTAATTATTGAAGAGCGAAAGGGAGAACAATAGAAAACTATGGATACCATTCAAACACAAACACCCCAAACGAGTCATGGGCTATGGACTCATAGGTAGGACACGACAAGATAGACAACTCCTGGCTTTGCGCATGCTCTCATACAATTTCATTCAGTACTAGAACAACGACTTCCTAGTCCTTTTATTACGCGTTTGAGCAATCGTGCTCCTAGTCATTTCTCTCTCTCCTCGATTATATACAACGTTCAAGGGACATTGGCCTCGGTGAGTTCGAGAAGAGTAGCATTGCCTGTTTAGTACTTACTGAGGCAGATGGTCAATATCATTGTGTTGTCGATTGCTCATGTTTCCGTTCCTTTGTAGCCTTTGAGCGCGTCCAGAAGTGAATGTATGACAATCACGAGAGCGAGGAGAAAGAAAGAGGGGCGCGTGCTGCTCTTTTTGCTATTTTGTCCCGAACAGACGGAGGCACCACACAACAGACATGGCACATTCCTCAGTTCTCACCAGTCAGAGGCATCAAGGTCCCTTTGTTTGTGATTCGTTCCTGGTCAACTACCTCGAGCGAGAGAAGGATGGCCAAGCGTAGCATGGGCATCGTGCTCCAGCGATGGGTTGAGCTGGCGGCTTTATTTTTAAAAGGCTACCTTTTTTTCTCTCACACACACACACACACACTCGCAGTCTCTCTCTCTCTCTCTTTTCTCAACTTTTTGCTTTCTCGTCATCTTTTCTGTTCCCATTCACCGGCTCTGGCTCTAGCTCTGGTATTGTTTGATATGCCTTTGCTTGACTCTAATTTTCACATTGCTTTAGGGAAAGAACCAATGTTTGCACTCATTGGAGAGGGGTGCATGCCCTTTGGCGCAAAAGTCCATTTTTAACAACGGAACCCATTCATCCTCTGTTTACCATGCTAACTCCCTTTCTCTTCTCTCTCTTGCATCCTTCGTTCATATTGTGTTTCTATTCTAGTAAACGAACCCTTCCCCGTGGATTTGTTATTATTATTACTTTTTCCCTTTTTGCATTGCGGCAAAACTAAATCATTCTTCCTTGCATCCATCCCCTTCGGTTAATACCACATTTCCTCCTATTCCTCCTTTCCCTCTTACTCCTCTCTACTGCTTCGTTGGCGCCCCTTTGTCTCCGATCTGGTCCCCTTTTCCCCTGAGCCCCAGTTCCCTGTGTACGAGAATACTACGAGTAAGGAGCTGAAAGAGATATAAAAAGGTAACCATCTCGCCCCAATTTTTTCTTTTCTTTCTCTTCATTACTCCAGCACATCTCTACAAAAAAAAGAAAGATCCTTTAGTACCTTACACAGCAACGACACACCAAAAAAAAGATACGAATCCCAAAAGCAACTCACTTATTTTTTTTTCCCCTTCTTCCTCCCTTTGTATACCACGCCTTTCTACTACATCATTCTCTCAAACACGACTACCATCTTCACCTACCCTCTTTATAAAAGATGATCTTCTCAACCACATACACAACAATCCTGGCCACCACCGCCTTGGCCCTCCTCACCCTCTCCTCGAGCCCCAACGCCGTTGTCGAAGCCCACTCCTGGGCAGACTGCATCAATTGGAAGTTCAACAAGTCCGGCGGCAATCAAGACTGGACCGACAAGGGCGGTCGTTGTATCGGATACGCCCGTCGCTTCCCTACCGGAAAGCCTTTCGGATCCCTCGACGACGCCGATCCCTCGCGCCATTACCAACAGGCCGGAAACCCCAACACTGCCCTACCCTGCTCAGACCACAAGCATGGTAAAGATGTTGGATCTGACGAGACCCGTGGCAACCCACCTTCGGCGGCTTATGGCGGCAAGTACGGTCAGATGACGGTTACGGCAGTGGGAGATACCTTGTGTGTGAGGTGGCCTGCCAAGAACCATGCTGAGAAAAATGAGGACAATACCAAGGTCCAGATTAACCTGTCCAAGAACATTGGAAAGGACCCATCCCAGCAGGACCTGTTGAAGAACACGATTGCGTTGTTGCCCTACAAGAACTGCAACCCCGGATCCAACACGGATAGGCGCGCTTGTGGTGGGTGCTTTAAGGTGCCTGTTCGTGCACAAGGAATCTACCTCCTTCAGTGGCGGTGGATGTTGAACCCGGGCGAGTGGTACACATCTTGCGCTGTAAGTTCATGTTTCTTTTTTTATTTTTGCTATTGCTCTATAACTCTATTGCTCCATGATGAGTTCTATTGTGTCCTGAGTGCTAGAACCTTGATGACTAACTTTTGCTCTCTTTCATTTTTGCTCTATGCTATTTAGGACATCCAAATTGGAGGCAGCGGCAAAGCGAGCGGATCGGTCTCCAAGATTGTCAACAGCATTGTCGCCAAGGGAAAGAAGGGCAAGGGAAAGAAGGGCAAGGGCAAGAAGGGCAAGGGCAAGCACTAAATGTCATAACGACAGCCAACCTAACCTCTTCCTCCCATTCTTCTCGTACGGAAAACGTCCTATGAACATCTCCCTCCGCCTTTCAAAAAAATGTACGCACTTTATCTAGAGTAGATAACTGCCATTTATCCTTCAAACTACATAAATCATATCCTTTTCTCTTTTCTCTCACTTACATGGCTGGTTTGAACAGAGTCAATGATCATGTTATGCTTCTTTCGCTACACAAAAAAAGAAAAATGCTCTTGTTCTCACTTCCTGTTCTGCTTGATACACACTAACCGCAAGATTTTTGCTCTTGTGAAGGAAGAAAGGAAGACGAACATGGGAAAAGGACAGCCAAAGTGTCACATATTTTTCTGAGGAACACCTTTCCGCAAAAGTTCCACGATTCACAAAATCAGATGACGCGTTTAGACCAGCTCTCCATGCCTAGCTAATAGTTATCTAGGCGCACTAAAGAAAGCTAGCCCATTCATACCATGAGCTTTTTCCATGTCAAATGTGGAGAGCGTCCCAGCGGTTTGGCTGTAGGACCTCATGGTTTGTAAGGAAAAGGGGTCTAGGCATCCTTGTCACAAACCACCAACTTTTCCTCGCTTTCGCTTTTTTTCTGTGGGAAGGGCTATATGCCACGAAGGTACGTATGTACGTGAACCACCTCCATTCATCCCTTTCATAGCCAACACCTTGTTCAGGTGCTCACTTCAATTGTGTATATTTGGCTCGCAGAGACACGACCTAAAATAGCTAAGAACGACCGACCAAAGCGCATTTTATTTTTATTTTATTTTTTTGCTGCCAGGGCATGAAAAGGTGGGGTGTGTGTCCGTGTGTGGAGGGGTGAATGTTCGCCTGTAGTGGATGAAATGAAAGAAAGAAACTACGAAAAGGGGAAAAGAGCTCCCATGCTGGATATATTGTAATATGAAGCCCGTGGATAGGTGGCGCCAGCGCCAAGGAGGTGTCTGAAGGGGTATAGAGCAGTAGGAAAGCAGGGTAGAGGGTGGCAGGGATGCATGCCTGTGTGATGTTGGAATTTGTTCTGGTTACTTTTTCAACCCCCCTCGCTCTTTTATTACGAAGGTGTCTAAAATAAGAGCACCATTCACCAGTACCGTGCCTTGCATACATAGTAGGTGTGCCACCCCTGGGGTCGAGCTGAAAAAGTGATGTGTTGTTCAAAAATAGGTACGTATGCAGACAGAGACAGCGGCGGCCGCTGCGGAGAGCTATGGGGGGAGGAATATGTGCAATAATTGTCCGCGGCGGAGGTTTCTCTTCATTTGGTGTGTTTCTAATTCCCATTGCGTTGAAAGATGACCCATGGACGCACAAACAGAGGTGGATCCTTGTCAGATTCGATGCCGCCTATTGAACATACCAACCAACGTGAAACGATGGGATTTTGAAGAGAGTGAGGCGATTGGATAGGATAATTGGTTATTGTTCTGTTCCTGAGATTTGTCTAAGACGCGAAAGGTTTTAGTGATCCATCTTGCTTTTTTTTCTTTCAGAACCACTCGTTTTACTGATCTCTGGTCTGAAGAAATGGAGAGACTTAGATGTGTTTGCTGGCAAGCAAAACAACAAATGGCGCATGATTATGTGTCTATCTGCATTGCATTCATCCCTCCGGACCGGCGATGTCGATCTTTGTTGACACCAACCTACTATCCACGCTAGTTATCAAACGGCCCTAAAAGTGTCCACAGGGACAAACAATACGACTAGAATGTTTAGTGAGTTTTGGTGTCACCAATAGAACCCTCTGGAGAACCAGTCTATGCCAATCTAGGAAAATGTAAGGACACGCCCCGCCAAGCCTGGACAAAGAGAGAGCGAGCCGTGTGCCCATGAGGAGAAGAGGGGGAGTCGCATTCCTTTTAGTGTTTTTATTTCTGGCAAAAGGTTTAATTGGCAAACAAACGTCAGTCGACGATGAACGCTTTTCCTGAGGCGCAATTCAAAAAGTGGGAAAGAAAAGCAATTTATCTTGGCTCTCATCCAACATCTGTTGATATTTTTTTTGAGCCCTCGGTTTTTTTTATCAGAGAGACAAACAACAAAAAACAACACCAAGAAAACAACGATTGCCCCTGGGTTGTCCTTGCTTGGTTTTCCTCGGTGTTGTGTTGTGTTGTGTGGTCCACCCCGGGGACAAATGTGAGGATAGAAAGGAGAAAAATAGAATGATTCTTGTGTTCAAGAAAAGAACGGCCCGCCATTCATGTGCAGAGTGGTTGATGTTTTCAATGCGGACAGCATATGAATGAACGAACGCCACCCCTGTTTATTTTTACTTCTAATGTATGGCTGACTATTGTTTTTTATTTTCTTTTCCGCTCGATCATCTTTGCATATGGGGCGTAATGGAGCGAGATATGCACAATGTACACATTGTGCTTGCTCGTTTGGAGCAAACAGGCAAGCCTGGTTCTCTTTCAGTGGCAATGAATGGCTCCGCTTTTGGGATGTGGGCAACCTTCCTGCTATTTTGGATCGTCCACCTCCCCCTCCCTTTCCTGTGAGCATTTTTCTTTTTCAAAGAAACCTCGAGGCGACCAATCAAGCCCTTTCGCTCCCTTGTCCAGCCCGCAAACCTTGACGTTGGTGGCTTCCCTCTCTATTCATCTTTGGTTGCGCCTTCAAGTCCGTTGGGTACCCCTCGCATTCACCACCTCTGTCATCCCATCTTTCGACCCTCAACGACCCCCCGGGCAACCCCTCGAGAAGAAATGGTCGCTTTGTATAAATACAAGAGGAAGCCCCGTTGTTAAAGGTTCCCTTGTCTCACTATACCCCCAACCTCTCTTACCACCCTTCGCCTTCACGCCCCTCCCGCTATACTTCCTAGCACCCATTAAACTTACCTTACCCTAAACACACCTCCATCCTCCCACCTCCAACCTCTTTTATCAACAATGGTTCTCAAGTCCTCCTTCACTATGCTCGTCGTCGCCTCCTTGGCTGTCTTCGGCACCTACACCCCCCAGGCTGAGGCCCACTCCTGGGCCGACTGCATCGACTGGAAGTTCAACAAGTCCGGCGGCAAGCAGGACTGGTCCGACAAGGGAGGCAAGTGCGTCGGTTTTGCCCGTCGCTTCCCCCTCCACAAGGCCTTCGGCTCCCTCGACTCTGCTGATCCCTCGCGCCACTACCAGCAGGTCCACAAGAACCCTAACTCTGCCCTTGCTTGCTCCAACGGCAAGGCTGGTGCCGAGCCCGGCTCTGACGAGACCCGTGCCAACCCTCCCTCCAAGGCCTACGGTGGCAAGTATGGTCAGATGACCGTCACCTCCGTCGGTGACACCCTCTGTGTCCGCTGGCCCGCCAAGAACCATGCCAAGAAGAACGAGCCTAACAACATGGTCCAGATCAACTTGTCCAAGGCCAAGGACGCCAAGGATATCTCCCAGCAGGAGTTGCTCAAGAACACCATCGCCCGCTTGCCCTACAAGAACTGCAACGCCGGATCCAACGAGGACCGTCGTGCCTGCGGTGGATGCTTCAAGGTTCCCGTCCGTGCCAAGGGTACCTACCTCCTCCAGTGGCGCTGGATGTTGAACTCCAACGAGTGGTACACCTCCTGCGCCGATATCCAGATCAAGTAAAGAGTTTTTCTCCTTCGTTCTGGATTGATGCGTTTCCTCGCTCCGTTCTTTCATTTTTTTCTCCCCTCCCCAAAGCCCATTTTTCTTTTAAAAATAAAAAGTATCCTTATAAAAAAAGAATAAAACTCACAAGTCATCTACAGCATTAGTGCATATGCTGTAGTGTGCGTTTCTTTTTCATTTCTATCGATAAACACATCATCGTTGTTCCATGGATCATGTTGTTTGCAGAAATATGAAATGGCTATGCGGAACGCGGCAGCAGGCAGCATTAGGCTTGGACCCTTTTACGAGGCAAGAGCTTCAAACTAACGCAGACCGTTCGCCTAACCCAGGCGGTGTACAAAAACTCCTCATTTGGTATGGCGTAAACCTAACAGACAAAGAAGGTAAATGGCATTTGTGTGCATTCCACCTGGACTGAGAGTGAGAGCATCTCCAACTAACAAAAGGTCGTCTGCCCCCAATTGTTGGTCGCCCGCCTGCTTTATTTACCCTGGTAAAGGAGACAGGGGGACGACACGTGACTCAATCCTCTTGCCCTGTAGAATTACTTTTTTTCCTTCTCACTCAACCCTCCCTCGCCTTCGCCTCTCTGCAACGGATGATAAAAATATCTATTTCTGTTGGACCGAGCCATGAGCAGCAAAAACAATGACCCTCCACACAGGTGGGGTTGAGGTGTGTGGTGTGAGAGCATCGCATGTGGTGACAAGAATTAACAGGACAAAGGACAAAGGACAAAAAAGCACATAATCCCATCCATGCGAAACGAAATAAAGAAGGCAAGAGGTCCCCTTTTAGTCGATCGTGATCATGCGGGCTATCATAGGCCACATTACGAGCGTCAACCTGAGACTGGGGTTCTTTTCTTCTTCGACAGTTGTTTCGGGTAGTGAAAAATTAGAAGAACTCACAGTAAATCTTCAGTTCTTTGTTGCCAATATGTTTTTTTCCCTCTTCTTTCTATACCGACTGATAATGCGGAGCGCCTACCGGAGCAGCTGTACCTTGCCCACGCTCTCGTCGTTTTCCTCTTCAAACCCTCTTTTTCTTTTCCACAGCCAAGCATCAATTTTTGATCGTGTCTTCTGAAGCTGTCGACTTTCTAACAAGACAAGTTTGAATGAGAGCAAAAGAAAGGCGTAACTCTACTTCCCTACTCGTTGCCTGGCAAATTGTTGATGTGGTGAAGGGCGTCAAGCAATCATCCCATGTCAGATTCTCATCGAGGCGCAGAGAGAGGACGAAGATGGGCGCGGTGATGATCAAGTTGAGGGGACAGATAGGACAAGTAGAAAACGAGAAAAAAAAAGAGAAAGAGAGAGGAATGAGAGCTCATTTCTGTTGGTGCTACCCTACAAAGATAAAATTACAGAAAGGCACGCCTTGTGTCTTTCATATGTTTCCTTCTCACTCTCTCTTTGTCCCTGTCGACATCCCTTGAGCACTTTCTTATCTGGCATGATTTATTTTATTTCCACAAACATTGCATGCAGACACCCAAGACACAGGACACAGGACACAAGAAGCATACGCGTGTGCCCTCTTTTGTTCCCTCAATGAGAAGAGTAACAGCTAATAATAATTGGGATGCATAAGGTACCATTTCAAGCTGCCTCGTGTGCCAAAAATGTTCCCCGATGGGCCATACAGGGTTAACGGGGGTCTCACTCGATTCCGTGCGAAGCTAAGGAAACCAAAAGGGAACTCATGGGGAAATGAGAAGGCGGATTTGACAGGTTTGCCTTTATCTCTCTGCCCGTCTAGCGGTGTATGTGTGTTTGCAACAGCCATGCTCTAATCTCGATACTTCCTGCTCTCAAGAAAAAGAAGGCAGAGAAGGAAGTGAAGAGAGGGGAAGGGATGGGAAAAAATAGGTTCGTGCTAACGAACATGCAGGAACAGGGGGATATATGGATCCGGGTTCAGGAACCAAATCAGGGATCGGTGCTTGAACAAAGAGGGAAGTAGATGAGAGAAGGATGAGTGACATCCACCATTCTTTCGAACCCTTGATCTTGTCAACGACTGCAACCATGGTGTGTGCCTGAGAATGCATTTGAGATGCGTGAGGAATCGGCATATACAAACTCAAACCTCATCATGACCGCATCCTTATCCTTATAACCGGCTGTCAACAATGAGCACATACTCTCCAAACAAAAACGAAGAGTAGCGTCTTCCTTCTTCACTCCGTCCTCTTGTTGTTCTTACTTCCATCCTCCTCTTCTTCTGTTGAACACCGCACAATCGCATCAACAAAGAACCGGAGCCCTCTTTCCCTTTTCCCTCTCCCTTAATCTTCCTTGAATTTCGTTCATGGCATCAACACAAACATAACATTTGCTGTTGTTTATTTTTCTCATTGATGCAATCGAAATTACTAGCAGGGTATGGCATGGCCAGCTTGGCACCTTTCCCTGTCCATGTTTATCACACTATTTGACGCGTCTCTACCACACACACGACAAACAATGACAAGGCAAGGTCAAGCATGGACATGCCAACGACAACAACAACTGCACTCAATGACGACAAGCAAACTCGTTCGGAGGCAATGCGGTGAAAGACTCCTCTGTACTTGAAATTGCCGGTTAACGCGTTGGTTGGTTTGGTGTTCGCATCATAACGTTCATTTTCGTCAGTGTTTTTTTTTATCAACTTGTCCGCTATTTGCAACGATGGGTGCGAAATCAATTTAATCGCCAATGCCATGGTGGACAGAAGAAGCTGCCGCACCGATGAAAGTTGATGTATAATATCTTTTTCTCGATGGCAATAACAACACCGATGTCGATGCCATTGAACAAAAAGCCCAAGGGTGGCTAATGGTTCAACTTTTTCTGTCGGAGTGTATCCATTTGGGTTGTGTGATAAACAAGATTGGAATGTAAAGTTGTCCATCGGAAGAAGAAAGAAAGAAGACGAGTGCTCAATGGTTGGCCAAGGTCAGTCAACAAACAATAACAGCCAACGGACTCTAATTATTGTACCAGTCCAACCACAGCAGACACCTGGACTGCATGGGGTACAAAAAGCGATATATGTGCTCACTTTCAATCCTTCTCCGCCCTGTTTCCACTTCTTTGCTTTCTTTCTCATTTTTCTTTCCTTTCCTTTATTGTCATTTCTTCCCTTCCTTTACCTAGTCTCCACTTCTCTTTTCGTTTCTCCTTTTCATCATCATCTATTTATCCTCCTCATCTACTTCTCATCCCTCCCTCTCAACTCATCCTCGCTCTCTTCTTTTCGATAACGACAACTTCGCATTGCTCCTCTTTGTATATCATTCCTTCAGTTACGCCCACTCTCATCCTTCTGCACACGCAATTTAAATTATATTATCTCATTCCTTCCCTCTCTTCTGTTGGTCCTCTCACCTCCCTCGGTAACAATAACAAACAACAAACATCATAATCATGGATACCAGTACCAGCAGTAGGAGGAGCCATGATTATCCTCGACACGAGAACCCAGCGCGGTCACCAACACCACAGGGACATACACACCACAGGAACTCGACTTCTCCCTCTGGCCTCTCAGTCGCCACTTTTCCAGCTCGATCAGCAAGCATCGATGACACCCCAGCTACTTCAACAACATCATCCTCGCCCAGCTCTCCCTTCTCCTCTACACAAAACCCATGGTTGCCCGAGTCAGCACTCCAGAACACATCCTCTTCATCTACTTCTACACGTCCTTCGCCCATGTCGCCCTTTACACACCCTCTCGACTCTACCAGACCATACACAACAAACCAGAACAACCACCCGTCGCCATTGCAACGCAGTGGCAGTTTTCAGTGCCCTCTGCCTGGTCGCTGTGGATCGGGGATGCCCATGACCCCAGGCGAGGAAAAGATGGTCTTTGACAAGGGTCTCCTCTTCAGTTCTCACCACCGTCCCTCGACTCGGTCTGACCCCACGAACGAGGACTTTAGCGAACCCTTGCCAGAACTGCCGTCGATGATGGTGGACAGGGCAAGCTCAGACCCAGAATCGATCGCCATCACCACAGCAGGAGGAGAGCGCTACAATGGAGAGACGACATCGAACAGTTATCATCAGAGCAGTGATACGAACTTTTCTGAGCGTGATATTCGCTCAACGCCCATCTACATGCCTGTCATCCACCACCCCTCGCCAACAACACCTGCCGCCTCGACCCATTCTCCCTCCCAACGGTCGTTCACCCCTAGGACCCCTTCGCCCAACCCCTCAACTCTGACAGTTCAACAGCCACATTCAGCCCAGACCTCGACTTCATCACTCCATAGTCCTCTTGACGACAACAGCAATAGCACGCCTTGCTCTGTACCTTCGCTGTTACGCCCAGACTCTGTCATTTCTTTCCCGGATTCCTCACCCCTCATGGCTCCTAACGTTCTTGCGGCAGTTGATGCTCGTTTGAAAGAGTCTAACCGTCAAAAGGCTCTCGCGTCCTCTTTGGCGCATCCTGTTCGCCCCCACCTACAACACTCTAGTACCTCGCAGGGAAGTGGCAGCAGTAGTAACGCCGCCTCATCGTCATCATCAGCAGGACCTATCTCGGGATCTGCCTCTCCTTCTGTTTCCCCATCGATCATTACTCATAACGACGTCCTTCAGAGTTCAGAGTTGATTCTGAGTCGCGAGCAGCTGTTTGACGCCCTGAACGGAGACGATGATGATTACGAAGAGGATGAAGAGCTGACCCATCCAAACCCTAGATTCGCCCGCAATCAACAACGCTGGGGTGCCTCGTCTTCAAGGTCTTCGCTGCCACGAAGCTCAGCTTCGTCCTACAGGAGTGGCAGTGGAATCGAGCTCAACACCAAGGTCCAGAAACCTGTCCCTGCCAAGTTGACTGCCAGTGATATCGATTCTGGCAGGGGTTACAGCGGCAAGGAGAGGGAGTGGGTCAGCGCGGCGATGGTGACCAAGGGTGGTGCTGACAGCAAGGAGAGGAATTCGACACTGGATTCGACCACGGATCTTTCATCGGCTTATCCTCAGACGAGTAACTGGCTCGAGAGTAAAAACCGGACTAGCCGCAGGTGGCGCCGGACTTGTTGTGCGGTCGGGCTACTAGTTTTTGTTGCCATTATTGCCGGCATCGCGATTGGATTCGTCTCCAGAAAGAACAAGGTCGATGGACTTGCTCCTCCAACCTCCGTGTACGTCTCGTCGCAACTCTTCTTTTTTATTTCGCATTTTCAGAGATTTGGATCCAACAGATGTTTGAAAAATAAGTGGTTGATACTAATCTCTTCAATGTTTTATATTCTCTTCAATAGTGACCCAGAAAAGCCAACGACGGTGCCGGTGATTACCCAGTTCCCACCAAACCCGAACCTGCACAAGTCCTTTTACGGCCTCGACTATAACCCCGCCAAGACGATCATGCCCTGGTGCGGCGCCGGAATCCAGGACGTTGTCAATGATATCAACGTCATCTCCCAACTCACCAACCGCGTCCGTCTCTACGGAATGGACTGTGGACAAGCAGACCTCACCTTCCGGGCGATCAACCTCCTCAACCTCAACTCGACCATGAAGGTTGTCCTCACCGTCTGGGTCGACAACAACGCTACCACCTACCAACGCCAGTACGACACCCTCTTCCGAGTGCTCGACACGTATGGTACCAACATGGTCCAAGGGATCAGTGTTGGAAACGAAGCCATCTTTCGCAACGATATCACGTTGGCGGATCTCGGCGCTCGTATGGCGACTGTCAGGAGTGAGATCAAGAAGCGCTATAGTGCCAATATCCCGATCTTCACATCAGAGATTGGCAACAATTTGAACTCTACTCTTGCGGACGTGTCGGATGAGCTCAGTGGCAACTTGCATCCGTTCTTTGCGGGCGTTGAGGTCTCGAAGGCGGCAGAGTGGACATTCAGTCAGTATAAAATCAAAATTGAGGACAACCCTACGCCGAGTGGACTTAATGGGACCATCTCGGAAGTCGGCTGGCCCTCCGCCCCTGCTTCCGCCGTCAATAGTAAGTCCTCATCCCCCTTTTTTTCTCTTCCTTTTTTTTATTTGATTGTATCCTTCTTTTCATATTTTTTTTTTAGTTGCTAACGTTGGCATCTTTTTTCTGTCTCGTTTTTTATAGTGCCATCGGCGGTTCCAGGCATAGCCAACTTGCAAACGATGGTGGACGCGTTCATCTGTAAAGCGAACGCGGCAAAGATGCCTTACTACTGGTTCGAGTACAAGGACGAACCCTGGAAGAATGATCCCGAGTACCCTATCGAGCCTAATTGGGGTCTCTTTGACAAAGGTGGGAACCTCAAAGTCAAGATCCCAGACTGCCCTGCACCCTAATCCTACTAGTTTACTATTCCCCCCTCCCCCCACCACCACCACTACCCTTCTTCACTCATTTTCTGTACTGTACATAATAATCTTGCAAACAATAATACTTTTTTTTACTCTACATTTTGAGATCTCTGCAGAGTGGGGTATCGAAACTGGTGCATGTCTTTGGCGTTTGCAATGGGGTTGGATTTGAACCGGCTCCGGAACGAGACTTGCGTTGGCCCAAAATGGAGACCAAGTGTCGGAAGTGAAAGGATGTTGGGCGTTGCTGTCAGCTCTGCTCCTCTGTCGTCTTCTTGTGTAGCATATTGGGAGAGGATGATGGGGATGGTGAAGCGCGCTTTTCCCGGCACAGTAGCCATCCACTGATCCAGTCTCTTCAGCCCATCCGCCTCCTGCTCCTGAGGATGCAGCTGCAATCGACGGCGTATCACCTCAACATCCTTTGCATTCAACGGCCGGATCTGTACTTGCTCACTCGATCCTGTTTGCAATGACAAGGTTCTCTTAAATCCGAAAATGCTGAGGAAGTACCGTTGGTCCCAAAGAACGTCCACACCATCCTTGAGCGGGACAGATACAGTTGCCAAGAGTTGGTCAGCATGGGACAAGGGCTGTCGGCAGATTGTCCAGTGCTCGGGCACGCCCTTGGACTTGCGCGGGGGAGAGATGATAACGCCAGCAATGGTGATCGGCGTCCTGACAAACGGTGCCGATAATCCTTCTAAGTCTGAAGATTCTGACTGCTCCTGCTCCTGGTGGTTTGGCAGAGAAGCCTCAAGTGTGCTGGAGACACGTTTCGGTCCGCGCTGCCTCAACTTGCGATAGACCGTCGGGCTGGCACTCGTACTAGACGAGCTAGAGTCCGATTTGGTGGCGGTGGGAGACAGCGAGTTCATCGGTAGACCAAGTCCTGGAGTCAAATGCTGTTGCTGTTGCAGGCGTAGATGCTGCTGAAGGGTTTGAATATCCTCTAACCTGGGGTTGTGATCTTTGCAGTTCACCCATCGCACCAGGAATGATAGCAGCCGAGTCGACACATGGTTCTGTGATGGCTGTAGCCACTCCACGGACGTGCTTTCTGTTCCTGCTGGGGTTGAGTTTGTACTGGATCCGAGTCTAAAATGGCAGGCGCCATTGGTATTGTCGAACCAAATGCCCTTGATCCAAGGAGTGACTATGCAAAGTAGGGAGCGGCCATCAGTCATTAGGCTCAATAGTCTTGAGCGTCGAGCGTGAACAGTGATTGCTATGCTTGGTATATGGTAAGTACCTTGCTTCCAAGCGGCTTGTCGATGATGGTTCATCCTGTCCCGAAAGGCGAGCATCGCAGTGGTCGAAAGCGGGTGTATTTCATTACCATGAGGGTACCCTGACACCCCTGCGAGAGAATCTTGATGCTGCTGGTAGTGGCGGATCACATTTCGTTGATAATCCAGCGATTTGTTTGACGGATCTTCAACCCACAGAGTTCCTGCTTCTTCACACGTTGCCCTTAGACGGTCCTATAACCATGAAAAAATAGCAGTTAGTATATTGTGCAACCTCAAAGTCACTCTTGACGCTATCACGTACGACCCTGACGCGACGTACCTTGGACACCTGAAGTAATGGCCTGACAACGCGAATATCCAGCGCCTCAGGACTAGCCAAAACACCCAACGGTGCAAGACTCTGTATTCCTGCAAGTCCATCAATCCCGCTCGCTCTAGAGAACCTGAAAAGAGTCGTCTCAACTTGATCGCCGGCGTGGTGGCCCACAAATAGATCTTCGATTGAGAGGTCGTGGCATTGCTGGGCAATGGCCTTGTATCGCCTTAGTCGCGCCTTTGTCTCGAGATGTGTCTTGTCTGGTTTTTGAGATGTCTCAGTAAGGTGGCTATCCTGGTGGGGGTTGTGGTCCAATTCCAAGCTGTCGGGTGTTGACCAGTCCAGCATAAGCACATGCGGGACGATATCTATTCAAAAGTGAAGTTTGACAGAGTTGAAGGTTTCTGTATTAGAAACGCTTGGATTCTACAGCGCCCTACTTGTCTCGTGGCGCTTGTCATATGGTTGTAGTGGTTCATTTTTGCTGTCCTGATCCTGTCCTTACTTAATTTCTGAACTTGCCAGGCAACATAGTTCGCCTCCTCCGTACTATTGTCCCGTAGCTTGTGGTCGACAATAAAGGCATGGAGTCTCGTCGTGGCTGAGCCATGGGTACTGCGACTCTGAGGGGAGTAGTGGCGTGACAAGAGGGTGGCCAGGGCCATACTGTCAACGCCACCCGAGACAGCAATGCCTACATTCCGGTCAGTGGCGTCCTTCCTTCCATTTTCACGCAGTTGCTCCTTTTGCGACTCATTAGCAGCGGCAAGAGAGGAGGTGTCCTGGTGATGTTGATGTTGACGGAAGCGAAGGGCAGTTGCGTGTGCTGCTGTTGATTCGAGAGGGTCGATCCACTGTGCAAACTCCTTGGCGGTGATGGCAGCAAGTCCTGTGGTGCGGGTCTTCATGTCATTCTAGCTGTCCCGTGAGTGTTGTGTGTTCGCGACAAGATGGAGAAGGTGGAAGGGACAAGGTGGAAGGGAGAGGATGCATTTTTATGTCAAATTGAATGCACAGGTTGTCATAAAAAAGTCACACTTTTTTTTTTTTTTTTTTTTTTTTTTTGGATATTTTCGCCTTTCCTCACCATTCCTCCGTCCGTCTCTTTGTCTCCTTTGGCGTTCGAGGAGAAGAGTGTTGTGTCGAGGGATGCAGACGCCGCGGTGTGTGAGTGATTAAGCATTCGAAAAGGTTGTGTAATTCAATGTTGTTCCTGCCTGTGGCAGTCGCGTTCACTTTACTCTTTATTATGCTCAAAAAAGAGATACCCCTTCCATTTCAAGAAAGGGCTGCAAAGATACCAGGACTGAATACCTATCTATAGCTCTGGATACTCAAGGTCGTTTCCTCCGCAGATCAATATTATCCCGTTCGATATCGATCAGCCTGACTCCTATTGAACTCGTCGATAAGAGTTGTTGCGTCTCGTCTTCTAGTCGCGCAAGCGTGTCCCTCAGATAATCCTCGGCGCTTATGCGACGCGTTTTTTGATGATTCGCGCCGTGTCCTTCTATGCAATTGCTATATACAGCGTTACAAAGTAAGAACAGAGACAGAGGTCAGCTAAGCCAAGCGTTGGATCCATTATAACAGCAAGCAACGCGTGTCATTTACCACCGATTTCAATACCTTATCTTGTTGTCCTCGCATGTATAAAATGATCCAGATGACAAGCTGTGGTGTGAGAGAGGCACTGTATCGGCCCTCTCAAGACTCTTCTCTAAGGAAATCCTCCTCTTCTGATTGCTTGTCTCAGGTCCAACCACCTCGTTGTCACTACGTCCGCGATATGAAAATGGTTTGTGAAATGTTAGCTATTTGTCCCCTCAAATCATGACAAGCCCAAATGCCAATTGGTCGTTCAGTGTGAACCTACGAAGAATCAAAGAAGCTGTCAGAGACTTGACTGTTGTGAGTTTGAGCGGGTGGCCTGATAGTTGCGTATGTTTGAAAAGGTTGTCCAACAGTTTTGTTAGTTTGAGAATGTAGTGCAGTAATTCACGCTCTCAAAAGGGGCAAAATACTTGTTGGCATACCTCTTGGTTTTCACTATTGACGGTGGGAGCCGTCTCTTCCTTTTTGGCGCTTGCGGAATCACGTCTGGCAAAACTGATCGTGGTTCTGATGGAGCAGAGTCACCCACGATCTCAGCACCCTCCATATTGTCCGTAGACACATCCTGTTCTGGAGGCTGATACTCATCATCACTCGATCGAAAAGCCTGCGACAAAAAGAAAGCTTGAGTAGCAACCACCGGCTCTTCTTCCAGTCCACCTCTTCCTGCGATTTCGTCCTTCTCCGCTTCCTCATTGACTGCCTTCTCCGCTTCTCCATTGACTACCTTCTCCGCTTCCGATATGGTTAGCGGAATTGTCCGCGCACTTCCTGCTGATACAGAGTCAGAGCGACTCTGCTGGAAGGATGATTGGATTCGCCTTCCTCCAACGCTGCCCAGAGTCGGATCTGCTCTGTGCGAAGACGCACCACCGCTACTGGGTGTCACTGAAAGATCCTCAATCTCGGGTTCCGGTTGATGAGGCTGCCACGACTTGTCTAGCGTTATGACCTTGGTGCTGTTGAATGCGTCCATCCCGACCGCCATATTGCTCTGCTCCGATGAGTCTTTTGGTGTAGGGTGGGGGTTGGTGTTAGTGGTATGCGGATCAAATTATCTACTGTAATCGCGTACATGCGATGGTCCTGAGTCAGTGCGCGCACATACCAAATCTCGACAAGCCGGGAAACACGCTCTTGTATCGCTTCAAAGAAAGGCGCTTCTGGCCACGGATAGAGTCTATTTGAGTATATAGGAAAGAACATTACCCTTAGAGCTGAGGTTAGCTAGAGCGTGTATTGAGAGACTAAAGCAGAAGTACGGTTCGTACCTTCAATCCAATCTGGTCGCAAGATCTTCATCGTTGGCTTGCAACTATTGATGAGTGCGAGGTAAGGGGGGTAGTCAGCAAAAAAAGTCAGGGTTCAGGGCTCAATATGTTATTCTCTATGACTTCTCGCCTGTTAAACGAATTTCTTCGCACCTTGCTTCACTAGAAGACGTCTTGTCGGTGACAAAGGCTATATCAGCGTCTGCAAGCCCCTTCACCGCACCGCCATGGTTGACTACATAAAGTGCAAAGTATAGTTGTTGGTGAAAGTTTAGTCTCTCGGTCTATTTAGGTCATGAGACACGATAGTCAAGCAAACGTGGACTGACCCCAGGTCTGCTTGTAAGAGCGCAACTCTGGTGCGAACCAGGCTGAGAATCCACTGAACATGGTGAGATGTGTTGTTGTATGCTGATGGTATTGGTGAATGGAGTGAGGGCAAAGAAAAAAAGTCGACCCTTGTTCGTTTGGTGGCCACCAAAATGCGCCGATTTGTGGCAGTCACCATTTTTTTTGTCTTTGGTCGACAACAAGACATACATGCGTTTCCTTTCACTTTCTCCACAACTCATTCCTTGTTCCTCTTCACTCTCACTTTAGCATTCAACAATGTCAAACGTTGTCGATCTCGGATTCTTCGACGCCATTCAGGCTTCCATGGAGAATGAAGCGGTAAGGATGTGAGGGTCTTGTTTTTTTCCGCAGGATACGTCTCTTACTCCTGTTCTCGTTCTAACTCTCGACGCGTTTTTTTAACTCCCCCCCTCGTTATCCCACAACAGACCACCAAGGACAATATTCGCTCGGCTGTTCGCGAACTGGACAGGACCAACAGGAACATCACAGCTGTCTTGAACCGCGTCCATTCAAGCTCAAAGGACCAAGGTACAATACATCAAATACGAAAAGACATTCGATGTAATGTCATTGTTCCATTTTTACTCACATAACCAACCCTTGCACTTTCAATTATTTAGTACCAGCCCTTTGTGCCCAGGCCCGCATTTACTTCTCGGATATCCAGACTCACATCAGCGATTTGACAAAACTCGTACCACCCCACCAATATTACAAATACAACGGGCTTTGGTCAGGACCCATGCAACAGGCTTGCTTCCTTGCGACGTTGACCATGTACCTGGAGCATGAGCGTCTGATCACGGTCGATGAGCTGGAAGGCTTTTTTGCCGGTGAGTGCGCGATGGTTGTTTCTGGGGGCATTGTGTAGGTTAAATTTGTATGGATTTGTCTAAAAATTACCTTTGATATGCCTATCATGTGCTGATAGTCAAGGTTGATCTGGATAACAACATCACGGACTTTCAGATCTCGGTCGAGGAATTCTTGCATGGAGTTGTCTCTTTGACCAACGAGCTGGTACGTTTTCGCTGTGTTCCCTAGATGCTAGCTTGGGTATGCGAGAATTGTCAATTTACGCAAACGCCCAGGAAAGCTGACCAAATTAATTCGCTCTCCATTCACCTTCTAGTCCCGATTGGCAGTCAATGCAGTGACATCAGGAGACTTTACTCGCCCAGTCCGCATTGGCAAGTTCCTAAAGGAGCTCTACAGCGGATTCCAGCTCTTGAACTTGAAGAACGATTCCCTCCGCAAGCGATTTGACGGAATCAAGGTAAGGGCATTCTGATAGAATCACAGCGAAAAAAACGCCATGATGATGTGAACCCGTAATTGCGCTTTCTAATGTTCTATTGTGTCTACTATGTCTATGGTGTTATCTATAGTACGATATCAAGAAGGTGGAGGAGATCATTTACGACCTGACTGTGCGAAAGCTCGTTGTGGCGAACACGGAACCAGTTCAGGAAGTCATCGGTACTGGAGCAGAGGTATAGCCATGAGAGAATCGGTAAATAGGAAGGAGGGGCAGGTATGAAGTGAGGCTAGTTCAAGAATCTCTTCCTTGGAAGGGAGACTACACCCCAACAATGCTTTTGCAGGTTTTTTCCCCTTGTCTTCAAGCCTGTCTGAGCTTCATCTCCTTGTTGGCCTTGTGTGCGAGTCTGACAAACTTTGTATGACGGCCCAGGGCAACAATCTTGTCGCCGACGGTGATCTCAACTGTGGTGTAGGCGAGGGATCCTCCGATCTTGTCACAGCGGGAGTTCTAGTGGCATGAAAATGGATGGTTTTGTCAATGGTCTGATCCTGGAGAAGGGTTTTGATAACAAAGGCCAGCACAGTTGTCAAAGAAGAACTTACGATGGACAACTTGTCGCCCAACTTGGCTCCAGAGACGAATGAGACATTAAGATCTGTGGAGACCCCGGTATAATGCATATCATCGGTGGCAATGGCCAATGATCCACCGAGATCGACGATGGTCGAGAGAAGACCTCCATGGCAACCTCCCAAATGGTTCTATGGAGTTTGTTTCAGTTGAAAATGAAGCGAATTATCAGCCTCAAGCTTGGTTCCAGGTACGAAGAAGTGGGTCGAGAAGATGAATCATACCAGGTGGTGAGAGGCGACATCAAGTTCGCAGAGGCAGGAACCCTTGGTGGCAGAGACCAACTTGAGCTACTTGCGGATGATGGAAAAGGTAAAAAAGTCAGTCAGTGGTCTCAATTGAACATCCTCTTGTCCAGTTGAGCGATGTGGAGGACAAGAAAAAAGAGTGAAACTTACGCCGGAGAGGGCATGGGCATCGTATCCTCCATGGTTCAAGAAGCTGGTCCAGACTCTCTTGATGTGTTGCAAAGGTGGCATTGTAGTTATATGAAGGGAAGAGGGTATGAATGAATGAGTGAGAGGAAGGATGGAATGAATGAGGAGAGCGTGGGTAAAGAAAAGTAAGAGCTGATCAATTTCGGTCCGGTGGAACAGTCTGTGCAACCCCCGGACCGAAATTCAGGTCCTTTCGAGTCACATGCGGTCACGATGTGGCTTAGACAAGGTCGGACCAGGTCTGTGAGGACCTCGAAGGTTGTGTGGTGCTGGTACTGAGAGTTGGGAGAAGGTGTTGACTGTTGAGGGTGATGATCTGACGGCATCCGCAAAGGATGCCGCTTAAATGCTGTTTTGGTGGGTCTCGCCCCCCCACGTTAGTATCGCCGTGGGGCATGGGAAAGAGTTTTTAAACGCCGAGTACCATCGTGGGAAGAAAAGTGTAAGTTGTCCACGTGATGTTCGTTAAAAAATGCGGATCCCAACAGGCGGGCGAGCCTATTTAGCATACCAGTCTGGGGTCCAGAAAAACGGTACCGTGGATTTGGCTGAGAGTTCACTTCCAGCTTAGTGCGGCTGCGTTTTCGACATGGGGGGCCATGGTAAAAACACCTATATGGGACCGAGGGCAACAGGGGATTGACACCTTCCCAAGAGATCGTTCTGATCTGCTTGGGTTTACCAGTCTAACCAAGACGACGAGGAGATTTACGGACTGTCACTTGCCACTACTCTTCGCTTGCTTGCCTTACCATTACTTCCTTATTCATCACTTCTCTGGTCAGTTCCATCATCTCTCTTGCCAGTTCCATCATTTCTCTTGTCAGTTCCATCACCTCTCTGTTCAGCATCACCTCGTGTGTTTGATTCTTTTGTTCTCCTTTCTCCTACTGCGACGGTTGCTGCACCCTCATCCCTTTTTTGTCTGCCATGGAATATCGCTAGTTCCATAGTTGTCCTGTCTGCTGACGTTTTTCAGCGTCTGCCACTCCGTTCAAAATAGCCCACAACTTGAACAATGTCTGAAAGCGACCTTCGTTGTACTGTGTGTGATCCCCCTCGAACCTTCAAGCCGATGGAACAGGAGCGCCGACACCGGCTGGAGTACCATGCGAACTCTCTCAGACTCTCACTGTGGTGATTAAGGCAAGGTCCGGTTTGTAGAAGACAAATGTCGTCGATCGTGTGAGTGGCGTTTTCATTTGCCCGATATGTGGGACATCTCTGACAACCAAAACAGGATGCCGTAAGCATTTGAAAAACAATATCTGTCAAAAGGAGAGGGACAACAACGAGGAACCGCCCAAACTAGCCCTGCCAGCTGTCACGTTACCAGAGCATCAAGTCGTTCCGTCGCCACCAGAACCACGCCAACAACCTAAAACGCATTCGTTTAATGACGTTGTTCTTTATAGTTGTGGCGATTTGCATGCCTCGGATGAAGAAAAGCGGAAGACTTTAGGCATTGTCGTTTTGGACTCAAGCCGATATCGATCAAGGATGCGTTCGGTGTAGAGCAGAATGCTCTTACTGGTCCAGTTGAATTGAATCCAGTTGTCAACCACTCGGAAATTGATAGGGGTATGCTCCAAGCCATACGGTCGCTGGGGATTATTGAGAGATGGAGACCAATAACACTTGTAGGCCGCAGTGATTATGCCGGAAAGGAGAGACATATATCAAGCTGAATATGCCGAATGAAATCATACAGGAACAGAACCGCTACACAGCTGGAAACCAAGGAGGCGGACGACCAAAGCAGGTTTACGAGAATACGAGGGGTTATATGACCCGGGTCACCTTCGGGGACATCAGACAAAATCCTGACAAAGACTGTCTCTGTTAAAAAAAGGCGTTAGAGTATTTGCTACAGAGGTCTAAGGCGACTCACTGCAAGTAAGACTCGCGAGCAGGGAGACGAGGCCGTATTTTGAACCTATTCATACACGCCTAGAAAAACTTAGGCGATGTCTAGGTGACTTACTATGGTACATTCAAGCACCCTACCTTGCTCGTGCCTGAAATTTTGATCCAGTTGTTGTGTGACAATTGGATGCATGCTGTTGTTAATTTCGTTCCTGCAAGCTCGTGAAAAGTGGGGCTCGCACAACTTCCCACTGGTCGGGACAAACAATCGAGGGAGAAAGCAATGGTTTTCCTTACATCCCTCTGCGTCCTTTTTTTATGGACGTGGAGATCAATTGGCAAAAATGAATCTCGATGAAGAAGGATAAAAGGAGGACGTATCTGGCTCCAAATACCAACCCAATCCTCATCCCCATCCCAGGAATTTTGTTTTTGCTGCTTTGCTAATCGGCCACCGTCCACTCATTTGATCCCCTGCAGATTTATTAAGGAGGAACAGTAGATGAAGACAATCGTCATCACTCAATGGGCTGGATATGAACATGAAAGTTCATACTTTATACATGTACGCGAGCGCCGTCTTTCTTCTTTTAGCATTGGAGATGGAGTAGACACGACACTGGTGCAGGCTCAAGTTGCTGATCACGAGATCATACTTGTCGTCAACACGCCAGCATATACTACCACCCCTTACAAAAAACAACAACACATACTACCACCTTCCCAACGAGCCCCAGTGCAAGAGTCCGTGAAGCCATGGCATATTGTCATAGCTGCGGATGCGTTTATTGTTTGATTCGGACCAGTTTCCAGAGGGACACGCCACTTGATTATCATTATCATAATTTCAGGGGTAGAGAGAGTGGCTCTCTCCGTGAAGAATTGAGTGAGTGCATTATCATCATCACTCTTCCAAAGAACCAAAGAAGGGAACCCAGTCGGTGATTTGAGCTGAGCCGGAGCGGTTGTGTTTTTTTTTTTTTTTTTTTTTTTTTTTGGGTGCAAGGCTTGAAAGGGGTCTGATGGCTAAGGTGGGTGTGTGATGGTCATGAAAGAATGGGTACCCAAACGGTGCGTACAGTAAGTATTATTGGATTTTTGATTTGTTAATCTTATAATGTTATGGGTTTTGTTTGCATTATTATCTGTCTTGACATGTCCTGTCGTTTTTCCTTTTTCCTTTCTTTCTTTCTTTTTACTCCCGCCACCAACCCCTCCTCTCACCATCACCACTCGCCACTCGCTCCCTCTGCCGTCTCCTCCTTCTTCTTCTTCTTCTTCCTCTTCTTCTTCCTCTTCTTCTTCCTCTTCTTCTTCTCTTCATCACTCTCCACCACCGTCCAAAAATACCCATTCACTTCCGCCCTAACCCGACCCTTTTCTCTCGGCCACCTCATCATCGGTACTATTCAAAACACTCTTCACCCTCTCGTCGTGACCCCCTTCTCGTTTCGCCCACTCGCACTCGTGAGTTGTTGTTGTTGCTGCTGCTGCTGCTGCTGTTACGCCTTGTCCGTTTGGTCAGATGAACAGCATCTTCAACACACAAAAACAATACAACCACACAACACAAGTGACAAAACCTCGACCCTGACCCTGTCCCGACTCTCTTTGTCTTTATTAACCCTCACGGTCTATTCATAGCTCTTTCTCTTACTTTTTTCAATACCTCACTCACTGTTCATTAGGACAGCATCATCCACCACAACAGCTTCCTCACACCTCCACCCCCTCTCCTTCAAAACACACCCCTTCCTTTGCCATGGCGGTAAGTTCCGTCTCTTGTTGTTTTCTTGGCTGCCAACACGGATGGGGCACCAGAACAAAAAAAACAGCCCACAACTTGATGCCTAGCTTTTTCATGATCCCCCACCCAAAGAAAGTCAAAGTGCTCATCTTTTGCGTTTGCTCTGGTGTTCCTTTTATTACCCGAGCATAGGATAGTTATCAGAGCCGCATTCAAGAGATTACTCGGAAACTGCAGACGGAGCAGCGTGTCAAGGATGCCACAACCGTGATGAGGACGCGGCATACCAATCCTGTAAGAACATGAATCTATTACTTAATTCCTCGAATCGTTCTTCCTTAGTGTAAAAAAATGGCGGCCTAATACGGCACTTGTGTGCCTGACTGTGTCGTCAAACTGTCAAACATCGATAACACAACAAAAAAAAGGCGAAGGAAGGCGTTCGGTAGTTTATTTTTACACCTGCACGCACAATAGAGTCGATGTCCTAACTGTTGGCGTCGCACCCTTCTATCGTACGTTCTGCTTTTGTTTCCCAATCAATATAGACGGCCATTGCTCAGTGCGAGATTACACTGCAGGAATCCCAAAAGCGCATCGACTATCTGACAAAGGAGATCGAGAAGCTGCAAATCCGACAATCTCACCAGCAACAACAGCAGCGTATCCAACACCAACAGCAGCAACAACAGCAGCAACATCAACAACAACAACAACATCAACAGCAACAGCAACAACAAAAGCCCAACAGCTTCCAGGGCCATGAATACGCCTCCGTGTCGGACTCGAGTATGGATCCCATTCTGACAGGGGAGGACGACTACAAAGACCGGGATCTGGTCTCAAACTCCGGTATTTACCTTGCTGGCGACTTTGGACCTATTCCAGTCATCCAGCCGAGTTACTCGTCTGTCACGGGGTCGACCGTCTCACTGGGCTCGGGCACCACAATGGACTCACCTCACCTGGACCAAGCCCTGCTGGAATTACCCAAGCGACCAGCCTACACCAATCTTGGCAAGTGGAAAAACGCAAATTACTCGATAATTGCGCTGGCTCAGAAAATGACGCCGGCGCCTGTCAAATGTTTCGCGAAACAAAGAGCAAAAAAGGACTAACCAGACACCATGCCATGGGGTACTCTCCCCCCCCTTTCCTCCCTCACTCTTTTGCTCTGTTTTTTTTTGTTTCTTTTTCCGCCCCTGTTTTTATTTGTGGTGCAATTGAAATAGATCTCCTCAAGTCCAGCACGCCAATTACCACAGCAAAGATCTCTAACAAGCTTCGTGACCTGGCTTTCAAGCTCGATGTGGAAAAGAAACTGAAGGCCGGTTCGGAGCGTCTCGCTGTGCTGTACAAGAATGATCCTTCGATGGGCGACAAAAAGAACAGGGCTGGCGTCCATGGGGAACTCTTGGAGAGTAACGAAAAGATTGTCCTGTTGAAGCGCGCCCTTCAAAAGTACCAACAGCTCTTTGTTCCTGGCATGGAGGACGATGGTGAGGATCGAACCAGCTCGTCTCTGCACGTTAGTCAAATTTTGAGACAATACGGCCGCTAACTTACTTTTTTGACCCACTTTACATTGCGTCTTGGTAGATGAGGATGAACCTGAAGTGACTAACAGAGTTGGAGCTGGTCTACGCAAGCCCAACACTGGAACTTTGCAGATCCGTGTCATTGCAGTGAAGCAGCAGAACAACGCGCCAACAAGGACATTGAAGGCGCCAGAGACATTGTGTATCATCAAGGTCGATGGCGTTCCTCGTGCCAAGACTCGCCCCGTTCGCTCGGGCACTCAGGGTGCTCGATGGAACGAGGACTTTGACATCCCGGTAGAGAAGGCAAGCGAAGTCGAGTTGACACTGTACGATAAGCCAGACAACCATCTTATTCCCATCGGAAGTCTTTGGGTCAAGATCTCTGATATCACTGATGAGCTGCGTCGAAAGAAGGTCGAACTGGAGAGTGGCCCAGGATGGGCACCCGCTGGTGTGGCTGGTCAGGTCTCAACGAATGGGAATGGACAGTTGGATGGACAGGCAGCACCCGGAGTCGCAGGGTACGGAGGAGGAGGGTTCAACAACGGAAACGGCAACAACAACCAAGCCGCTACAGTGGATGGAGTTGAGAGTTGGTTTGATCTTGAGCCTGTCGGTCAGGTCTGCATCAAGTTCAACTTTGGTAAGTCGAGGATATGATTTGTAATGTGCGCACGAGCATGGTTGTACTAGAAAGTTTTTTAACATTTGGTGGCTCTGCTTGTTAATAGTCAAGGACACGGTTGGAGTGAAGCGATACCCCTCGAGGCTCGGTCGTGCAGGAGCTGTCCGTAAGAGAAAAGGAGAGGTCAAGGAGGTCAATGGACATCAGTTTGTCGTCCAGCAGTTTTACCAGATCATGCGTTGCGCTCTTTGCTCTGATCTCTTCTCGGGCGCTGGCGCTCAATGTGAAGGTAATAATGATCAACAGAAAGAAAGTCTTGTATTGCCAACAGATGGATATATCTTTTGTGCAGACCGAAAATATCTGTTCTTACGCCTCTTCTTTCATTTCTTTGATCTTTAACTTTTCCCCATCGATAGACTGCAAGTATACCTGCCATCGCAAGTGTTTCGAAAAGGTTGTGACAAAGTGTATCTCAAAGTCCAAGGCAGACGTGGATCCAGACGAGGAGAAACTCAACCACAGGATTCCCCATCGATTCGAGGCATTCACCAACCTCTCTGCCTCCTGGTGCTGCCACTGCGGCTACATCCTTCCCCTTGGAAAAAAGGGCGCAAAGCGCTGCACAGGTAAAACAGCGCTCTTGGCCGACACAAAGCGTTAGTGCGATTTTTACACATTACCACTCACTAATTACCTTCCCATCCTCCCATTCTGTAGAGTGTAGCGTTACAAGTCACGCTACCTGCTCCCATCTGGTTCCTGACTTCTGTGGCATGGATATGGAAAAGGCCAACATGATTCTGATGGAAATCAAGCGTGCGAAGAGAAACACAACCGACAACAGGGTGAACTCGACATCGACCGCCAGCTCGCGTTACTCGGTTGCTCGCCCCACTCAGTCCGAATCTGGACTCTCGTCACCGATCGACAACCGATTCCCAGCAGGCTCTCAGCGGATGGATTACAGCCAGCGCCCCGATCCTGGCTCGCCCGACTCTCGTGGATCATACAGACAGCCTGTTTCGCCCCAATCACCGCTTTCTGGCCACAATGCTTCGATGGGCGGAAACCAGTCTCAGACTCAGCCTACCTCGCCTCGTCAGCCGCCTCCAAAGTTGCAAATGCCTCCTCACTCCAACTCAGGCAGCCCCTACTTGGGTCAGGGACCGATTCATGGATCGCCTGCCTCTATCGACCATAGCTCGCTGTCGCTGAAGCAAGAGTACGAGGTCGAGGAGCCTGGCCAGTTGCAGCTAGAGATTGAGCAGCAGATGATGATGCAACAGCAGCAGCAACAGCAGCACCAACAACAACAGCAGCAGCAACAACAACAACAACAGGAGCAGCAACAACAGCAGCAGCACCTCCATCAGCAGCAAGAGCGCCTTCACCAGCAAGAGCTTCTGCAACAGCAAGAGATGGCACATCAGCAGCGCCTCCAGCAGGAGCAGCAGAAGCAGATTCAACAACAGCAACTTCAACAACAGCAGCAGCAGCAAATGCAACAACAACAGCAAATGCAACAGCAGCAACAACAGTACCAGCAGTACCAGCAACAACACCAGCAACCTTCTTATGGTCAACAGAGAGCCACGAGCCACACCCAGCAGCAGCAAAGGCCCATGCACGGCCAGCAGCAACAACAGAACCAAGTCGCAGTATGTATTTGTTAAGCTCAATTGATGCGTATTGGCTTGCACGAATGTGTTTCTCTCCGAAGCAAATGGACAATTCCCTGACAGCGTTTTTGGTAATTGATTCTTTTAGAAGAAGTCAGGCCAACAAGTTGGTCACCAACCCCGCAAGGTTGGTCTTGAGGATTTCAACTTCTTGGCTGTCCTGGGCAAGGGTAACTTTGGAAAGGTATGCATCAACGTAGTTAGAGTTAATATGATTTAGTCGAGGTATTTTTTCATGTGGAAATGGCAACAGCATCATCTAATCGATGACCTCCTACCTTTAATGCTTAGGTCATGTTGGCTGAGGACAAGATGACAAAGGGGCTCTACGCCATCAAGGTCCTGAAGAAGGAGTTCATTATCGAGCACGATGAAGTGGCCAGTACTCGATCGGAGAAGCGTGTTTTCCAAGCTGCCAACAAGGAGCGCCATCCTTTCTTGGTTGGACTTCACTCATGCTTCCAGACAGAGACCCGTATCTACTTTGTGATGGACTATGTCTCCGGAGGAGATCTGATGTTGCACATTCAGCGCGAGCAGTTCTCGGAGCGTCAGGCCAAGTTCTATGCTTGCCAGGTCTTGTTAGCTCTTGAGTACTTCCACAAGAACAACATTATCTACCGGTAAGATTACGCAAATCTGCATACATGAAGAATGGCTCGAAAACGGTGCTTTTATCAGCCTGGAATTAACTTTGGCGTCTATGCTTTTACCTTTGTTTATGCTTCTAGTGATTTGAAGTTGGACAACATTCTGTTGGCTCTGGATGGACACATCAAGATAGCCGATTACGGTCTGTGCAAGGAGGACATGTACTATGGATCGACCACCAACACCTTCTGTGGTACCCCCGAGTTCATGGCTCCCGAGATTCTCAGTGAACAAAAGTACGGACGTGCCGTCGACTGGTGGGCGTTCGGTGTGTTGATCTACGAGATGTTGCTCGGACAGTCGCCATTCAAGGGAGACGACGAAGACGAGATCTTTGAGGCCATCTTGGAAGACGAGATTCTTTACCCCATCAACATGTCGCGAGACTCCGTCTCCATCCTTCAAAAGGTACGCTTCCTTTCCAGTATCACTCTGTGCAAAACAAGTACAAACTAAAAAGTTGTGGGTATAGACTAACCTTTCGTACTTATTCTCTTGTGCAATAGCTGTTGACTCGTGATCCTGAGAAGCGTCTTGGAAGTGGCAAGACGGATGCGGAGGAGATCAAGCGCCACCCCTTCTTCAAGGGTGTGAACTGGCAGGATATTCTGGACAAGAAGGTGCCTCCACCATTCTTCCCTAAGGTCCGCGGACCAACCGATACCTCTAACTTTGATTCTGAGTTCACTCGCGAGATCCCAGTGCTGACGCCCGTCCACAGCCATCTGACGGGTAACGACCAGGCCAACTTCCAGGGCTTCTCGTATGTTGCCGAATGGCTCTAATTTCTTTTCTTTTTAGCAGTTTATTTTTTCTTTTTCACTCAGGAAGAGAGACCTATCCGCCTACCCTTGCACACACACATTAACCGATTCGGTCATAATAATAAAAAGTTTCCCGTGCTTTGTACAGTAACTGTGATAAAAAAAGGAGGAGGATGTCGACAAGGGAGGATCGTCTCCGTTCCCTTTTTTGTTCTCCTTTCCCTCTCTCTTCACATATTACACTTCACAAACAAAAACAGTGGTCGTCTCATTCACAAACCATGGTCCTTCTAGAGGCAAGTCGATGAAGTTGGAATGAGCCGACCCTGCAAGCACTTTTTTTACTCTCCGCACGGACCAATGTCGCTCTATCCATTCATCATCAATAGTTCACTAAAGCATACTTCACTTCTCTAAACATGGATGCATATCCAGATTGCGAGCTTCTTCCTGGTACCGTTTACAAGACTGATAGAACTTCCTATCCGCCAGATCGGCGAGACTGTCAACTCTCAAGCGCTTCGCCGTAAAGCCGTCCAGATCGCCATTGCGGGTGTGGCGTTGATCCTGTTGATTGGCGTGTCGTTTGTAGCGTACTTGTTGTTCTACTGGATGTATATCCCGAGGCGTGGGCACGTTGGGCTTGTTCATCTCCAGTACGATCGGTTCAGGTAAACATATTCGATCAATGGGGGGTGAGAGCTAGCAGGAAAGAAAAAAAAAGAAGGGAGTATAGAGCGACTGGCCACGAATGGAGGGGGTTTCTGTAAGGTATAGAGATGGATAATGGTGTCACTGTATTAACACCATGCTCCGTCCATTCCGCGTTTTTCTGTAGGTCTTCGGGAGAGTATTCAGGACCGTCTGCAGTTGTTGACTTTTCAAAGGGCGGACGTTACACTCAGGTGAAAACAATATGTCGACGGCCATTGATCAGATATGACAAGAAAAAGCAAACAGCGCTCACTGAGTTTTTTTTACTTTGATTGAATCGTTATCTATGGGTTAGATCTTGCGCGGTGACCAGGCGTACGATATCTCAATGAAGCTAGTGATGCCTAGCTCGTCCTCTAACGTGGCGCTGGGGAACTTTATGGTCATGGCTCAGCTCGTTGGCGCCGACGGAAATGTCATCGTCACCTCCAGTCGTACCGTAAGTTCTGGTTTTACCGCACCCTATTTCTCCTCACCCCTTCTTTCAATGTTTTCCATTCACATGTGATAACACGACCTAAATATTTATACACCATTACACCATTCTCTCTTCTTAGGCGATCATCACATATGAGTCCTTGTTACTTCGACTCATACGAACCATCTGGCGAGCAGTACCACTTGTCCTGAGATGGACACGGGAATCCCAAACAATCCAGCTACCTCTGATCGAGAACTTTGTCGAGTCTTCATCCAACCCTGTCACACGGGCATTGATCGAGATATCTAACCCGGGGCTCCAGATCTATCGAACCACCCTTCACATTGACGCCCACTTTCAAGGTCTGCGGTAAGTTGTCGCAGCGGTGTCTCCAAAAAAAAAAAAAAAAGCACTCATGCTTTAAATATCTCACCCAAACAAAAACAAAAACAAAAACAAAAAAAAGCTGACTCTTTTCCCATGCTGTCAAATTGTTAGCTACTTCATGTACTACTACAGAGTCTCGACAGCTCTCATCTTCATGACATTCTTTGTATTCTGGGAAATCATATTCGGCATCCTGGCCTGGCAAACCATCTCATCCTGGATCGTAGGCCCAGTCACACAAGCGATTACGGCCGTTCCACGACCTATCCTGTACAACAACCACGATAATTTACCACCTATCCATCGGAATCAGCTTCAGTTTCAACAACTCGCTCACTCTCTTTACGACACGGATGATGAGGGTGAAGGTGCGGACGACTACCTTGTCGTGAACAGGTCAAGTGATGAGGATGTCTTCGATTTCACAAGTTCTGCTGCTACCTCGACCACCCCACGAACCACGGAAACGAAAAGCGCCATCAGTGGCGGTAACAATCATACATCTCAGCAACAACCGATGACACAAGGCAGCAGCAGCAGGAGGAAGAGGAGGATCGAACAAGAAGACTCAGACTCGACAGCCTCCGACGCAGATTCGATATTCGACGCCATCGTCCCGGAACAAGGCGAAGGCGGCAACTCTTCCAGTATCGCACGTGTTCCATCTGGACAACTGCGGTCAAGAAAGTCGTAACAAACGGAAAGCAGACAAAACTCCTTGACATCTTTTTGTTTTGGTCGTTATCGTCGGGTGTTTTAATAATAGCGAAAGGTCGTGAAAGTAAAAAGATGTGAACAAAAAAAAACGTAAGTTCCAGAATGCTAGTGAAGGAGGAGAACTGGACACCGCCTGTAGCCTGAGGCTATTTACATTTCAGTGGTTCCCTATTCACAAGAAAGGATTAAAATGACGAAGCAAGGTTATCAGTAGTTGATGCGTACAAACGAAAAACAAACAATTCCGCCGCCAACATGAAAGCAAGACTTACATCGCCCATGTATGTATCCATCTCGGCGTCAAGCTCCTCTGCAGTCTTGATATGAGGCTTCTTGTTCTCCCGGGGCTTGGACGACTGTTGTTGCCTGCTGTTGTTGCTGCTGTTGTTCTTGTTGCTGCTGTTCCGTCCGCCATTGTTGGTCGTCTGGTTAGAAGCTCCCTGACGTCCTCCTGTAGCTCCTGCGGTCTTGGGAAGAGGGTTCAACTTGCCCAACCTAGCAGCAATATCAGCTTCACTAAATAGCGTTCAAAGAAGACGACATTGGAGAGCATTTAATAACAAGGCCACACAATTGACATATCATCTCAATAAAAAAAAGGTCGAAATTGTTGGTTAAGCTCACCTTGATCCAAGACGGGAAAAGACATCTCTCTTTCCTGTATCTTTGGAAGGAGCAGCGCGTCTATCTTGAGGGCGGCTGTTCGAGGCAGGAGCAGGGGCAAACTTAATCTTCATGGGTTGACCTATGAAAACAATATATAATCCACGAAGTTCGTTAGTACAAGCGCATAAATTCCGTGAATGTGATCGACCTGTGGAGTGCGATAAGCAGTGATGCCCACTTTTCTATAGTGACGTTTTCTGTGTCTCCACGTACCATCCAGAGCAATTCCATGGAGCTTCTCGATAGCAGAAGCAGCGTCCTTTGACTCATTGAAAGTGATGGTGGCAACACCGGTGGATCGTCCTGAAAGATCGTACTTGACCTCAGCGAACTATGATTGAACGAAATATAAAAAAAGGCAACGTAAGTCAGATTTTGCTGGTTTGACTAGTACAGATCCAAAATATCTTTGTGCAAGCCATGTTCTTTGTGCGTTTCTCTGTACCTTGACGGGACCAGCGTGAGTGGTGAAAAGTTCCTAATTGCAAAATAACCACAATAATCAATAGGTGTTAGCTCATAGTCTTTGTGGTCCACATTTCAGCTAAAAACCCCTTGATTTGGGCCTAGCCTTGTCCATCCAGCTCATCCAGTCCACACAAGTCTGTATATTAAAAGAGGGGTGGAATCACTTTTTGTTCTTTCATACCTTGATGTCCTCCAAGGTAACAGCATAGTGCAAGTTCTCGACAATAACCCTGTTTCCTCCTGCTGCTGTTCCTCCTCTGTTGTTGTTGTTGTTGTTGTTCTGTCCTCCGCGTCCTCCTGCAGCCCTCTGGTTCGACTCGTCAAACTTGTCGTGAGTCCAGCGATCCTCAGCCGTGTTGGCTGCATTGTTGCGCTATATATGTTTATGACCAAAAAGAAGACGTGGATTAGCATCACTTATTGTTCCTTTACTTATTCATGAATCAGATTCCAGTCTGCTTGAGCGACGAACACAAGACATCAAAACGCCAAAGTCGCTTTTCTTCCTGTAGAAGCTTACATTGTAGGGAGAAGAGCGGTTAGAGCGGTTGGGGCTATCCCGTCCAGAGCCAGTGCCAGCGCCACCTGGACCACCAGCACCGCGGAGGCCACCACGTCTGCTGGCGGGGCTCCTGTTGTTGCCAGCACGGGATTTGGCAACGTCATCCAAAGCCATGTCGAGGAATCTTGCAGCCATTGTTATTATTTTCCTGAAAGAGTAAGAGTGGTTGTTTTGTGGGGGGGAGGGAGGGAATGTAAGTTGAGTGCGTGTTGTTGGAAGAGATGAAAGAAGAAAAGTGAGAAAACGACGAGCTCTTGGTGTGGTAAGTGGGTGTCTGAGCCACCCGATCTGATTGGTGGTTGAAAATGCTCGCAAATCACATATCCAAAAGGCCCACTTGCCACCACTTTGAACCTCGGCCATTCGAACCACAGGAAAAGGGAGACAAGACGGGGCCGAAAGAGGATGGTCAGGGATATGATACTATAATGATGGGGCCTTTCATGTATGGATATTTGCTCGCCTAGATCCAGTGTTGGTTACATAAAGCGAGGGAGCATAGGCTCTGCCTCATGCATTGATGCGTGTTGTCTATCAACTTTGACCACTTCACTTCCCTATATGGATAACCTTCTTTTCTCTCCCTCACGGAACGACTGGGCCAGCTGAAACCCCGGGTATGTACCCTTGAATTAATAAATCACAGGACGACGCCATCTGCGCCGGTGTCGTCCTTGGAGCAGTGGATCTCTTTCCCAAGGTTGCTATTTTTTGGCGTGTGGGAGCCTTGGAGCGCGGACAAAATGGCTTTCCGGTCACATATGTCCAAATAAAAAGGGACACATTTTCCACTAATTCATTTTCCTTTTGCCTCACATCTTTATCCCTGTTTTCCTTCTTTCTTTCACACCCCAACGATACCCTCACCTTCAACAACAAAAAACAATGAGAAACACCGCGATTGACGCTCACGAACAGAACCGTGCCTCATGGAACGAGGCCGTCGTCGCCCACAACAGCCACAAGGTTGACCAGGACGGCTTCTTCCGCAACAAAGGTTCAACCCTCTACCCAGAGGAAATCGGCCTCCTCGGAAACCTTGCCAGTCTCAAAGTCTGTCATCTCCAATGTAACGCCGGTCAGGACACGCTCAGTCTTGTCACTCGTCTCAGGGCCGAGAACCCTATTGGGGTCGACATCAGTGATAACGCCATCGAATTTGCGACAAAGTTGGCGAAGGACTCGGGGATCCAAGCGACTTTTGTCCGTGCTGATGTGTTTGAGTACTTTGATACCACCGAGGCCAATCAGTTTGATGTCGTCTTTGTCAGCTATGGAACCGTCAACTGGTTGGTTGACCTCGAGGTAGCTAGACGTTTGACACTGTTGACAGGTAGCACGTCAGTTGCAACACATATCTGCGAAATTGAAAACTGACCATCCATTCTGTTCATCCGTTTTGTATGTCCTTAGAGATGGGGAAGAGGAGTTCACAAGGTTTTGAAATCTGGAGGACGCATCGTCTTCATCGACTTCCACCCAGTCTGCTACATTTTCAACCAGGACATGGTCCATGAATACCCTTACACCAGCGCCGGCGAACCCATCCACGAATCCGGTGGTGTCTCCGACTACGTCGCTTACTCCAACACCGGCGGAGAGGTCATGCCCAACCTCAAGTACCAAGAAGGCGTTCAGGACTTCAGAAATCCCAACGCCAGTGTAGAGTTTTGCTGGGGTCTCTCGGACACGATTGGATCGCTTGTCAAGGCCGGCATGAATTTGACCCATTTCAAGGAGTACCCATATTCCAACTTTTTCAAGCCCTACAAGGCTATGACTTCGGAGCATGTTGTGGAGGGTCCTCGTTGGCGCTCGACCGGTCCCATGCTGCCCTTGATGTACTCTGTTTGTGCCTCCAAGCCGTAGGAAGGTAGACATTCTGAAATATATATGACTTTGCTCTTGGAAATATATCTTCATGGCGAATGCCTTCGCGACCAACAACACTACACTAGGCAATGGAGTTGTGTGTGTCCACTTTTAGCGTGTGTGTCCGGTTGGCTCGAGCTCGCGCTTTTCTTGTCCATAAAAACTGACCAATTAGCGCACCTTTCTCTACCTGAACGCTCACCCTGGCCAAGCGAGCCAGAAAACAAAAAAAAAGCGTCGGAACAGGAGCAGAGAGGCGAGAGCAGAAAAGAGTTCACTCTGATCGAGAAAAACGAGTGTTGAGGGAGCGCACGCTGTTCTCGTTTTCGTTTGTTTGTTTTTTTGTCTGTTTGTTGCTGTTTTGTTTATTTAGTCACTGCCTGTTTTTTTGTATTCTTTCTCGATTGCCCTTGCATGTTGAACAGAAAACCCAAAAAATAACGACGCCGCGTTGTGTACAACTTGCTCAGGTGCTGCCCTTTTGTCGACTCTGTTTGTGTACATTCCCCTCTTCTTTGTTTTTTTTTCTTGCTATCCCCCTGTTCCCCTCTCCCTTGCGTCCACTTTTTCTCTCCAGTCCATGACCCATTGGAGACCTGTGGTTGTGGGTCAATGCAATAGAGTGGGAAATACTGCGCCAGTGGACCAAGGCACGTATGGAGGGCGAAGGGGTTGGGGATTGAGTGAGGGCTGTCCGTCGGTTGTTTTTTTGTTTTTTTTCCAGACATGCGTGAGTGAGCGAGCTGAGTGGGTGTATGCGTGTCGTTGTTGTTGGTGCTCTCGAGTTCTCAGTCCATGCCTCTCATTGTCGTTGCTCTGGCCTTTTTACTTTCTTCAGAGGGCGTCGTGTTTTGTATTTTTGTTTCTTCTTCTTCCTTTGGCAAGTTCTTTCTGCTCATCCCCCTTGTCCCTCCTTTCCTCTTCTTCATCCACTCCTATTCACTTTTTTTTTCTCATCCTCTCTTTCATTATCGACGTGTATCGTTGAACTCACCTCCTCCACGGCATATATCTCCACCCACCCCTTTCCACTTAATTCAAGAGACCAGTAGAACCGAGGAATTTAGAGTTTTCCACACCCACATTCACACTGCCTCTTCCATCCAAATCCAGGCACATCCGCGTCTGGTTCAAAATTCCTCTGCGCCAACTCTCAGGAACGACAATACAATGCGGTTCACCAACACCTCTTCATACGCAACCAACAGGACACCAAGTATAAAACTGACATGGCTATCGATCCTCCTCGTCGCCACCACCAGCCTCTCCTCCCTCCTCACAGCCAGCGCTCAATCAAAAGGACCCGGACCCCGAGCAGGTCACTGTATAGTCGAACACAGTGGCGTGGTCTACATCCTCGGCGGCACTCCACCCTCCTCATCTGAATACGCCAACTTCACATCCCTCAAACTTCCCCAAAGCAACTGGCAGGCTGTTTCTCCGGATACCTTCCCCTGGGTCGACTTGCCGGCTCCCCCTGTATCCGTACATATCCCTGCTTTGACGATGACCTATGATAACCTGAAGGCTACTCTTACGCCTTCTTGGACAGACTGCTTTGCGACGGATGATGGGCGAATTGTGGTGGTTGGTGGCAGTGCACAGTTGTTGGTTTATGATATTGGGTCCCAGCAGTGGAGTCAACCGGCTGCGAGTATCAAATTTGGCCCCTCGGTATCGTCGGGTATGTTCCAGGACCCTGTCTACATCCAATCCAGGATTCTTGGGGATGGGGTGACGGGTCTGGTGGTCTGCACTTTGAACTGGAACAGTCAGCCTCAGCCATACTACCTCGACACCAAGACCTGGACGGTCACTCTTGCGATCGGAACGTCGTTGACGACACCACCCTCGGTACCGGGTACGTCGAATGGGTGGGGTGTTGTGCCTGGTGGGGGACCCCTGTTGCCACCGAACGGGTTTCGCCATTTCTCGTTGGTTGTCATGGGTAACACTGCCTATATCATGGGCGGGTACTCGACCTTGTTGACGGGGCAGATTTCTGACTGGAACAGTATCACCAGCTTCCCCGTCCTGCAGGCACCTTCTTCGAGTAAGTTTCCATTCTGTTTCCCCTGTAACAGCCCACATGCAGACAAACAAACCATGCGTACAAAAACAAAATGCTCACTGACGCATTCACCTACCCCTATGCATTTATTCTTATTCATCATCCTCATAGCGGTGGTAATGTTTGGCAACGCCGGTACTCTAACCGTGACAACTCGCGGATCTGTCGCATATCCAATCTCCGACTCGACCATCCACATCCTCCCAGGAAACAGAGGTGGCAACAGCCAAAGCCTCCAACTCGTCCAGACCTTCGCCGCTAACCAGGTCACCGCCACCGCACTCGCATTGGCCGAGGGTGGACCTCGGAATAGTATTTTCAGGGGAGCGACTTTGATCGGGAGAGGCGGGAACCAGATCTTCATGCATGGTGGACTCAAGTCGTTGGATTTTAACGCTCCTGCTGCAGTGCCACCGCCCGAGTACTTTGATAGCGGTGCGGCGGTCTGGAATGGCGCCTCGCAGTCTTGGGGGGATTCGCTAGTTATCTATGTCCCGCCGGCCAAGAGTAAAGGACTGATGATTGGGTTGATTGTTGGAGGTGTGGTTCTGCTGGTGCTTATTGGTCTCGGGATCTGGTACTACAAGCGACGACAGAGGCGCAGGATCTTGGAGGAGGAGGAGGAGCGGCAGGCCAAAGGAATGGTGCTCAAGAACGAGGATGTCCTGCAGAAGGAGCATAAACCTATCAGGAGCTTTGACGAGAGCAGCAGTGCACGGCCCACGCCTCCGATTGCATACTATGTCGCCGCCCGTCCGGATGGTGGAAGTGAGATTGGTGGCACCTACCAGGCGATGCATCTGTCAAATGGTCAAGGATATGCAGAGATGTATGCGACAGGACGTGGAGCCAGCTCTGAGGCTATTCGTCGGAGCCCCTACCAGGAGTTTGGCCAAGTTACAACAGCCTATGCACAACCAGAATTGATCGACGACGATTTTGCGGTGCAGACGATAGACTCGCCTCGGTGCCTCAACAGCCCTCAGGATTACTCTTCACTGGGTTACGATGCCATGGACTCGACCACCAGCCCGACTCTCATCAACAATGATGGACTCATCTCGCGCGCTCCTTCCAAGTACCAAGCTGTCGTCAGTACCACAGGCCATCCAGTCTTTGGTCACTCTGCCGACCAGATCTCAAATCGGGAGTACCACGACGGTACCACCATCGCGACAGCTGGACCAGGACCAGGACCAGGACCAGTCGGAGGGTCAGCAGATGTGGTAGTAACGTACCCATACCGGACTACCACAACCGCCGACGGCAGCTCCTATGTCCTCCCTAACCCAGCAGCCCAACGAAGCGAGCCCTACTTTGTCCGTCCTTACTCACAGACTTCGACTTCTAACCTGTCCCCGAGTCCGCTTCTGCCTCGATCGCAACTAACACCTGTCAGCCCTTCCTTTTCGGCGACGTATTCGATGCCGGAGTCGTCTCATGGTGGAAGCAGTAATGATGGTGGTGGAGTAACAGTGGTCGGTGGTAGTGTCAACCCTCTTTTGCCACCAAATCAGTCCACCGGAGAATTCCCCGCCTATGCCCACCAACAGCATCCTCCCGCCGTGAACAACCAAACTCATCCTCCGTTTTAAAAAAAAAAAAAAAACTCACACACCCTCCCTCCGATCCCCCAATACCTCATAGTCGCAAAACAATGGATCTTTGCAAGCAACACTTCATATTCCTTCTTTCCACCTAATAAAAACACCGACGAATGTGAGAACAAAAAAAAAAAGAACCAAAAGACCAGCTTTTTTTTATTTTTTACTGACGATGCATATAATCTTGATGATGAGAAGACGATGGAGGTGGTGCAAGGTCGTCCGATGGTCTTGGGTAGGTGTCGCTGTACCGCTTCAATTCTTCTTCTAGCATGAGAATGTATGCTGTGGCCTTCCTCAAGATGGTAGCCTTGGAATCCGTGTTTTGTGCGCAACTATAATAGCAAAAGGTAGACGAGTCAGAGAGATAACAGTTAGTGACACGAGGAAGGAGGGCTGCAACGACCAAAGGACACGAACACGAACACGAAAGCGCGACTGACTGAAATGAACCAAGTCCCAAAAAAAAAAAAAAACGTACTCAGGGATGACACTCTTGAGTTCATCAAAGCCGCCGTTAATCTTCTCGCGCCGCTTCTGTTCCGATAGGATATGGGCCAGACGACGACTCTTGACACATCCAGGTTCGTGTGTCAACACCTTGTGGATCGCCTTTTCTGCGTGTGATGCTGATGAGACTGGGCCTAGTAGTCCTCCTCGTACTCCTGCTCCTGTTGCTTGACGATGACCAACTCCGCCCGCAGGGTGGTGATGTTGGCCGTGATACTGCTGTGGGTGGTGAGGGTGATGGCCTTGGAGAGGTGGAGAGCCGTCGTGCTTACGAGGCGAGGGTGTCAGGGGAGGAGTCTGAGGGGATCTAGACGATGAGGAAGACGATGCAGGTCCCAAGAAGGCCGAGGAGGAATTCGAGGCCGACGACGACGATAAGGGGTGGTGGTGGTGGTGTGACGACGACGACGACGAAGGGAAGAGGAAGGAGGGCGAGTGTGGAGAAGGAGGGGAGTGGCGTGACTGGAAAAGGGACGAAGACCCTGCTGTGTTGTTATTGGAATAAGAATTAAAAGGAGGAGAGGAGGAGGAGATTGATGTTGGTGGATGGTCATGCAGGTGAAGTTGAGCGATGGTTGCAGAGGCAGCAGCGGCCGTTACACTGGCCGAGCTCGACTGACGCGAGTGGATGGGTCGAGATGAAGATGACCCGAGGGGAATACCTTGGTGGTCGTCGTTGTGATCGGGCATGATCCCTCCGAAGACTCCGTCGCCGTTCTTGGAGGCTCGTCTTGGCGAAGAGGACGACAGCTGGCCGTTGTTGTGGTGGTGTTGGTTTAGAGGGTAGAGAGCAAATGGTTCGGCTGGCAATTGCGGCAACAGGTGGCTGGAGGGTGATTGTTGTGCATCGTTGTTGTTGTTATTGTTGCCATTGTTGGCGTGGGCTTGATAGATGTGCTGCGAGTGATTCCGTTGGTACCCATAAGCAGCGGGCTCTGAAGCCTTTTGTTGCTCGTGATAAAAGTGGGGATGGTGGTCGTGGCGCTCAGAATACGAAGTCGAGGCAGAAGAGGCCGATGTAGTCGACGAAAATGAAGAGGTTCGGCTCTGTTGGTGCGACGATGGATCCGAAACGAGACTGGGAAGAAACGAGTTGCCGTTGCTGTTGCCATTAGTGTCTGAACTAAAGGCGGGATCTCTCGAGTTCTGTCGGGAGTGTTGAGGACGATAGGATGCAAAAGAGGAAGAGGTCGGCGAAGTCGAGTAGTGGACACGGTGTGCTGCTTCGAACACCGACGACGATGCCACTTCGGATGACGACGAATCGGGCCCGAATAAAGTTGAGTTTGTTGAGGTGGACATGTGTTGTTGCGGCTGGTGCAGGGATGAAAAGCAGGGATTTTGTTGTTTATGTTCTTGTTGTTGATATTGCAATGTCGATTGGGGCAGACAACCAAAGGCTTGGATCGAAAAAAAACGAAGGTGAGAAGAGAGTGAGGTTGGGAGAGTAATTGAAATGGGACAGATAACAAAAAAAGTGTGGTAGGGAGAAGCAGAACTAGTAAGAAGAAATAAAGCAGAAGTATTGGTGGAGAAAGTGGCGTGATGGTGGTCTGTGTTGTTTGTTTGAGGAGAGGGCTATGTATGCGTATGTATTATGTATGATCTTTTGGAGGTGGGGGGTTGAGTAAGTGAAAGGGGAGGTGAAAAAGGGGAGAAAAATAACCGTCTAGGGGGGATAAGAAGCAATGAACAGGGAAGAAGGGAAGAGAAGCAGATGGGAATAGGTCTTGATGGGATCCCTTTTTATATCTTTGACTCAAACAACAGATCCGATTCGCATGCTCCTGCAGAAAGAAGAACGAGATTCCGACAAGAAGAAAGACTTGTGGGGTTGACGATAACCTTGTTGGCTATCACGGGCAACCAGCAGGAAGCAGGCAGGAACGCCTTGGCTCCCTTTTCCTTTCCCCTTTCCTGCAAGTGAACAAGCAATCAAAGGCAAGTGAGTGCGCTGAAAGTGAACAATGAATAATAAATGAGCGGGCTACGTTCAATTGCTGACATGAATGAACACATAGAAGCATAAGCACAAACAACAACAAACAACAACAATATCCTTCTTTCCTCTGGTCGATCCCCGAAGGAACCACTACTCAGAAGGAAAGAGTAATAATAATGCTGATGAATAAATATGAATAAAGTGAGCCCTTGCCTTACCTTGACAAGAATCATGAGGGGTGACGAAGCATTAAAGACCCAACGGAGCTACCAACGTGAATAAAGTGGCACTGGTATGGACGAATGTGGAGGAAGTAAAGTGAAGTGAAGAATCGACTAATCCCCTAGAGACACACACAATCCAACCAACCGTGCCTCATTCTGAATCCGCTTTCACACTCATACTCACACGCATGCTCATGCTCATGCTCTTGCAGACCCATGTGTACACAAAGCTTTGTCTTCCCCCTTCAGCATCACCGAACTAATATGCAGAGACGGACGTTGAAATAATGATAGTCTGATACCGATGCTGCTGATAATACTCAGGTACCATCACTCAGGTACCATCACTTAGATATATCCATAGGGCAGTGCGTTCTTTCGCCCTGTTGGCTGGAAAGTGGCTTTTCAATGCCTGGAGGAAGAAAGAGAACCACTACTGTACTTTGTTTCTAATAAACCTAATGACTGAGCTCGTTATTGATGTTGTTTTTGTAATCGAGAATCCCTCCCGGGGCTACTCTACCCCCAACGCAATGAAAGATATAAAATCAATCGTGTGTCTACAGAGGCCGATAAATTTTAAAATATTATGGAGCACGCAGCTCATGCCAGGGCTCGTGAGGGCACATGGTACCGCACCTCAAACCTATTTTCTTAGTTTTTTTTCTTTCTTTCTATCTCCACTCATCTTCCCTTTCGTTCTCTTCGCTCACACTTTCCTACATCTCATTGCTTCTTACACCTAGTCCGACATCCGTCTCCATTTGTTCATCAAAGGATTAAAAGAGAGAGCAATTGAGTGATCTGTGCTGCCTTGTGTACCCCATCGTTTTTTTTATTGCGGCTGATATGCTTGTCTTTTCTATTCAGCACGTCGATACTTATTTCCCCTGATGCATGTGAAGCATACCTCTCTCTCTTCGATCGGTGTTGGCCCGGAGTCTTCGTTGGCAATCGCACTACACCTCGCTCCACACTCTCACGTTCTTACACTCTCATGCGCACGAGCAAAAGTTACATCAATCCCAGCAGGGACCCAAGTCCCGTCAATTATCTGGCTTCTGCTCTGTCTCATGTCCCTTCGTCCATCTTCATGCCTGGTGCATCGGCATGCCAATACCTCTTTCTCGATCATAAAAAAACGCATCAACAATGCTCAACGGTCAAATGTAAGGCATGTCATTCCTCCTCTCCTTCTACTATGGTGAAAAATAGGAGCTCAAGTCCATCCTTTGACTCGTACCTGCCAACCCTACCACCAATTTCTCCACATATTCACATTTGGAACCACATAAAGAGTTCACACGTGTCAAGCAGGGTGTTGGGATATCAGGTACAAAGCCACTCACATGTGAGTAGCGTCATAACACGCACACGCACAAACACACGCACATACGCACACGCCCGTTCTTGTTCTCGTTTCTCCTATTGTCCTTTCTCCTTGTCTCTCTTTGGGTGCACGAACCATACGGAGACACACATACTCACCAAGTAACGTAATTTTTATCAGGCCATTTTTACACCGCGTGCTGACACATCGATTTCGGCCCTATGAGTCCTTGTCCCACCCAACGTGAAATCAACTAATAGAACAATCAGAACAAAAAAAAAAGTGTAAGCGAAATCTATGGGGAGAAGAGAAGACAGAACAGTTGGTCGGTTGTTCCTGCTCAGCCTGGGCAAATCGCACCTCTTGTTGTTACCCTTGTGCTTATGCCTATGTGTGTTTTTTTTTGCGTGTGCGTGTGCATGTGTTACTTGGCTTTTTCTATTCAGGGCGTCCTTCTCTGACTTTTTCCGACCAAAAAGTGAGCAGCAGGTGGCAATTTGCCTAATGCTAATACCTAACCACCTCAATAGCCCGCCAGAACTAATTGCTTTTGTGTCTAATATTAACAGGGCAGTGCTCGCACACAGAAAACACACCTTCACTCGCTCGCATGCACACACATCTGCCACCAATTATCAGATTCATAGAATATTTGCTGATCATTCTTGGGAAGGGGGGGAAGAAGGACTGAGAGTGTGATGTAGTGTCGGAAGTACACCCAATACAGTAAACTATGATCGAGTGAGGGAGAAAGGGGCTATTGATTTGCATAGGACAGACGCGTTGTCCCCTACTTTTATTGCCGTAAACATCGTGCAAATAAACTATGGCTATGGCCATCTAGGGAGAACAAGGATGTGGTAAAAAGGGTTTACAGTAGAAATATGAGAGAAGAGTTGCTCCTCGTGTATCACTCTAGTGGATGTCACTTTCAGTCAAACTACCTATAGCCTACACTTCCCATCTTCTTTCCGCCACATCGAAGGAGTGTGCGAAGAGTGTGTTCGCGATTAGAGATGTGTATGTGAGTGTGTGTGTGCGTGTCATGCATCAAAAAAGTCAATTGCTGATTGCCAAAGAGATCATCCTACTAACGTAACGTGTCGGCTCTAGTGGATATAAAAAATAACGACTAACGGCTACTTCCGTACCGCCCTCGTTTTTTTTTACCAGCACACGTTCGCCTGGTACTGGAACAAAAAATGGCGAAAGAAAAGGCGCGATAGGCATCGCAAAACCAGATGATTACTCTAAGGAAGCGAGCGATATTTGCCCAATGGATGACGTGCCGTATACAAGTAAGTGGCCATGACATCGTTCGCCTTTGTGCTGCATGCAGGAGGTTTTGTAGTTAGTTTACAAGGATCAAACAAAGAGAAAAGGGATGTGTATGTGGTACAATATGCGGGTGTCGCAATATTTGTAACTAAGCAAGAGGATAAAGATGAGGCGAAGAAGACAAAAAAGGCTGCGGGGAGAGTGCCTACCGTTTTTTAACGCACCCGGTTTGCGGTGGTTGTTGAACGCAGTGCGCAGCGGATAAAGACAAGATGAGAAGGGTAAGGGAAGGGGAATGATAAAGGAAGGTAAGAAAAGTTTGTACTGACACACCTATTTGGCAGTTAGTCCGCGATCGACGAGGGGACAAAGGAAGGGAAGAAGCGGGGGAGCGCGAAAGGGAAGAGATGAGGCGAAGGAGGGCGCATGTGAAGGAGAGGAGGAAAGGAAGAAGGGAGAGGACACATGGCACATCTGTGCTCAAGGTTGGCGGACGAAGAAAACAAAGTGAGACAATGAAGACCAGCCACCCTAGTGAATTCGCCACGCGCAGCCATGTGTAGTCATACGCATCCATCTAGTGGACACATACACAAACACCATAACCACAAACAAACAAAAAAATAATACCGTTGAGATGTTTTCAACGCCTCACCTAGAGCGGAGATGGCGATCAAACACACAGAAAAAATATCTCGCCTCCTTGCGTTGCGATGGCAGGGCTCCCATTGCTGCATGTCGACAGTTGGGAAGGGGACAACGGAGCAAAGGGGAAGGAAAAAGAGAAAGAAGGATAGTTAAATTTTTATCGTCAAGATTACATGCATAAACCAATACAGCCGACCCCTTTTTTCTTTTGTTCTTCTTCACGCCATTCGAAAGATCGGTGAGTGAATGAGTGAGCAAGGGGTTCCTGTTCCCTCGCTTGAAACAAAGGAAGGTTGGGTAGGGCTTGAAATACGGGGGTCAAAAGTCGGCATCGTGCGTTTAGGCGTGCTTTACTTTCTTTGCATAGCAGTAATGGGCGCAGGGGAAATTGCCTCACTGCAGTTTCCCTTTTTGCCTTCTTTTTTTTTGTCTTCTTTGACAGGAAAATAGCGCGCATGTTAGGGTCAATTGGTCAAGGAAACAGACACGAAAAAAGGATGCAAACGTAATGGTATCACCACTGAAAAGCAATGAGCTACCTGTCAGTGGTTACCCCCGTCCCCCTTTTCCAGTAATCACGTTGTGCGGGCTATTATTTTTCATATTTGAATGCATTAGTCCATTGGAAGAAAGAGAAAAAACCACTGCTGATAAGAAAAGCTTAGATGGTTTGCGGTATAATGCAACACAATTGCTACATACAGCTCTCTCCTCGTACCTAAGGGTCCAGGGAGAGTAATGGAATGAGGGAAAACCACTTCCTGCTGTTTGCTTACTGCTTTGTTTATATGCTCTATGGCAATTGCTGGCGTGCCAGTTCGCACAAGGATGATAACATTCGAAATTTCACCTTGACATGAGTACGCTTGCACCTCTCGCG